CAAAACTTGGAACTGATTGTGTCGTTGCTCTCGAGTGTGAGCGCTGTTTGGTCCGATTGTTGGATGTCGCGTCGTTTGATTGGCTATTGTCTATTCGGTGGAAGTGTAGTGGGGGCGAGCCGGTGACATCGGTTCCCGTACAAACCATCTAGTATTACCCTTCTAACCTCTTTCTGTGCTCTGTGGTCATATTATTGGAACATCTAAACAAAAACGGAAAGTTTGTACACATCAAAGAGTCGGTTAGTGCCTGATGGCTAATGGTGATTTGGGACGCCCCCGACGAGACGCGGCGCGACCACGCAGGGCTGCCACTGGCCGTCATATTCACAGAACACAGGAAGAGGTTAGAAGGGCCTTATGGGCGGGGTAGGCGCGCCACAGTTATGTTTGAGCAAATGCTCATAACTTGACCAAAACTTGGATCTGATTGTGTCGTGTTGACCGATATACGAGTATGATCCACTGAAGTAGCATTGAATGCTTATTATGGTAATATATATTCCATGTTAAGCCATGGAATCATATTTTGGGGCAATTCTGTTAATGTTGAAAGTACATTCCTATTACAAAAAAAGGTGTTTAAGATTTTTTTTAGTAAATATAGTGACGAATCAATGCGTAATATTTTTAAAGAAAACCAAATTTTCACATTGACCTGTATTTATATATTAGAAATGTGTAAATTTTTAAGATGTCGTATGTCTGAATTCCCAAAGATCTCTGAAATGAGAGCTAGAATAACCCCGATGAGACGTGAAGACAGATTACATTTGCCTCGATCAAATTCAGCAATTTTTGAAAAAAGTACTTATATGTCTGCCATACGAATATACAATAATTTACCGCCTTATCTGCGGTCACTTTCTAAATATAAGTTTGTAAGGTCCCTGAAGCAATGGTTATTATATAATGCATTTTATAATCTTAATGAATATTTTAATAATATTTTTTTGTAAAAATAACTATTGCATGCCCGATTAGGATAAGTGTTTATTTCAATTGTGTGCACTAACATCTAGCATTATCACTAAATGTAACGGTTTAGCAATAAAGAATTATTCTATTCGTTGCTTTTTCGGCTGTGAGCGCTGATTGGTTCCATTGTTTGATGTCGCGTCGTTTGATTGGCTATTATCTATTCGGTGGAAGTGTAGTGGGGGGCGAGCCGGCGACATCGGTTCCCGTACAAACGATCCAGGATTAACCTTCTAACCTCTTTCTGTGCTCTGTGGTCATATTATTGGAACATCTACCAATCAATGTGACATTTGATAAATTTAAAAGTTATGAAAAACTTAGACTCTGCTTTAATTACAAATATAATATTGAAATGTCATAAGTACACAAATAAGTCTCTATCTAATTTCATAATTACTCTATATATAAATACTAGAACAATAAAACTAAAAACCTTAAAAAATTAAATTAATAACTAAAATATATTATTAAAAGGAGTCCCTTTAGGCAAGGATCCGAAGATAATGGCAGCGTTACCCCTTTGAATGGCTAGACTAATTCTTTGTCCGAGGTAGCTGCCAGCTCTTCGGTCTCCTGTGATGTCGACTAACCTTTTTGCTATTTCCTTAAATAGCCTTAAAGCGCTAGGACCCCACGGACCAAGGGTCTCGACACCGAATGGGACAAAATCATATTCGGAGCCTAGACTAATAATTATTTAATTTAAAATAACGTTGACCTATAAATGGCAACGAAGGTACTTTGCCTCAAAAGGGTTATGATTATTCATTCAATTCATGACTCCTATTAAAAGTTTAAATTTTTTTAATAGTCTATTAGATAATTAAGAAAGCTTAGACACCTTTATTATTATACCTTGTTTAATTGCTCCGCTGTAATTTGGGCATTGTTCTTTGCAAAAGAATGAAATACTACTACTCGTATATTGTTGTTGTATATTATCTCTGTCGGTTGTTTACAAAGCCTCATCATCATCATCAGCCTATTAATGTCCTCACTGCTGGGGCAAAGGCCTTTCCTATGGATGGAATAGGGAGATTGGGCCATGACCCACCACGCGCGCCCAGTGCGGATTGTCGGGTGCTAACGACTGCAGTTGCAGCCGGGACTAACGGCTAGATAGATAGTAAATTTTTGTTCACCCATCCAATGACCGACCACTGCGAAAGTTGCTTAACTTCAATGATCGCAGCCGAACGCGCTAACCACTTGCGCCATCGAGCTCCTCCTACAAAGCCTACTGTTATTAAAATCAGGATTAAAAAGGAACTGATTGTGAAAGATGAATTAGAGGTCTTGTATAAAATTTCGCGTTCTTCTGATAAAATAATGTGAAATGTTTTCGGTTGATTTCGAAGAAAAACAAGTCGCATCAAAGAAGCGACACGGGGCGGCGTTCGGCTACGGTTCGGAGAAACATAAAATTAATAAAGTCTTTTGCGATGTCTTCAGTAAGAGTAAAACCGCCATAAGACGCATATAATAATAAATAATAATACACGTTTATTTGGCACAAATAATCTATATATATAAAACTCAAAGGTGAATGACTGACATAGTGATCTATCAACTCACAGCCTAAACCACTGGACGGATCGGGCTGAAATTTGGCATGCAGGTAGATGTTATGACGAAGGCATCCGCTAAGAAAGGATCCCCCAAGGGGATAAAATAGGGAATGAAAGTTTGTATGAAACTTTGTCAATTTTAAACCGATCGGGCTGAGACTTTGCATGCAGGTATAACAAGAATCATAGATAAATGTCATTTTGTATAATCCAAGCCTGAGAACAAAAACTGTAGTCTACACTTCAGCTCTACACCGAAGCGAAGCGAGGGCGGGCCGCTAGTTAATTATAAAATTGTAATTTTATACAGAGATTTTGTTCCACTGCTCAGTGTAAGACGTTACGTGCCGCGAGTTGTACAGTAGCGAAAGCTCGAATGGAAATTATGTCCGGAACCCAGAAAATACAGAACAAATTCAAAATGGTTTACTTAGCTATGTATTTGAAGACAAAATCTGAACTGACGGCAGACCATTGCAAAAATTTAAACACCGCCGTCAAAAAGATTATTGAAATTCGGTTGGGCTAAGTTTTATTTGCCAGAAGCTCATACCAGAAGGTGCTTAGATATAAGTTGATACAAAAAGTATTTTTAAGAACATTATCTGTGTGAGGGACAGAAAATGATTTGGACTTACGATTTTTTATTTTCTCCGATAGCCTTTAGAGCAGCGCCAGTCTGCCTGTATTTTCGTAAGTTTCCGGATGTTGTTCCGAACGTTATCTTGAGCTAGTCCTAACTGTCCTTCACGTAATCTTTTGATTTGATGATGTTCTTTTGTGCTCGTTGAACAACCGCCGCGTTAAACTATATATAATTTGGATCGGGGCTTTTCGGAAGTCGACCGATCGCTATGGCGTCGTAGTTGTTACAGGCAGCTGACAGATACTGCCTGTCTACCCACGTATTACAATAAAAAATCGTCCAAGGGATAGGAAAAGGTGGGTAAGCGGATGTAATGTTACGTTATCATATCTAACGCATTCAATATATTTGAAACCGAACAATCTGTAACATAATATTAAAAGGCATTAGGTTAGATGTTAGAACTCGAAGAGAGTGGTAAATGTTAGTACATTGTTTGAAGAGTTTTTTCTGTCAGTTATTCATTACGCTCTAACTGAAGCTACTCCTGAAGTCCTTTTTATAGTCGAAATTAAGGTCCGTATGGCAATTAAGAAAATGATTAATATTTTGTAGTTTCCCCTTATCGTAGGTCTTACCGCCCATTAGTTCGAAAACATTCACTTTTTTATATACGAGTAAGTACGCACAACGACAGCTGTGGGTGCTTGGCCTAAAATGGAATCACAGACGGTTGAATTTTTCAGCGGTCCAATCTGTGATATTTTCTTATCATATCACTGAGAAATGAAAACACACACCTTTGTTTTCTTTACCGGCCATCAACTACAAAATTGAGTCGGTCTTGTTCTTCTTGATCGATTTCAAAACCGACTTCAAACAGGAGGTCCTATATTCGTTAAATGTTAAATTTATAACGATATTCTCGTGAATTTTGAATAGTTTTTCAATAAATAATTTTCGGCATCAAAACATAAAAATGTGTTTCGGGTTGCCCTACAAGTACATGATAATTTAGCAGGTATAAAACTAGCGCAATTAGGTAATTATACTCTACACTAACTGCATATGGCTGTCCGGCCGCCGCCCCAGGGCCACCTGGAAGAACCTTCAGAGGACCACGCGCGCTGGCCTACGTTGCCACCGACTTACTGTGGCCACTATTCCTACACGAACAAAGAAATTTGGTGACTCATTTCTTTGTCGTACTATTCATAAGTGGAATTCTTTACCCGGGCACGTGTCCTTCTTCCTATAATCTGGGGTCCTTTAAGAGAGGAGTGAAGAAGCATTTTTGCAGGCCGGCAAGGTGAGGATGGTTTTGGTGTAGCAGTTTATAACTGCTATACCAGCTATCTTCGCGTTATCACCACTTAATATTAGGCGGGGTAGAGTCATTTGCCTACCTCGCTATAAAAAAAAAATCATTGAAGCATTGACTTCTGGCCTTGTACGAAACTAATTTTATATCCGTGCTTCGTTAAAAAAAGCTCTAATTATTACTTACATTTTGTAATTCAGAAGGATATTCATATAAATATTTATGTGTTTGTTTCAGATATTATTAAGATACCAGAACATCACGTAACGAAGATGCAGCGGCAATAAGCTGCCTACGGTATGCATAGTTATCAATTTTTCATTTTTACTAGTGTTTCATTGCTTGTAAAGAAAACACTTGTTTAAATTTATATTAAATTGAATTTTGCAAGCTATTTGCCAGTATATAAATTACTTGAATAGCATCAGCAAATTGGCTATAATTAAATCAATCTGGTAAACTGTATGAAACAATATTTCGATAGTTTTAAAAAATCAAGTATACCCCGCCACGGCCTTTGTCAAATACAAGAAAGGTGGAAGTACTAGTAGCGCCACCTAGTACAGAACTAGTGTATGCAAATGCCTTTCATGCGGTTTGTTTAAGTTTGTATATCGCGCTCAGAATGATAGATGGCGTTGACAGACAGCTGGCTTGTCGCTTGGCTGACTGGAGGGAGATGGTTGTCATGTCAATTGACAAGTGTCAAAGTCGCTGTTGTATACAAAACGTTCCAAGCTAATTTATTATTTATTTGTAAGAAACTTTGCATCTTCTATCTTCGGTTTGGGTTGGTGTTAATGTTGCAAGATTGCAGTGCCAAGTAAGATCAAAGTGTTTCATGTTTGGTTTCTTTCAGTATTGTTCTATAAATACAAGCCTTCCGGGTATCGGCGTAGGTTTTTCGGTTTGTAAGGTGCTAATTGCTTTCTAGGCCTCCTTGTGATGATTCTGTTTATCAAACTTACGCTATGGCCTCACAGCATTCAAGTCTCCTGCTGTAGTTCCTTACGAGGCGAGTGTCTTGTCAGTGGTAATTTTACGAGCTTCGCATTTGTTTACAACTCGTTTCCTGTGTGCCCTAGTCGCCCCCTATGAAATTTGATGAATCTGATTCACAATAATGTTGAATATAACATCTAATATGATTATGAGACTTAATATTAGCTTTGGTTTCATTATTTTCTGAGAAATAGTAAAGTCTCTTTCATTATTTTAAATTGAAACAGTTTTTAGGAAACCCTCAAAAAAATCCACTCACAAATGTATCCATAAGATCAACAAAATTAAATAGATTTCTTTTAGCATTGGCACTAAGTTTGAATAAAATTATCAGCCGCAGAGCCATCTGAGAAGAGTACAAGGAACACTTATTGATTTCATATTCATAACCAACCCCATCACCAATAGGAGTTTTATGTAAGTAACTGAGGGCTAAGCCTGTCTTCGATCGTACCCCATTGTGTTAAACATTCAGCGGAGTACGGATGTTTCACTCGGACCACTGGCATTGCGTTGCGCAGTCGTGCTGTTCTTGATTGATAGTTGAAAAGCATTTTTTACTAACCATAATAAAGCATTAGATCTATTACATTATTAAAAATATTATATTAATAACCGGTGCAGTAGGTACTTCCAAGTGCATTGTTCGTCCTCACACAATGAACATGGTAAGGCCTTTCATAATTTTTTGTGCCCTATTATAATTTTTTCCATTATTTGCTTATTGAACCATGAAGTTATGATTTAATTTGTTTTGACATGTTCATAATATAGGTAATGTTCATTGAATCCAGGTTATAGTTTTTTTAAATATTTTTTTCTTTCATGTTTTTTATTCAGTATTTCAATCCCAAAATTTAGCATGAATGAAATTTGATATGTTTTCTTTACTTAATGTGTGATAATTTGCCATTATGAGGATTACCATTTATATTTTTTTCATACTTTAGGCGAGCTTGGTATTTTCAACCCAAGCCGATCGATGACGCAGACTCTTGACTTTGGGCACGCTCTCTCATTTTTTGTTGTTTGTCTCTCTCTAATGCACAGAAAGCAAATATAATAGAGTATGACTTTTGTTGTGCCGTTACGTATTGATTTTTATCCCATCCTCGACTTTATACAACGGATGCTCGACTCAAATGAAAAATTATAGTATCCAAGGGAATGTTTTGTTTGGTGTTCTGATATCCATGTGTCTCTTATTACAGTATTCTAAAAACAGGAAGCTATTTAAATAAAAGTTTTGACAGGTATTTGTATTCCTACAAAATTGCAATTTTATGCCATATGTACACACAGGCAACAAGTCAAGATATTTCAGTATTCCTGTGTAAATGTTGCTTCAGGTGCCCCAATTTGAGTAATTGCGGCATTACATGGAGTGTAATATATACCAGTATACTGACCAGTGCTAATGACGTCATAAATCGACGCTATACTGGTGAATTGTTCCGAAATATACTTTTCAGTGCACTGACGCCATAAATCGACGAAATATTAAAAAATAGTGCGAATAAAGAAGATTTTTTATTCACCTCATCAATTAAAAGGAATTCTTTTTGTTCGGATGCCATTATTGTTCTTTAAATAAAAAAGAAATAAAATTCGAATGCATCTCATGCACGCTCAGTCATACGTCATATTCGTTTTCCCGGTAAAAATATGGTAGCATACCAGTACAATATGGCGTCGGATTCGTGACGTCATTACCACTGGCCAGTATACTGATGTATATTTCGGAATAAACCCTTGATGTGTCTCATACACATAGTCAAAATTAGTTTTTATTATAAACAGGATTTGGTGTGTTATAAGTATTTGTCTATTCTGCAGGTGGTTTCTCGCCATGCAGCGCGCGGGTGGGAGAAGGGCCTGTGCGCCATGAGCCACACTCCTATAGGCGGCCACCCGCAAGGTAATAATCATTATTTTTATGTTTAAACTTCATATTTATATAAATAGATAAAATCTAATCGACAAGCATAATGAGGATGCGGAGCCGTGGCGAATATTTGCTTACGATACACGAAGCATCGCTCGTACGTAGCGTACCCTGTGCCCCTAGCATAAGCACCTCAATTTACATTGTGTCTTACTATCAAACCATAGTTATTTGACAATTGAGCGGGATAAAAACGAGTTATTTAGACTTGCAACGAATAGTATATTCGGCAGTATACCGAATATTCGGCGAGGCCCCTGACCGAATAGCCGAATATTAGGCAAAAGTATTCGCGCAGGATTTTAGCGCCAAAAACTTGTACAGACGTGATTGTTTCGCGCTCCTTTGTTTTGTTCTAATCTGCCGTCCTCAAGCTAAAATGCGACTAAATGACAAAACCTACTTTTGAGATATGGTTAAAAAAACGGCGCGTAAACTTTAAATTATTGCTATTATCATTATATTCATATTATATATTCATTCATCACATGACTGAATGAATTAAAAACTGTTAACTTGTTTAATACAGAAAATGATTAAATTGTGTACCCGTTTTATGTACCAATGACCACTTAATAAATGATTATAAAAGAAATGAGAACCTTACCCTTCTAAATTTTGATTACCACAATAATTCAAATACATAGAATCCTCCATTTTTCCAATTCAGAAGATGATTATGTACCTGTGTTATGTACCAATGACTACTTAAATGATTATATATAACAGAAATGAAAATATGACTATATACGTAATCAATCTATTTGAATTTTTCATTTTACCAATTATTTCTCTATGACAAAATATATTATTTAAGTATTCGGTATGCGGCCGAATATTAAGAAGATATTCGGTATTCGGCCGAATATAATAAAAGCAGCCGAATAGGCCGAATACCGAATAGTAACCGAATATTCGTTGCAAGTCTAGTTATTATATATCATATCGCGGTGCTCGTGCTAAGGGGGACAGATGATGTTTCCCATCTCGTGTCGTTGTAATTTTACTCTCACAGCAACTACTGAGTAATTTTGTATTTACATTCCGAAAATTATTTTTCACAATATTAAAATCATGATGAATGCGAAGTATGAATATTTTTATGATTTTATTTATTTTTTAAGCATTTAACTGCTAGATGTTTAAATCTAAAGAAAAGTTTACTAGAAAAAACAATTACTAGAAAAAAAGTCCACGCGGACCAGGCAGCAGACGGGACTCGAACCCGCACCCTTCGCTATCCGGGCGAATGCACTGACCATTATGCTACCACAGCCCTGACGGCCGTGTCGAATTATATGTTATAATTATCGGGTTCGATATGAGGTTCGCTTCGCTCATACTACTTTAAACCTGATTGAAACGATAGTTCGGACGCAATGTAAATCTATATACGAAACGATCGATGTAGTAGCGAACGTGAATGAAATTAGTTTTATCGTTTTGCTTTGCTCTCAATATTTAGTGTATTTATGCGATATTTTTAAGAATGTGCTAGTACTTGACATTTCTTGAATTATTCACGTTTTCAAGTATTATGTCATCTTTCAATAGGGGTGATGACGGGGTACAGTAAACGAAATTCTATTTAGTCCGTCAGTTAGATCTAAAAATAATGGACACGTATTTTTTCTTTGGGCAATCAACCAAAAAATGACCAAGTTATAGCGCGTCAAAGTTTGGGAGTAGGGTCTCGTGACGTCACTTTTGAGTGAATTTTCACTTATAAGTGTACTCAAACGTGACGTCACGCGACTTTTCAAATCAATATATCTCTGCAATGTTTATATTATGTGAAAAAAGAAATAAAAAATCGTGTCCAATACTTTTTGATAATCTACCTGATAAACGAAGAAAAAAAAATTAGTCATCATCCCTATTGACGACACTGAATGAAATACAACAGGGGGAGAAAAATTGCCCTTGCTGAGTTTCCTGTCGGTTCTTCTCACAAGATCTCCTGCTGTAGATTTAAGAACCGATGGTATAGAGTCCACGTTCACAAAAGTTTGTAACAGCCTAGACTATGTTTTTAAAATTTAGGTTTTATTGTTCACAGGTTGGGATCACAAGCTTGCTGACAGGTCGTCGCTGCCGCCGGCATCTGGGGAGGAGAAGATCAAATCTCAGTCCAAATATGTGTTCACACAACCACACCCCTCTAAGTAAGTTATTTGCCGGCGTTGATCACGATGCAATAGTTATCGTAAGAAGAGAACACAAGTGTTGGTTTTACCGTATATAGAAGGCAAAGCATGAATCGCTTATTTTATATCCATGGCCTACGAAAAAGTTACTTGACTCGTCAATCATCAACATATGGTCTAACTATTGTCTCATTACTACTACGGCTACTTCTGTTTGTTGTTTATTTTTGGTGAACTAAAGAAAAGCCCGAGAGAGGAGCTCGATGGCGCAAGCTGTTAGCGCGTTCGGCTGCGATCGTTGAAGTTAAGCAACTTTCGCAGTGGTCGGTTATTGGATGGGTGACCAAAAATCTTCTATCTCGAGTTCCGCCGTGCTTCGGAAGGCACGTTAAGCCATTGGTCCCGGCTGCATCTGCAGTCGTTAGCACCCACCAATCCGCACTAGGCCCGCGTGGTGGGTCATGGCCTAATCTCCCTATTCCATCGATAGGGAAGGCCTGTGCCCCAGCAGTCGGGACATTAATAGGCTGATGATGATGATGATGAAAGAAAAGCCAATATTCCCTGTCTGTATTAGTTTCGGCCACGCGGGCATAAAAATTTCGCGCTTTAAAACCGACGGCCATTAATTTCCGCCAACGCTGGCATGTCTTGAAAAACTGTTTATTTGAAGCCAATTCTAAGCCATGCACGTATCCAACGTTGACTTCGTGTAGATACATGCTTAGACTAGCGGCCCGCCCTCGCTTCGCTTCGGTGTAGAGCTGAAGTGTAGACTACAGTTTTTGTTCTAAGGCTTGTATTATACACAATGACATTCATCTATGATTCTTCTTATACCTGCATGCAAAATCTCAGCCCGATCGGTTTAAAATTGACAAAGTTTCATACAAACTTTCATTCCCTATTTTATCCCCTTGGGGGTAAAATCGATCAAATTCCTTTCTTAGCGGATGCCTACGTCATAACATCTACCTGCATACCAAATTTAAGCCCGATCCCTCTAGTGGTTTGGGCTGTGCGTTGATATATCACTATGTCAGTCACCTTTGAGTTTTATATATATATATAGATTGCGTGGTGGATCATGGTTTCAATCTCCATATTCCATCCAAAGGGAAGAAGGGAAGTCGCGTGCCCCAGCAGAGGGGATATCGATAGGCTGATAATGATGATAATGTGTTAACCGGTGGGGTGTGCCTCAGGGCTGGGCTGGCATGGCGCGAGCAGACGGAGGGCTCTTCGGGCAGCTCGGGCCGCTCCCACGCCTCCCCGCCCTACATGCGGTGGGCGCGCAGCCTGCACGACCTGCTCGAGGTATTGCACTGGACACGGACGCTTCTCATGCATACACTACCACGTACACAGACAATACACCGACACATGCAATACTTATGACGTACACAGCCAATACACCGACACATGCAATACTTATGACGTACACAGCCAATACACCGACACATGCAATACTTATGACGTACACAGCCAATACACCGACACATGCAATACTTACGACGTACACGGCCAATAGACCGACACATGCAATACTTACGACGTACACGGCCAATAGACCGACACATGCAATACTTACGACGTACACAGCCAATACACCGACACATGCAATACTTATGACGTACACGGTCAACACACCGATACATGCAATACTTACGACGTACACAGCCAATACACCGACACATGCAATACTTATGACGTACACGGTCAACACACCGATACATGCAATACTTACGACGTACACAGCCAATACACCAACACATGCAATACTTATGACGTACACGGTCAACACACCGATACATGCAATACTTACGACGTACACAGCCAATACACCGACACATGCAATACTTACGACGTACACGGTCAACACACCGATACATGCAATACTTACGACGTACACAGCCAATACACCGACACATGCAATACTTATGACGTACACGGTCAACACACCGATACATGCAATACTTACGACGTACACAGCCAATACACCGACACATGCAATACTTATGACGTACACGCTCAACACACCGATACATGCAATACTTACGACGTACACGGCCAACATACCGACACATGCAATACTTACGATGTACACGGCCTACACACCGATACATGCAACTATCGAAAAACTTAATTATCACATTAGTAAAGAAAAAACCAAACAGTTTTTTCTTTGTGTGTCGATTGCCTACAAAAGTCTTATTGTTGACACACCATAACATAAAATTTGTTTTGTTGAACGAATATTATGCGACTTTCAAGTCGAAAATTAGACTCTTTTGGTCGCGCCTTTAACTGCACTGTTTCACATTTTCTCACAAATTTATTTTGTTTGTGTGGTGACTGAATCCACTTCAGCCATTTCGCAGCCAGTTAGCGCGTTCGTCTGCGATGGTTGAAATTAAGCAACTTTCACAGTGGTCTGTCATTGGATGGGTGATCAAAAATTTACTATCTCTCACTCCATGCTTCGAAAGGCACGTTAAGCCGTTGGTCCCGGCTGCAGCTGCAGTCGTTAGCACCCGCCAATCTGCACTGGGCCCGCGTGGTGGGTCATGGCCCAATCTCCCTATTCCATCCATAGGGAAGGCCTGTGCCCCAGCAGTGGGGAGATTAACAGGCTGATGATCTATACATATAATAAAATGGTGGGAAAGTCAAAACTGTACATTGAATATTTTTTTTAAAGAATACTTGGGGTGTGATCTACAATCAATACCGAAGCTAAAAATATAGTTAAATAAAACTAGTTTTAACGCGTCAATGCACGAACTTTATTTATTTGTGTATATGTAAATATCTTTATTTATTTGTGTAATGTAATTATCAAAATTTATGAGATTTAATTGCTAGTTAAGTGTAAATTGCATGTCGTATCGCCTATAATTAAAGTTCCACTAATAAAGTGTCGTACTATAAATGTGTAAATAAGAAATGTCTAAGTGTAACTTTGTTTGTGATCAAATAAATAAAAAAATATATTGACGTATCGCAGCCTTTTTCAGGCCTTTTTCGAAACTCTTTCGAAGGCAGCTCGACAATGTAAATAAAAAATAATTATTCCGACGATGCAGACCTGAAAAGGCTGCGAAACGTCAATAAATAAATAAAGTTCGTGCATGGTAAATGCTATGTGTTAAAACTAGTTTCATTTAATGAGTGATGTGCGTGAAAAGCTCAGAAGCAAAAAATATAGTTTTAAGAATTTTTGTCTGTCTGTATGTACATATGTCCGGGATAAACTCAAAAAGTACTGCATGGATTTACTTCAAATTTGGCACGAATTATTAAGAAGTCGGGTCAACATATAGGCTACATATATCACGCTATCACCTACGGGGAACGAGCAGTGAACCTTTATTTCTAAATAACTCCACGCGTACAAAGTCGCAGGCGGCCGCTAGTAATAACACCTAGTTAGTACTAGCGGCCGCTAGTCAATAATTACACCTATTATAAATAACTCTGTTTGTATTTATACTGTGTGACACAGCAATCAAAATGCAGGTGAACAATTAATGTATAATTTCAATAAAAGGTGACTTCACCATCTCATCATCTCTGAAGTCATTTTTCAACTTGACGACTCTGTAAATGATAAAACAGGGAGAAAAAAAATGGGTGCGTGTACTTATGTAGGCGCGTGAGAAGTTATCCTTCGAAAGACTTTTTATTGAGCGTTCGGTTATTTCATTGTTCGATTTTTAAAATTTTTGAAGTTATACTTCTTTAGGCGCGTTATGAAAAAATGATGAGAGTGAAATTTTAAGATGCGCGCGCATCACTGTAACACAAAAAATTAATATTACTTTTGTGTTTACCGCACATTAAGAAAATCTACCAACAAAATAGAAATAGAATCTCTATTTTGTGGGTGCTAACGACTGCATTGTGAAGGCCTATCAAAAGTATTTATTAATCTGGAACAACGGAACCAAAAAGCGCGATTCAGGAGACTACAGCGCCATCTCTTGACCATTGGTGTAGTAGAACCAAAAACCACATCTTTATTTTTTGTAATAAAGTAACAGTTATAGGTATTCATATTTATAATATTTATCCACATGTTTCTAGTTTGTATATTCGGAATACGTGTTTGAGTTTCATACAAGTGCAAATCACATATGTTCTAATAAATTATATTCAGTAGCGATTTTAACTGAATATTTTGATTATTTATTTATTTTTTCAAATTAAAACTGAACTTTATTGACTGTGTCCTTTTCCAGACTTTTTATTAATTTATTGTAATTAATTATTTGCATGCAATTAAAAACTAATTTTAAACGATGCTAAAGAAGGATAACTTCTCACGCGCCTACATAAGTACACGCACCCATTTTTATTGTCTATGTATGAATTTATTCTTTTTGTAATTTTGAGTTTATTTATTTGACCTTAACTACCGTAAACTACCACTAAGAACCGGCGAAACAAACTCAAGAGAGGCTTTCTATCTCCTTCTTATGTTAAATTATGCAAACAAAAAGAACTAATAGTATCTGTTGGTCTTGCAGTGTGTGCTCGGGGTTGGGATTTTATCTCCTGTATAATGGGTTCCCAAGCTGGTGGTATATACCAACCATCTTCCCTATTGAAATTTGGATATTTATTGATGATGATTATTGATTATAGTAATAAATACGTATGTCGCGTAGGACGCGGAGGGCGTGCGTTTGTTCCGCAAGTTCGTCAGCGACGCGGGCGGGCTGCACCTGGACCGCCTCAACTTCTACTTCGCCGTGCAGGGGCTGCGCCAGGAGACGGAGCCCAACAAGATATGCCAGGTCGTCTCCGCTATATACAAGTGAGACAAATACACTTACCTATTACGTTACTTAGGGACTATATTAAATAAATAATAATAAACCAGCAAACCAGTGAACCAAATGTTCACCAAAACCTGATTAAAAAAAAAATGTATTTAATTAATTGAGAACTTCGGTTTTTTGTGGTTTCGTTTGAAATTCGTGATTTCTCGAAAACCGGAAGTGCTACGTTACTCAAATCCGGTTTGTAGTCTTATCAGACTATTCTTAACTTATAACGGACTTGTCTAATAGATATTAATAAATATTTCCAACACTCACGCTTATTAGCCTAGCCCCAAAGTAGCACTATAAGGCTTGTGTTTAAGGGATACTAGGGTAACGGACAGAATACATATACTTTACATATTATATAAGTATATTTTATAGAAATACATATTAAACATCCATGACTAGAGTACAAATGCTCGTGTTCATCACACAAACATCTGCCCCCACCGGGATTCGAACCCGGGACCTCTCGAGTCGGCGACGCAAGTTATTAAGTTATATTAAATAGAAACTTTTTTTTGCTCACTCTACCTATTTGCTTTGAATTGACAGCTATGACGTCAAAATATGGCGCCCAGTCGGTCCCATTCTTAGTTGAATCGCGTTATATATAACAGCAACTCCAATGCTGCCACTACACTTGGCTATTCGTGTTTGCTATTTGTAAACTGGCCATTCTCTGCTTTTCGTTCTTTATAAAGCATGATAACGGCAAACTGTTGTCGAGTTTACAAATAACAAATACAAAACACGCACTGGAGAGTGCATTTTTTTTGTTTGCAAAGTAACATAATTGATCATTCATATAGAAAGGTTTAAGTAACTGAAGAAACATTGTTGAACAGATTCCTCCGCAAGTCCCAGCTAGCGATGCCGGAGGAGCTGAAGACGCACGTGAAGCAGAGCCTCAAGGATGGCTCCAACATCGAGAGGACCATCTTCGATAACATGGAGAAGGAGGTCAGTCCTGAGATTAGCGAATGATAAAATTATTGATACATAATAAAATTATATTGTGGTAGATAAGAAAGGAGGAGCTCGATGGCGCAGGTGGCTAGCGCGTTCGGCTGCGATCGTTGAAGTTAAGCAACTTTCGCAGTGGTCGGTCATTGGATGGGTGACCAAAAATTTAGTATCTCGAGCTCCTCCGTGCTTCGGAAGGCACGTTAAGCCGTTGGTCCCGGCTGCATTTGCAGTCGTTAGCACCCACCAATCCGCATTGGGTCCGCGTGGTGGGTCATGGCCCAATCTCCCTATTCCATCCATAGGGGAGGCCTGTGCCCCAGCCGTGGGGACATTAATAGGCTGATGATGATGATTTAAAATATACTATTATACATTAGCGGCATATTGTCAAGGAGAATGGCAAATCTGGCAACGTGTCACGTACAAAGGTATAGATTTAAAGCGCTGACAAGGAGGTTCGACCGAAATTTATAAAAAAACCGTTAAGGATACGCAGGGCGCCATGTAAGGGAGCGTGCGTTAAAACGTTTTATCGCACGCTCCGTTGTATGGCCCGTAATTTAGAACTTCCGTAAATACATTTTTTGAGCATGAAATGTGTTGAAAACTCTTTATTTAACAAGGTTTTTTTAAACACACCAATTAGCCTAACCCAAAAGTAAGCACTGAAAGGCTATGTACATATGCAGTACATACATACATAAGTATATTTATATAGAAACTAGCTGACCCGGTGAACTTCGTACCGCTATAAAAAATCGGGGTTGGTGGTAGAAGGGTGAAAATTTAGTGTTGTATGTATTTTTGTATGATGTAACATAAAAAAATTAAAAAAAATATATCTAAAATTGAAAAAAAAAAAATTTAGGGGTGGATTACTCTTAACATTTAGGGGGGTGAAAAATAGATGTTGTCCGATTCTCAGACCTACCCAATATGCACACAAAATTTCATGAGAATCGGGAAAGCCGTTTCGGAGGAGTTTAACCACAAACACCGCGACACGAGAATTTTATATATTAGATACATATTAAACATCCATGACTGGAGTACAATTGCTAGTATTCATCACACAAACATCTGCCCCACCCGGGATTCGAACCCGGAACCACTCTAGTCGTAGAAACTACTCGGCCACGGAGATCGTCGAAATTAAATTTCAACTCCTTTATATTAGGTGACGCGGGCCATAAACGAGACGACCTACCAGGCTTTCCTCAGTTCGGACGCGTACGTTTCATACGTGAGTGCCGCCACCCAGCCACTCTCATCGCCCGACCACTCGCCGCCCCCGCCTAGAGAGGTAAGAAAAAAACAAAAAGTTTTTATTGGCCATACACGCAAAAACAGTATAAATTAAACAAAACAGAGAAATATAAAAATATCACTTCCTTTCTCCTTTCGTTACGTATGGATTCAATAGGGTATTTGACAAGTTTTAGAAAACGATCTCCATTATTGACTAATTTTTATGGAGTCCGTACAAAGTGGATATTCATCATTCTGTTGTGTATTTCAGTAAAAATAACCAAATCAAAGACTCCATTTTCAAGTTACCGCGAAAACGTTCTTTACAATATGGCGTCTTACTAGTCTGTGACGTCACATCACTGTTATTGAAACGTCAAACGATACAATTCAATGTCACTAACCGGAAGTTTACTTGCGTGTCACGTCATTTTAGGCTCCGCCAATCCCAAGCGTTTGGGTCACATGACAATAGATAAGAAAACTATTATCTTTTTCGTGTGTTTTCAGTAAAATTATGAATGTTATTTTTTGTAAAAATAGTAAAAACCCCTGCTAATATTCGTTCTAAACACAGATGATAACAATTGGCACTTTATTTTTAACACTGTCAAATACCCAATTCCCCAACCTATATAGATACTTGTCCCGCCACCTCCGCGTGAAGTCGTCATCACATGTCATAATAGTGTCCCCCCACTCGGTCAGATACCGGAGATGGGCCTGGCCCCCCTCCCCGAGGGCCAGGAGGTCGGGGCGGGCGCATACTCGGTGCCGCCCCGCCTCACGCTGGACGCGCTGCTGGCCACGCAGTCGCGCCGCCTGCATGCCGACGTCGCGCCGTGAGTAGCCTCACAATACTACTGCAACCCTCGATACACATACACTTCACATTGTGCTTAAGATACACATACTCTACGCATTGTACTTAAGATACACACACACTTCACATTGTGCTTAAGATACACATACTCTACGCATTGTACTTAAGATACACATACACTACACATTGTGCTTTAGATACACATACACTACACATTGTGCTTTAGATACACATACACTTCACATTGTGCTTTAGATACACATACACTACACATTGTACTTAAGATACACATACACTACACATTGTGCTTTAGATACACATACACTACACATTGTACTTAAGATACACTACACATTGTGCTTGAGATACATATACACTTCACATAGTACTCGATTTACAGGACAGTATTGACGATGTTATCACCACATTCACGGTCCTACACGATACACATACACTACACATTGTGCTCGTTTTGAAGGACAGTACTGACGATGTTATCACCACATTCCCGGTCCTACACGATACGCATACACTACACATTGTGCACGACTTACAGGACAGTATTGACGATGTTATCACCAGATTAAAGGTCTTACACGATACACACCATATTTGATTGATTCACAGGACAATATTGACTATAATACCTTATGGCATATTGACAGTATACAACAAGTACATTGAGAACATTCACAGTCTTACACGATACCCGGTATATCGTCAATATTACAGAACAATATTGACGACATACCGTATTAAATATGGTGATAGGTTGTAAAATTAATGTACAGCAATATATAACAGCACTGCATTGACTAAAGTATCCAGTACTCATTTCCATACCTATAATACAACATTGTCAATTTGGTTAAATATAATTTTAAAATCGTTTTTTTTACATACATACAGTCCAAGTAGTTTGTATTTAGTATTTCAGTTTAGGCGATTATCGATCGCATGTCAATATAAAGCAAATTTATACAAAGTGTATTTAAAAATATTTTCAACTTTTTGTAAATACAGGGATTCCTATTGGATATGTGTGTGTGTTTCTTTTAATAAAATACCTAATTTGACTGTTAACACTTTAATAAAATTGCTTTTGAGATAAACTGTATAGATTTTGGCTTCATGATATAGATGGTAATTACAATTTAGTTTCATATATTTACTTAGTGAATCCCGTAAAGTGTTATATAGCAATACATGATTACAAAGTATCTTTGTAGTTTATGTTTATTTGATTCATTAGTACCATGTGTGACCCTGCAAAGTAGCATGTGTCCCTTTGAGTTAATTTGTTTTTTATTTAAATATGATTTAACGGAGTTTTCAACCCATAAATGTTAGCCATCTTTACACTTTTTTCCCTTAAATGAAACTGACTTTCCTTTATGGGTTTAAATTTCCACGTTGTTACCGGAATTCTCAATCCATATTTGCAGACACTTCATTCTTCTTACTTTTAAAGAATAAATATTTACGCAATAGGGATGATGACTAATTTTTTTTTCTTCATTTATCAGGTAGATTATCAAAAAGTATTGGACACGTATTACTTCTTTTTTCACATAATATAAACATTGCAGAGATATATTGATTTGAAAAGTCGCATGACGTCACGTTTGAGTACACTTATAAGTGAAAATTCACTCAAAAGTGACGTCACGAGCCCCTACTCCCAAAATTTGACGCTCTATAACTTTGCATTTTTTGGTTGATTGCCCAAAGAAAAAATACGTGTCCATTATTTTTTGATCATCTAACTGACGGACTAAATAGAATTTCGTTTACTGTACCCCGTCATCACACCTATTTTCACGGTTTTTTCTCTTTTCGATGAATGAAATAGGCTTTTTTTCTTTATGGGTTGAGATTTCGCCGTGTTTCCCCGCAGCTTGACTGATATATCCGTGTATTGTTTGCCCCCCATGTTTGTGTCCCGCCTGCATGCTCGATGCCCGCATTGCATACACGCTAAACGCTGTTACGCCTCCGTACCACGACGCTACACTTATCATCCACACCCCACGATACAATATCAAACCTCATCATCGACCCTAACAATGTCGTTAAATTTATTCGCAACTAAATTTTCTTTGATTTGTTTTTCTCTGATTTGTTATTTTTCCGATTTTCTATTGAAATCTATGGTTAAAAATCCATCTTCACAAATCAAATGTGCTTTCGTATTATTTTCATTAATCTTGAATATTAATGAAATTCCATGTCTTTGGAATGAATCTTTGATTTCCCTTGATTCTTATATCGATCATTGGTCCGATTTCGATTGTTAAAAAAACTCCCTTTACCATAAATCGAATCGTTCTTTTCCCATGGTGTACATATTCCATTATCCGTTGTTTATCCGACATCTATATGCCTTAATTTCTTCACGTTTTAACATCTGATAAACTTGATCGTCTTCTTCCCCATTGTTGATAATCCTTTCGGTATTCGTCGTGAATCCTCTATATATATATCTCTCTCGTTTCTCTACGTCTCAACATCCGATTCCGATAAACTTTACCGTCTCTCCCCCTATTGCCAATAATCCTTCCGGTATTCGTAATATCCCCGTGGTATTCGCGCGTGGTACTCAGGCACCGCAAGCGTTCGGTGTACAGCGCGCACGTGACGTATGCGGGCTACTGCCCCGCCTCCCGACACGACTCGGACCGCGCCTCGTTGAGCAGCGGCCGCACCGACAGCGACGCGGTCTCTCTGTCCGGCAGCAGCGTGTGAGTATACTGCCCCGCCTCCCGACACGACTCGGACCGCGCCTCGTTGAGCAGCGGCCGCACCGACAGCGACGCGGTCTCTCTGTCCGGCAGCAGCGTGTGAGTATACTGCCCCGCCTCCCGACACGACTCGGACCGCGCCTCGTTGAGCAGCGGCCGCACCGACAGCGACGCGGTCTCTCTGTCCGGCAGCAGCGTGTGAGTATACTGCCCCGCCTCCCGACACGACTCGGACCGCGCCTCGTTGAGCAGCGGCCGCACCGACAGCGACGCGGTCTCTCTGTCCGGCAGCAGCGTGTGAGTATACTGCCCCGCCTCCCGACACGACTCGGACCGCGCCTCGTTGAGCAGCGGCCGCACCGACAGCGACGCGGTCTCTCTGTCCGGCAGCAGCGTGTGAGTATACTGCCCCGCCTCCCGACACGACTCGGACCGCGCCTCGTTGAGCAGCGGCCGCACCGACAGCGACGCGGTCTCTCTGTCCGGCAGCAGCGTGTGAGTATACTGCCCCGCCTCCCGACACGACTCGGACCGCGCCTCGTTGAGCAGCGGCCGCACCGACAGCGACGCGGTCTCTCTGTCCGGCAGCAGCGTGTGAGTATACTGCCCCGCCTCCCGACACGACTCGGACCGCGCCTCGTTGAGCAGCGGCCGCACCGACAGCGACGCGGTCTCTCTGTCCGGCAGCAGCGTGTGAGTATACTGCCCCGCCTCCCGACACGACTCGGACCGCGCCTCGTTGAGCAGCGGCCGCACCGACAGCGACGCGGTCTCTCTGTCCGGCAGCAGCGTGTGAGTATACTGCCCCGCCTCCCGACACGACTCGGACCGCGCCTCGTTGAGCAGCGGCCGCACCGACAGCGACGCGGTCTCTCTGTCCGGCAGCAGCGTGTGAGTATACTGCCCCGCCTCCCGACACGACTCGGACCGCGCCTCGTTGAGCAGCGGCCGCACCGACAGCGACGCGGTCTCTCTGTCCGGCAGCAGCGTGTGAGTATACTGCCTCGCTCTGTGACACCATTCGTCGATAGCAGAATATCATATACAGAATTATGCTGTACAGTATTGTTTTGTCCAACAAGATATTGTGTGCTCGCAAATGTGTCTGCATACGTCTTTTCAGACAGCCTATTAATTAATTACTTCATACTGTAATGCCATATAGCGACGAACCAATATCGAATTTCAATAGTTTGTGAGTGCGAAATGTCATTGTCCCTTCTAAGGGTACTGGACCATGCCGATGCGGTCTCTGGCAACAATATGTAAGTATGCAGATACTGTACTGCAGTATCCTGCAGTCTGGCCTTTTTGTTTATCACTAGTTGTGTATGAATTTACTGCAGCCATTATAGTTGGCTGCCACCAAAAACTCGTGAGTATGCGTACCAAGAATAAAGAACGATTTCATTTTCCGTACCTCCATTGTACTTTAGCAACATTTCTATATCTAAAGAAAAGTTTACTAGAAAAAATTCCACGCGGACCAGGCAGCGGACGGGACTCGAACCCGCATCCTTCGCTATCCGGGCGAATGCACTGACCATTATGCTACCACGGCCCTATTAGCCGCGTCATACTTGAAAAAGTATTCATTTGACATTGTGGGTTACCTACAATACGAAGAGATGGCGCTGCCTTGCAGCTTAAGGCTAGGAAAATTTCGACGCGGCTAATAGGGCCGTGGTAGCATAATGGTCAGTGCATTCGCCCGGATAGCGAAGGATGCGGGTTCGAGTCCCGTTCGCTGCCTGGTCCGCGTGGAATTTTTTCTAGTAAACTTTTCTTTAGATTTAAACATCTAGCAGTTAAATGCTTAAAAAATAAAAATAAAATCAAAACATTTCTATAGTCTAGATTTTTACTCGACTTGTTTAATTAAAACAACTCTTTATTTAGACGACAGCCCACCTTACCATACACCTGGTGATACTTAAAAAGTACCCCTTTTCGTTAAAGAAATGCGTGGAAAATTTAATTTGATGGTTTTATTGAACAAGTCGAGTACGATAGAACAGAGTGTAGCAGTAATTAATGGCAGTAACTAGTGTTGAGTAGGACTTACAAGAGGCGGTACATTTGTCCCGGACATGACGTCAAAATGTAAGAGCGGCTCAAAATTTTAAAATGTACTACTTCACATTAAATGCCGCGATAGTCGCGTCTCGTTACTCACTCACTCTTCGTAAGTCTGAGAGAGAGCGAGGCATGACATTTCATTTAAGTCCTCTACGCACTATCCATCTTTATCTCTTTTACGTGTATAGCGCTGTCCTGCATGCTGGATCCAGCAAAATTTATAGTGCGTAGAAAAGGTGCTACTCGTGCACACAAACGTAATGTCGAGCTTCTGTACGCCTCAATGTCATATTTGTACTCGTCACTTCAAATGTATTGCCGACCTTCAGTACGCCTCGCCTCATTTGATGTGGGACATTGTACTGGTTCAGTACAAAAAAGAGGCCACTCTTACAAACTCTTTTTGAAGTCGTGTCCTACCCAACTCTAGCAGTAAGTATAAAGAATTCGTGTTATAAACTTAAGTTTCAAGTTACCCCATTTATTCCTCGAATGCAGCTTAATTTTAATATCGACCTACTAATTAGTCATTATACGCACATTTTTCTGTTTTGCCACTCCTTTATTTACATTTTAGTTTGCGATTTAATGTTACATCAAACCCTGCCTTTTGAAAATGCTGAAATCCACGATTATTGTTGTATATTTTCATTTTGTAAGATATTAGAGGCTTTGTATGAATTGATTTAATGGATGTTTAATGTATGAGAAACATTTAGATCTAGATTCCAGTATATTCTATGTATTCAGTTATTTTGAGTTTTGAAATTTATTATTAAAGGTTCACAAGTATATCTCCATTAATCAAATTCAGTGTTAAAATTGATTATAAGCGCAATTATCAGAGTACATTTTTCTAAGAAAAGATATCTTATTCTCTGTGATTTTTATAGTTTTACAAACCTAACTACCAAAATTAAGTCTCGTCAATCAAGCGAGTAATCTAGAACGACAAACTACGACATTTTTGACTGTTTGTGCGAGTATCTATCGGCGAGGAATCGTTTAAGTAAAGCGACTTTCGCAATGGTCGATCATTGGATGAGTGACCAAAATTTTACTATCTCGCGCACCATCGCGCTTCGACAGTTAAGCATCGGTCCCGGTCGTATCTGCAGTCGTTAGCACCCACCAATTCGCACTGGGTTATATCCTACTAGCAAACCAGTGAACCAAATGTTCAACAAAACCTGATTTAAAAAAAAAAATGTATTTAATTAATTGAGAACTTCGGAGATTTTGTGTGGTTTCGTTTGAAATTCGTGATTTCTCGAAAACCGGAAGTGCTACGTTACTCAAATCCGGTTTGTAGTCTTATCAGACTATTCTTAACTTATAACTTATCTATCTCTTACGGTTTGGCCGCTGAAACAGCACCACAGACGGACGGACGGACTTGTCTAATAGATAAGAGATTCCATCCATAGGTGAGCCCTGTGTCCCAGCAGTGGGGACATGAACGATGTATCGGCGCGTGTTATATATATAATATAATAATAATAATAATAAATTTATTTATTCAAGTAACAAAGACTTATACAGATTGTTTAGAATTATTTAGAATACAAATTATTTGAATCATAAAAAACATATAATTGATAGAATAAAATAAATAATAATATTATTATAATAATGTCAAGTTATTATATATAAAATTAAATATGAATTAAAATCTTAAGTTAAATTATTTATTCCATTCAAATCAATCACCTTAAATAAGTTAATAATATAATGTCAATACATGTATCATGCAGCAATGATTCATGTACTGACAGTCAAAACGCTCAGAAAATAGTTGCAGGATCCTGTTCTGGCTTGTTCGCACCCTTCGCACCAGGGACGTACACCGCTTCCGAATCGTTGTGTAAAAACAATCTATGCCGTATTGTGCAAACATCCCTGACGCACTGCAAAAACGGGCCAGCCCTAACAGCACCCTAAACGCATTATTGAATTGGACACGCAGAGCACTATACTGTCTCTTGGTGTAGTTAATCCATAGGCTGCTCGTGTAGAAGGACGTACAAAATGCTCTAAAGAGAGTTATTTTGACACCCCTCGAACAACAAGCAAACCTACGAGCAATCATATTGGCTCTGACTGCCAGTGCCCTGCGTTCCCTCTCAATATCAGTATCATCCCTCAGGTCAGAGGTCACCCAATGTCCAAGATATTTAAATTGATCCACCATTCTTAATGATGTACTGTTCAGTTTTATGGGTGGGATATTCTCTGGACACTTCCCTCTGGCCCGAAAGACCACGCATTCACTTTTCTTTGCGTTGTATAATAAGCCGTGACTAAGGGCATACCGCTCACATATGGCAAGTAACTTCGACAACCCACAAACTGAAGCACTCAGCAGCACCATATCATCTGCATAACTTATATTATTCAGGCAAACGTCTTGTATGTGGCAACCTACGTGTGTGCCACTGAGCTCCCCAATCAGTGCGTTCACATAAAGGTTGAATAGCGTTGGCGAGGTCAGCCCACCCTGCCTCACTCCACACTCCAACCTGTACTGTTCAGAGTACTCTCCCGACCACCGAACTACATTGACCTGATGCAAGTACCAAAACTTAAAGATTTGTACAAGTTCATGTGGCATTGAAGTGCTCTCAAGTTTTTTCCACAATATATCATAGCTTACCAGGTCGAATGCTTTCGAGAGATCGAGGAAGCAAGCATACACGGGTGTATTACGATCCGTGTAATACTTCACGGTCTGCTTCAAACTCAAAATGGCAGTCTCGGTAGAAAGACCCTTCTTAAAGCCAAACTGGTTATCATGAATCGATATGTGTTTTTGTAGTTGAGTATTCAGCAGACCGTCAAGCACTTTTGATACGATAGTCGCCAGCGAAATAGGACGATAATTGTCCTTGTCACTTATGTCCCCAGTCTTACACTTCACTATTGGTGCCACCACCGTCTTCAGCATATCTGCTGGTAGATAAGAGTGCCCCAAACACAAACTGTAGAACATCGCTAGAACTCTGGCAAGATGAGTACCCGCGTACTTTAAATGTTCAATACTTAAGTCATCATGACCGGGTGATTTTCCTCGAGACATAGATTTAATAACTTTTCTAACATCCTTGGCTGTAATTCGGGTACTTAACTCCCGGCCTCGACAACCCCCGTTGCATAAAGACACTGATGGCCCCAAAGGCGATTTTACAATAAAATGTTCTTTGAACATGTTTGCTATACATTTTCTGTCACTAACACCATTTACACTCACAGGAACGCCAGGCCTATTATTCAATTTATTAGTGGCTTTCCAAAAATTACCAAAATCCTTCGTGGTGTGGTGTGATGCAAGTATGTCCATTTTAATTTGCTCTCTATTGTCCTGACACCATTTCAATCGAGACTTAAAAATTTTACGACTTTCTTGCATCTCACTCCACACCAGACCGGAGCTAGGTTTACCATAACTGACCCATACTTTAAACTTTGCCCTTGCATCAATATGCGCTGCACTTACGTGTTTATTCCAACCAATCACTTTTCTCTTTTTAACCTTAAAGTTGCAACTATATATATAATGTGTGTGAAAAGTGACTTTATGAGTTACCTCATATTGAAGTCATTTTTCAATTTGACGACTCTGTATATAATACAGGGAGCAAAAAAACAGCCCTTGCTGAGTTTCTTGCCGGTTCTTCACAGTACAAGGTCTCCCGCCGTAGATTTGCGAACCGATGGCGTAGCTTTTCGACATTCACAAGTGCTTGTAACAGCCTAGACTGAATAAACGACTTTTCATGTCATTTCATACAGTTTTCGAATAGAAATTGAATCCGCTATTTTGAGTAACTACCTAAATATTAAGTGAATTATAAATAGAATATAGGTACTATTATCGTGTCAAGAATTTTCTCGAGAGATTGTAACAGCCTAGACTGAATAAACGATATTGAATTTTGATTTTTTTTGAATTTTGTGTTGTGTGTTGTGCGACAGAGACGGCATGTCGATGCGGGCGCGCGAGAGCCGCGACGTGCGGCACCGGCCGCGCCTGCCCGGCCTCGACACCCACGCCTTCATCAACAAGGAGCAGGACACCGCTATGGTACGTTACAATAGGGGTGAAGGGCATCGTCTCGTGGGGCACCCCGTCGTACACGCACTTGCCGTACTCCGTGAGGAGGGGGCACGCTCCGTACCCGTCGTACTGGGCGTGGGCCGACTCATCGTAGATAGCAAGTTGGTTTCCACCACTTTTAGCTGCTTAGCTACACCGAGAAAAAAATTAAAAATAAAATAAAGTTTTCGGTTAGCGCTTATGGTTTTACGATTCTGGAAGATAAACAATTTTCGCAATGGTCTACCATAAAATAAGAAACTTAAAATTTAGACCAAGCAGCAAACGGGACTCGAACCAGTATCCTCCGCTATCCGGGCGGATGCACTGACCATTATGCTACCGCGGCCCTAATAGGGGTGATGACGGTGTACAGTAAACGAAATTCTATTTAGTCCGTCAGTTAGATGATCAAAAAATAATGGACACGTATTTTTTCTTTGGGCAATCAACCAAAAAATGACAAAGTTATAGCGCGTCAAAGTTTGGGAGTAGGGGCTCGTGACGTCACTTTTGAGTGAATTTTCACTTATAAGTGTACTCAAACGTGACTTTTCAAATCAATATATCAGCATCTTCAGCAGGTGTAATTTTTAAAAACGCTACGATTATTTTTCTTGTACTAACCCCAAAAACATTTTATTAGACGGACCGACTATGACAATGACATTTCTATTTATTTTATTTTTTCATCCTTAAGCTATGGCGTAAAATTTTAGTTCTATACAGCCTTGTAAGTTTTAGAAATTTGCCGAAATTTCAAGTTTATATGAGCCTACTGTAATCTATTTGCTTTTTGTTTTGATTATGTGTACTGTTCTTGTCTTTTATGAAATCAGCATGTTATTTTTGTATATATTTTTTATTATCCCACTGAACCGGCAGGTGGAGCCAATAGACTGTTAATTTTTGTCTAATAGTTAAAGATATTTTCTTCTATTATTTTTGTATTTATATTATATATATCTACTATATAAAAATAAGTCGGGTTTTCCTTCCTGACGCTGTAACTCCAGAACGCACGAACCGATTTCCACGGTTTTGCATTCGTTGGAAAGGTCTCGGGCTCCGTGAGGTTTATAGCAAAGAAAATAAAAAAAAAATGGTTGCCTGTAAAGTCGGTTTTACGGGCGAAGATTTTACGTGACAACGTCTTTTTCTCGGTAGAATATTTATTGATATGAATATAATTAAATTGCACAATAGGAACAAGGAATTGAATGAAAATAAGAATTGCACAAATTTTAACTATAGAAATATATTTTGTTTACTAAAACATTGTACATGTAAACTTAAACTTAACACGAGAGACTCATCGTAACGTTACCGAGCGTTACACTTTTTCATAAGTGACTCCCAGCCGCAACCTAATTTAAGACGTTGTCACGTCAAAAATAAAAAAAAACTTCTTTTAATCACCAAACGAAATGTTACATAAAACGAAGCCATCTGGTGGCGAAACGGAGTTCGCCGGGTTTGCTAGTTATTTATATTTAAAAGTATATAAGTTTGAGTTTTATGTCCAGTTTGGAAATATGTAGTGATGATGATCTTTTCCAATCTTTATCACCAGCTAACGGCAGCACTAGCAGTAGTTTTTTTAGTATACCTTCTCTCTCTGAATACCTTGATAACCAGTTTTCTGATGTACCTAGAAATTTTAACGTAGTTCATTACGTTAAACATTCATTTTCATTCAACGCGCAAAGTATTCCGGCTCACTACACTGATATGTTGGCGTCTCTTGATAATAAAAATCTTCATGCTGTTTTAGTCTCCGAGTCCTGGCTTAAACCTTCACTACCTTCTTCTTCATATTCTTTGCCTGGTTTCCAGTTAATACGCAACGACCGCACTGGTTCTCGAGGTGGTGGAGTTGCTATTTATCTGCGTACTGAAATTCCATATACTGTCATTAGCTTCTCCACTCAGCCTCCTCCATCTAATGCTGGTGAGCATTTGTTCATTGAGATACTCCTCTCACACACCAAAGTCCTCCTCGGAGTCTACTACAGCCCTTCCTTAAATGTTAACTTTTTCAGTTCCTTTGAACAACTTTTAGAAGATTGCGTCCCGTCTTACAACCATTCCCTGATGTGACACCATGGGTGACTTCAACACTTGTCTTTTGAAAGGCGATTTTCGTATGGATCGTGGATATGACAAAAGCTGAAATATAGCTTTTGTCATATCCACGATCCATACGAAAATCGCCTTTCAAAAGACAAGTGTTGAAACGCAGAGTTCCGCAGAGTGGAAAGAGGCTGTCTCGTTATCTGGATCCGGAAACCCGGTAAGGACGGCGCCTTACCTTCTAGCTACCGCCCTATAAGTCTCCTCAAAACGCTGAGGAAACTTTACGAACGCGCCCTCGCTAGCCGCCTTAAAGATTTTCTGTTCGCGAACAATCTTATTATGGACGAACAGTTTGATTTCCGTCCCAAACACTCAGGTGTCCACCAGGTGCACCGCCTAACGGAGCACATCCTCCACTACCGCGATCTATTTCCCGAAGACTGACATTTCACTCGTTTTTATACACTCACAATGAAAGCTGTCAAACGTCAGGTAACTTTAATTAGTAACTAGTGTTGCCAACCTGTCATATAAAAAATGGGACTGTTTTATTAGATGTTTGCTTAGTATATATCTTGGTTTCTAGATTGGTAGTAAGTGAGGATATCTGGACCAGAGCGCTTCATTGCTGTTTTGTGACTGCGCGCTATTCACAATCCATTTTGAGCTTACAAAGTTATAATTTGATATGGCAGAGGCTGCTAAATCTAGTATAATCAATAAATAAGCATGTTTTATTCCAGATGATCCCGAGAACACAACGCATGCAGTCTGAGCAGCTGCGAGTATTGCCACCGGAAGAGTTTGCACCGTTACTTATAGAGAAACTGGAGCGCGTGCGTCGCGATCAAGACTCCAAGGAACGCCTGGAGCGACGCCTAGCTGAGGTAGGTGCTGCCACAATCTCCAGCTGCGGAGAGCGTCCTTTAGGTCAAAGTCAAAAAATCTTTATTCAATTTGGATGCACAATACAACTCTTTTGAATTGGCCATAATTTTTCTCTACCTCCAGTTCACGATATTTTTTTAGCTGTGGAGAATAACTGGCGAAAAAAACTTCACAGCGTTAAATAATTACGTAACAATATTATAAAATATTATATTGTTACGGTGTCAATACAAAATCATATCATTTTCATCATAATTATAGAAAAAGCCCGCCGGAACGTTTTAAACAGTTTAAACCCAAGCATTTTTCTCGGAAATATAATCAGACACCTTATATTATAATAGGCTTCATTAATAAAGTCTCATTTAATAGTAGCTTTAAATTTATTGCGCTTAATTTCTCGATATTGCTTGTAGAAGCGTACATGAAGACCTTTAAATGAATTATTTATTAAGAGGAGCCTTGTAATTGGTACAGTTATTATTTCTAGTATTAAGCGAGTGCTTATCACTATTTAAAGGAAATAATGTAAATTGATTTTGAAAATACATTAAATTTTCATAAATGTACTGAGAAGCAACAGTCATTATATCGATTTATTTATTTTTTTTCTCTTAAATAGTCTCTAGTCTTAGGATTCAATATAAGCTGAAAATGATACACTGGATACTGGTTCCTTTGGTATATTTCTTTCACTCTTTTATTTGATGGAAATTATTGAATTTAAATTATGTAATTTATTAAATTACATAAATGATAAGTTGTATTTTTAGTGACATGTGCCTATTTCTATAGTAAGTGATAATGTATTATTATTATGAGTTATGTTGCTCGAAATCAATGAATTTTATTTTATTTATTTATTAATTTATCTTCCATAAATATGTGTTTAGTTTATTATACCCGTTTTCAGTTTGCCCTCTCTAGAATTCAGACGAAAGCAATCGAATTCTTTGAATCTAAAATTGTACATTATTCTCTATTTCATAATTCTTTTGAACGCCAGGCGTTGGAACTAGACATTTTGTTATTCCTTCTAATAAAATGATTGTTATGGAAAAAGATTGCGAGGCGGTGAGCGGTAGTCTTATTTATATATAATATATTGTTTTAAACTTTTATGGTCACTAACATTATAGTAATATAAGTTATTTACGAGATTGTTACCATGTACCTTGTTTTAAGCGATATCCCGATATTTTGGCACTGTCGCAAGCGCCATGATCACGGAGAAACTCGCTAAAAACAAGGTACACGGTAGCAATCCCGTAAATAACTTATATAACTAGAACATATTTATGTATTTGCAAATGTTTTGTTCAGTGACTTCAACCGATAATCTTGGCGCTTGGCCTTAATAGTGATTCCAATCTTAGATGCTTATATTAGTGTCTGCTATCTTAACTAATTATAATGATGCATGCGACAGGGAGATGAAGAGGGTAGTCAGGCGTTACCGCCGCAGTTGGTGGCGGCCGCCATCCGGGAGAAGTTGCAGCTCGACGACGACAACGATCAAGATATACTGGGTGAGTCATTGTATAACGTGCCTTGTTCAGTCCTGCTCGAAGGACCAAAACTGTGTTTAACGTCGCAATAATGAAATAAACTTTCACGCAATTGGTTATTTCAGTTTTACTGTAAAACACGTTCAACATAAGATATCCGCTGTTTAGTATTTGACATACTAAATCCTTTGTCTCATTTTTGTATCACCTCTCTCGCTCTCTTCCGGTTGTGTCTGTAAACCGCGTCAAGTGTTCTCCCACATTAATATTCATTTAAATTAGATTAACTTTATATTAGTATACAAAAACTTGTGTATCTTAATTATCTCTTATCTATTAGACAAGTCCGTCTGTCTGTGGTGCTGTTTCAGCGGCCAAACCGTAAGAGATAGATAAAGAGAATATTTAAGTTATAAGTTAAGAATAGCCTGATAAGACTACAAACCGGATTTGAGTAACGTAGCACTTCCGGTTTTCGAGAAATCAGGTTTTGGTGAACATTTGGTTCACTGGTTTGCTAGTTATCATCTCATTCAATAAATACAGTGATTTTGGTGAGAAGCGTGGTTTAATTTAGCTATACCAAACATCCGCTATAAGCCAACCTTTATTTTTATTATCGAGATACGATACTGTGCTTAAATTATAACAAAGAGGGAAGATACAGCACTCGCGGCTTAAAAGTGTAATTGTGGTGACCACAATTCGCTTCAGTCACAAATGAACATTCAGTCACGCTGCAGGTGCACTCAATATCACAATATTGCGTATATCCGGCGTCATAAAGTTAAAACAATGCCTTCGATGCTTTTATAAAGAACACAAATTGAGATCAAATGACAAATTTCACGGCAACACTTTTCATTCGTAAAACCATAAAAATATATATTTCTTAAAAAACACGGTTTGTCATGAACGTTATTTACTTATTCGCCATTTGTTATGGACACATTTTCATAGTAAATGTAGTCGTATAGCGTTGGAAATAGGCTATTTGACAGCATAAAAAAAAATGTGTGCACGGCGCACACATCTGGAGTGAAACTGCTTAAAATAATCTAACATTAGGCGGTGCATAAGGCATAGGGGAATGAAGCAGCGCACGCATCACTCATATATATGTATAATGCGATTCAAATAAGAATAGGAAAGCCAATGATCCCCATCTGTCAAATGTGCTTGAAATGTACGGTTTGCAAAAAAAAAACTCGGATCACATTTTTTGCACTCGGCTGATTCTAGAATAAAAACTAATCATTTTTAAGCAAACAATAAGAAATGTTGATAATTAATATTACTTAATTATAAATTTATTTTTTCTAGTAAACTTTTCTTTAGATTTAGACATCTACCAGTTAAATGTTTAAAATAAATAAAAGCATAACTATAATTGCTATTTGTTCTTTCAAATGTTTAATACTTGAAAAAGTATTCATTTGACATTGTGGGTTACCTACAATGCGAAGAGATGGCGCTGCCTTGCAGCTTAAGGCTAGGAAAATTTCGACGCGGCTAATAGGGCCGTGGTAGCATAATGGTCAGTGCATTCGTCCGGATTGCGAAGGGTGCGGGTTCGAGTCCCGTCCGCTGTCTGGTCCGCGTGGATTTTCTTTTTCTAGTAAACTTTTCTTTACATTTAGACATCTAGCAGTTAAATGCTTAAAAATAAATAAAAACATAATTAATATTAGTTGTTTTTTTTTCATTTATTGAGCTTTGGCTATACATGGTTGAGAACCTAAATCGTCAACCAAATGCCACTTTATGTTGGGTTCAAAAACTCGATTTAAAACTTTAGTTTACATATATGATGCCTGTTCGTATGTGACCTGCATGATTATTCATAACTTCTCCGGCGGAAATGCAGAGATGAGCGAAATTGAAGAGCTAGATTGTGATTAATGTTTTTTTTTTCACAGAGTTATAATAAAGAAATACTATTAAAAATCAGTTGTGTTCTTTCTCCACCTTACTAAATTAATTATATTAAAAAAATCTGATGTTTTGTCTCACTTAACTCGTCGGAGAGAGCTTCGCACGCAGCTCAGATTCAGATGTGTAATCAGTGCTCACATTTTGTTTTTAATTTACCTACCACCTACAAGGGAACAAGAAAATGGACACAAGTTGAAGAAAAAATTAGTTTTTTTTTATAGATAGGTCCGACAAATTATTCCACCCCACCTGATGTTAAGTGAAGGTGAAGTCCAGACGCAAAGATAGCTGATACAGCAGTTCTACCTGCCACACCAGCCATCCTCACCCTGCCGGCCTGCATGTTGCTTCTGTACGCCTCTTTTAAAGGACCCCAGGTTGTAAGAGGGAGGGAACGCGTGAGCGGGCAGAGCATTCCATTTACGGATAGTGCGACAAAGAAATGAGTCACCAAATTTCTTTGTACGCGTTGGAATTGTGGCCTCAGTAAGACGGTGACAACGTAGGCCAGCGCGCGTGGTCCTCTGAAGGAAAGGGGAAGGTGGGATAAGAGGGAATAACTCCTCAGAACACTCGCCGTGGTACAGACGATAGAACGCGCTTAGTGACGCCACGTCACGGCGTAATGAGGGCTATTATTTTTAATTTTTATTATTAATACGCACATGAAATCAATGGTTACATTTAGATCGTATTTTAACACAAAAGAACCATATCCTAAACATAATAGGCCATGCCACAGTGACGCGCAGTTCCGTTTTATTCGGAAAAAATGGGAACATAATCATTTTTCTAAGCTCAATTTTTTAATAACTGACATTAATTGCCACATAACTCATATTTGCCATAATTAAGCCGGATTGTTACCAATTATTCACCACATTATTTTAATTAGAAATAGGTCCCGATTCTGACGTGATTCTCTAAACTTAAAACTAAATTTAACATCAGTTTCTCCTTTTCGTTCTGTATAGAGAATGACAAGGATATACTGCTGTCAAATTTAAGTTTAGGTTTAGAGAATCATGCTAGAATCGACACCATAAACCCGCGTAGTCAACCAACAAGCAATAACATTTGACATTTCGGAGACCTCACGCTACACTAGCGCCTCTAGCGGCGGATTCATACGCGATAGCCCTCATTGAAGAGGCTCAAGGTGTTTAGTCACCTCCCTTTAGTCACAGTTTTAGTAAGAAAAACTAACAGCACTATGATACTATCATATTTGATCGATCTAGATCAACACGTTTCCCGCGTTTGGTCGGAACGCACGCCGGGTGCCTCACCGCCGGGGGGCAGAAGGACCCGCTTACGGCACGCGGGGCATCTGTCCCACGCGCCGGGGCATCTGTCTCACATGCCGGGGCACATGTCCCACGTGCCGGGACACCTGTCCCACTCGCGGCGTGCCCCGTCCGCGCTGTCGGCCGACTCGGGGCACTACGACGCGCAGTCCGTCGATGCGCTCTACTCGCATTCTGCTAAGAGGTAAGCTTTCTCGGGTCGTTAAACATTTTGAATAAAACCACAGAGAAATAAAGTTACGCAGTATGCGTTTTTTTGTAAGTAATATTGCTACTGCGCAGGCTTCCTTGTCTATGGTCGTCGCTCAAGAAGTTTGCCGGGCTGTAGACGTGTTATCGATTTTAATGTTATTGGAAATTTATCGTTTTGCTATTTTCAGTCTTATAACTGCCATCATTGGTATTTTTCTCAGCCGTCTACTTGAATTCACATTCGTTCTGATCTTTTAAGATTGAATAGCCATTTTTTCAATGTTTCCAATTTTGGACTGGGCAGAAGTTTCTAAGGTGCCCCACCCTCGCTACGCCCATGTCTCCCACAGAAATTCACGATTAATATGTATAATAATAATCTATTTAAATAAAACTGAAAGGTGATTGACTGACATAGTGATCTATCAACGCACAGCCCAAACCACTGGACGGATCGGGCTGAAATTTGGCATGCAGGTAGATGTTATGACGTAGGCATCCGCTAAGAAAGGCTTTTGATCAATTCTACCCCCAAGGGGATAAAGTAGAGAATGAAAGTTTGTATGAAACTTTGTCAATTTTAAACCGATCGGGCTGAGACTGCATGCAGGTTTAAGAAGAATTATAGATGAATGTCATTGTGTATAATACAAGCCTGAGAACAAAAACTGTAGTCTACACAGCTCTATACCGAAGCGAAGCGAGGGCGGACGCTAGTATATAATAATACTTGATTTGTATGCTTATTTTACTAGATAGATAGATAAATCATTTATTCCCATCAGTACAGTTACTTATATTCACAGGAACACACTTTTAGAAGTGCATGATATATTAAATGAAACATAACGCTTCTGAAAATGTTTTAAATATAAAATAAAAGGTCGTAATACAATTTGATATGTCCAGTGAATAGAAAAGACTAACTTGTGTGAATTTATACGCTTCTTAAATTTGTAAATCTACAATAATTCCATCCTATCCTAACAGATCATTCGGCAAGAAGACTGTGACCGAGCTCACGGATAGCGGAGTATCGGTAGTCAGCTCCGGGGCGAGCGTCGAACCCCGGATCCTGCTGTGGATGGCGGAAGGGAGCGACCGGCGACACCGCGACCATTCCTCGCGCGCCTCCTCCGCCGACCGCGACCGCGACCGCGACCGCGACCGCGACGACCATCGGCGCGCCAAACCGTCGCCGAGACCCAGGTGACTATACTGCACTACACGCGACCATTCCTCGCGCGCCTCCTCCGCCGACCGCGACCGCGACCGCGACCGCGACGACCATCGGCGCGCCAAACCGTCGCCGAGACCCAGGTGACTATACTGCACTACACGCGACCATTCCTCGCGCGCCTCCTCCGCCGACCGCGACCGCGACCGCGACCGCGACGACCATCGGCGCGCCAAACCGTCGCCGAGACCCAGGTGACTATACTGCACTACACGCGACCATTCCTCGCGCGCCTCCTCCGCCGACCGCGACCGCGACCGCGACCGCGACGACCATCGGCGCGCCAAACCGTCGCCGAGACCCAGGTGACTATACTGCACTACACGCGACCATTCCTCGCGCGCCTCCTCCGCCGACCGCGACCGCGACCGCGACCGCGACGACCATCGGCGCGCCAAACCGTCGCCGAGACCCAGGTGACTATACTGCACTACACGCGACCATTCCTCGCGCGCCTCCTCCGCCGACCGCGACCGCGACCGCGACCGCGACGACCATCGGCGCGCCAAACCGTCGCCGAGACCCAGGTGACTATACTGCACTACACGCGACCATTCCTCGCGCGCCTCCTCCGCCGACCGCGACCGCGACCGCGACGACCATCGGCGCGCCAAACCGTCGCCGAGACCCAGGTGACTATACTGCACTACACGCGACCATTCCTCGCGCGCCTCCTCCGCCGACCGCGACCGCGACCGCGACCGCGACGACCATCGGCGCGCCAAACCGTCGCCGAGACCCAGGTGACTATACTGCACTACACGCGACCATTCCTCGCGCGCCTCCTCCGCCGACCGCGACCGCGACCGCGACGACCATCGGCGCGCCAAACCGTCGCCGAGACCCAGGTGACTATACTGCACTACACGCGACCATTCCTCGCGCGCCTCCTCCGCCGACCGCGACCGCGACCGCGACCGCGACGACCATCGGCGCGCCAAACCGTCGCCGAGACCCAGGTGACTATACTGCACTACACGCGACCATTCCTCGCGCGCCTCCTCCGCCGACCGCGACCGCGACCGCGACGACCATCGGCGCGCCAAACCGTCGCCGAGACCCAGGTGACTATACTGCACTACACGCGACCATTCCTCGCGCGCCTCCTCCGCCGACCGCGACCGCGACCGCGACCGCGACGACCATCGGCGCGCCAAACCGTCGCCGAGACCCAGGTGACTATACTGCACTACACGCGACCATTCCTCGCGCGCCTCCTCCGCCGACCGCGACTGCGACCACGACCGCGACGACCACCGACGCGCTAAACCGCCGCCAAGACCCAGGTGACTGTACTACACTACACGCGACCATTCCTGGCGCGCCTTCTCCGCCGACCACGACGACCATCGGCGCGCCAAACCGTCGTCAAGACCCAGGTGACCATACTACACTACACACGACCATTCCTCAGCGACTGCGACCGCGACTACTACACTACTCAAGCCTTCCCCGCGACCGAAGTGATTATATTACACTACACATGCCCCCGCAACCATACCCCCGCCAACCACGTGTCTAAACACTAGTGATGTAACGAATGTCACTTTTTGAACATAACAATAGTAACGATTCTATAAATCTTAACGATTCCATAAAGCTAAGCGGAAACCGATGAGAGCGTAATGGTAACGGAGTCTCGGAGATCGTGTTTTAGAAGCGGCGTCTGCGTCTGCGCCGAGTAGGGATCTTCGTTCGTCGCCATCTTGAAGTAGGAGATGTTGCGCCGCCGTAGGTGTGGTCATTACAACCCGTTGTCTAGTGACGGCCTACCGTGAGCAGCCATCTTGCTGCTGCAGCCGCGGGAACAATAGACGGCTCGCAGACCGGGCGCTGTGACGTCACATCGTATGATGATCGTACGATTTTCATGTGTGATCTCACTGCGCAAGCGCAGCTGTTGCGTTAGCGGATTTGAGCCGCTACAGTGTCGATTCTGGCATGATTATCTAAACTTAAAACTAAAGAAGGATGGCCAAATCGTACCTGATGAGGAAACGATGACGTCCCAATATGCCATATATATCAAAAAATCCCTTATTTTTAAAGGTTTCAGAATATATAAGCAAAATATCCATATTCTCCCACATTAAAAAGATATACCTTTTTTTGTGTTTTGGTTACTTATTTGAAATTATTTGGAATAACATGTTCAGAACGCACCCATTGACGATTAATTTCGCACATGAAATGATTTAATATTCATGGACTATATATAAATTATTTCTTTTTCTAAATACTTGTCAACTTTAATTAATAGTTAGGCATCTGATCAACTAGTGTTATTAGGTATTTAAAGAACTTTAGGATAGTATTTACAACATAAAAACAAACCATGCTCACTATAGTTTATTAAGGGACATCAAAAATAAAAGTCAAGTCCAGCTCATATAGAAATCTGGCCATTGTTCTTTAATATGATCTGATTTATGTTCCACAAATTATAAACAGAATTCCTACTTTAAAAGAGTAAAACAATTTATTCAAGTGATGTGGACGTATTCCTGGCGAAACAAAATTATTTCAAAAAGATTGTGAATAGTAAATTTTTTAATAATAATAGAAATCTGGCCATTGTTCTTTAATATGATCTGATTTATGTTCCACAAATTATAAACAGAATTCCTACTTTAAAAGAGTAAAACAATTTATTCAAGTGATGTGGACGTATTCCTGGCGAAACAAAATTATTTCAAAAAGATTGTGAATAGTAAATTTTTTAATAATAATAATAAAACCTAATTTAAATTACTTTATATTTCTATCACCATTTTCTCTGTGGGTATGGCTTTATGGCTTTATGCTTAATTTTTTGCTTCTGTGTTTTTATTTTTATATAGTTTTAAATTAATCTACGGCCTCGATTGGATTAAGTATATTTTATTTGAGTTGTATTTGTGAAAACTGTATAAGGCATATCAATGCTACATCATCTCGTTTTATCCTTAGTTTTAACATGCTGTTTGTTTTCCATGAATAAATAAATAAATAAATAAAATAAATAAATATCAATCTCACCTTATCATACTATATAGAGAATGACAAGGGTGCAGTTGTCAAATATAAGTTTAGATTTAGAGAATCATGCCAGAATCGACACTGTAGCGGCTCAAATCCGCTAACGCTTTGACGACCTCCGTGACCGAATGGATTGTACACCGGGTTTCATGGTGTCGCCGACTCGAGAGGTCCCGGGTTCGAATCCCGATGGAGGCAGATGTTTGTGTGATGAATACGAGCATTTGTACTCCAGTCATGGATAAAACTAGTTTTTCACGGGTTAATGCACGAAACTTTATTTATTTATTGACGTTCCAGTCATGGATGTTCAATATGAATTTCTATATAAATAAACTTATATTTTTACAGTATATGTTTTCTATCCGTTACCCTAGCATCCCATAACACAAGCCTTACAGTGCTTACTTTGGGGCTAGGCTAATTGGTGTGACTGTTGGATATTTTTTTTTATTTATTGTCGGTGTTATAGGAAACAGATTATAATGAACTAGCAAACCTGTGAACCAAATGTTCGCCAAAAAAAAAAAAAGTATTTAATTAATTGAGAACGTCGGAGATTTTGTGTGGTTTCGTTTGAAATACAAATCACGTGATTTCTTGAAAACCGGAAGTGCTACGTTACTCACATCCGGTTTGTAGTCTTATCAGACTATTCTTAACTTATAACTTAAACATTCTCTATATCTATCTCTTACGGTTTGGCCGCTGAAACAGCACCACGGACGGACGGACGGACTTGTCTAATAGATAAGAGATTAGCTATTTTATTTTTAGCGTTATTGACGATTAAATTTTGTGTGTTAGGGGCAGCAGCCAACGCGGTCAAAGCGGAGTATCGGCAGGGGAGCACACAGTAGTGGTGGTTTCATTCTTAGACGAGGCGGTGCCGTACCGCTTCAAGGTGCCGGCCGCGCCCCTCACGCTCAAGGCCTTCAAGGAATACCTGCCCAAGAAGGGGAACTATCGGTAACTATATTTATTTATTTATTGAAGTGAAACTTCTTTATCGGCGTTGGAAAAAAATTTACCGTCACATTTTTATTCGGTTACGCGTCACGTTTTTTGGTTACGCGTCACGTTTTTTGGTTACGCGCCATCTTTTTTTTAAAAGAGCACTATTTACCTCATCCGAACAATTGCTTCTTCTGTCAACTTTTAAAAAAAAAAGTATCGACAGCAAATATTCGTGTTTCACACAAGGTAAGGTAAGGTAAGGTAAGGTAAGGTAAGGTAAGGTAAGGTAAGGTAAGGTAAGGTAAGGTAAGGTAAGGTAAGGTAAGGTAGGTTGATATGAGATTAGCTTAAGAAGATGCTAATATACCGCGGGCGCTTACGGACTGCGCCTTTGGTATTAAGCTTGATTTCAGTTTTCGTTATATATGTGTTTTAGTAAATAGTATTAGTTATTAGTATTTAGGGTTTTACTAAGTGTGTTTTATGATTTTAATAAGGTAAGGTAAGGTAAGGTAAGGTAAGGTGTAGTTATACCCCTTTAGTGGGTGAGTTTTTGAAAAATCTTAGCGCACGCCTATATATATATTTCTGGAAAGTTGCATGTAGATCATTTTTCGAAAAAAATAAGGAAAAAAATAAAAATAAGGAAAGTTTCACTTCTTACGTGTGTACACTAGTGCACGCACACATTTTTTTTTATTTATACAGTGGCGGCGAAATCTATATGCCCCACATATATACAACGGATGAAGGAAATCATTACTCACCATCCTCAAGAGATGGCGTTACCTGCACTGCGATCATAATAGTATGGAAGCCTACATCGCGCAAATGAAATTCGGAGGCTAACTCTTCATATATATGATGCCCGACTGATATCAGTCGGGCCGCGGCCCCCGAGCTAACATCACCCAGCTCGGAGGAAGATCTTCCCCTTTGGCCTTCCTACGATACTTTATTGCACAAAAGTATGTACAAGTGGCGGACTTAATGCCATTAGGGCATTCTCTACCAGTCAACCGGAGAATTTTAGCAAAAATCTTAAGGTAGTGCAAAAAGAATTCATCAAATTACTTATTATATTTTTATATCTATGGAAACAAGATAATATATATGTATATATATATATGTTGACGAAGTGTGACATCGTGTGACAAGGGGGTGGGAGGGGTCCTAAATTTCGTGACGTTACATTTCAAAATCTATTATAATCTAAGGCCTGTATTATAGAAAGATTCTTAGTGGTTGATCTAGTCTTGAGCATAGTTAGAAAGGGATGTCGCTATTTATAGCTCATAGCGATATCCCTTTCTAACTGTATTCAAGTAAAGATGTCACTTAGTTGTCATTCTGTAACACGGACCTAAGTGTTAAAACACGAACTTTAAACTATTACTTTACGAAAACATTAACAATCCAAACGTGAATAAAGTGGCTGCTATGCCTGTTATAACTAGCTGACCCAGCGAACTTCGTACCGCCATAAAAAAATAGGGGTTGGTGGTAGAAAGTTGAAAATTTAGGGATGTATGTATTTTTGTATGATGTATCATAAAAAAAATAAGAAAAAATATTTATCTAAAATTGAAAAAAAAAATTTAGGGGTGGATTACCCTTAACATTTAGGGGGATGAAAAATAGATGTTGTCCGATTCTCAGTCCTACCCAATATGCACACAAAATTTCATGAGAATCGGGAAAGCCGTTTCGGAGTAGTTTAACCACAAACACCGCGACACGGGAATTTTATATATTAGATAATAATTTATTCTCAGACAATATTATACAGTCCATAGAATGTTAGTAACAATGTGCCTTAAAAAACAAAGTATAAAATAGATTACAAATAAACATAATATGATCATCCCCTGCTGGGAACAGCATTAATAATTTTTAATATAATGCTATTAATATTTTTTGTTTTGTTAATTTCTTTAATTAATAAAGTTAATCTTTTTTGTTTTGGTTAATTATTTTAATTAACATAGTCAATCGTTTTTTGTTTGGTATTTTTTTTAGTTAATATATTTAATCGTTTTTTGTTTTGTTAATTGTTTGATTTGATGCTAATATTATTAAAAAACAAATTTTAATGGCAATAAAACTAATTTCGGAACCGCTGTTTTCATTCAATAGTTTCTAAATGTATTTTTACAAAATTATGTGACGTCACACTAGGAGGGGGGAGTCTCACAAATGTGACAAGGACGGGGGGAGGGGCAAAAAATGATGAAATTAGTGTGACGTAATTTATGGATAGCATAGGAAGATTGGGCCATGACCCACCACAGGGGCCCAGTGCGGATTGGCGGGCGCTAACGACTGCAGATGCAGCCGGGACCAACTGCTTAACGTGCCTTCCGAAGCACGAAGGAACTCGAGATAGAAGATTTATTGTCACCCATCCAATAACCGACCACTGCGAAAGTTGCTTAACTTCAACGATCGCAGCCGATCGCGCTAACCACCCGCACCATCGAGCTCCTCAAGCCTTTATTATCATCTTTATATACACATTTAGTACAAACAGTGCACATATTTAGACGTCATCATAAAAAACATTATATGAACCTACAATTAACAGGAAATAATAAAAAACAATTTTTGTCGGTGAAGACGCTCCGGCAACCTGCGAACGGATTTTCGGCCACGGAATCTGAATTTCGTTCGCTAAACCATGCCGATCGTAGAGTGACTTTCTCGGCCCGGTTCATAATGAACAATGTTATTTTTTGTAATGCTATGCCACGTTTTAAAATGGTCCGATGACGTGGTTTCATTACATGTAGTCTTGTCTCCATTTTGTTTAATTTATTCCCTAAAATGGATAACACAAGTAATGTTTTTTTTTCCCCTCTTATTGTGTGTCCGAAGGCAAAGAGCTAAGCCTACACAGCCTCTTAGATTCAGTTTTTTGTTTTAATATTGTTTTAATACTCGGCCAGCTACTAAAAAGTCCATAACATTCCCACCTCCAGTATTGCGAAGCAATACTCAGCCATGTCAGGCAAGAGAGAGAACGAAGTCAGGTCCAGTCACTATGTCTAACAGTCAGAAGTCGGGAGTCTAACGTCGAGCCGGCAAAGTTTTGTTACAGGTCGTTTGTAAGTCCCAGTCACAGTCTTCACGTCAGCTACTCGTACTTGTCCGTCAGGGCCAGGATAAGTCTTGGTCACAACACCCTTTGGCCATTGGTTTCTAGGGAGTTGGTCGTCACAAATTATAACTATGTCGTCTTCCTTTAATGGATTAACTCCAATAAACCACTTGCCTCGTCTGGTTAACGTGGGTAGGTACTCCTTACGCCAACGTTTCCAGACTAGGTCTGCAAGTCGCTGGGAATGTCGCCACGATCTTCGTAGTAGGTCTGTATTAGTAAAATTGTCCAAGGTCTGAGTCGTAAAGTTAGTCTGTCCTCCAAAAATAAAATGATTAGGGGTCAGGGGTACGTCATCAGTATGGTCAAGTGGAACCTGTGTCAGAGGTCGGCTGTTAACCATATGTTCAGCTTCTACCAGTAGAGTTTGTAAAATCTGTTGCGTGGGTACTTGCTCTTTAAGGGTCATCTTTAGTGCTGTCTTTACGGACCTTACCATCCTCTCCCAACACCCACCATGGTGGGGAGAATTTGGGCATATAAACTTCCACTGTATGTGACGAACACTCAAAAATTGTCTAAGCCTGTCTGCGTCGAGGTTTTCAACATGTCGTCGCAATTCTGTGGCAGCACCCTTAAACGTTGTCGCATTGTCACTCCAAATTTCATGCGGGGTACCGCGTCTCGCTATAAACCGCCTTAAAGCCATAATAGCACTGTCAGAAGTCAAATCATCAACTAGTTCAATGTGAATGGCCCTAACCGTCATGCAAGTAAATAATGCTGCGTAGCGTTTTTCACGTCGCCGTCCTATTTTAATAGTCATTGGTCCGAAATAGTCAAGTCCTGTATACGCAAAAACTTTAACTGCAGTCAATCTGCTTAGAGGGATTTGTCCCATAAGTGGCGGTGTCGGGGCGGTGTGTTTATTTTTACACACTTGACAAGTACGCCAAGCCGCTTTGACAGCTGAACGACCACGAAGCAACCAAAACTTTTGTCGAATATCATTAAGAACTTTTTCTTTGCCACTATGAGCAGCATCAACATGATACTGCATGACCACCAATTTTGTAAAGTGATCTGTCGGTGACAACACTATTGGATTTTTCGTGTCAAATCCAACGTTGGCAGAGTCAATTCGGCCACGCGCTCTAATGATCCCTTCAGAGTCTAAAAATGGTACGAGTTGATATAGTCTACTTTTTTTATGGACTGTTTTAGTCGATAATAGGGAATGACGCTCACTGGGGAATGATCGCTGCTGACTGTCTCTAATAAGAAGAATTTCAGCTTCTGTTAGTTCGTCAGCTAGAAGTTCATGGTCTCGTCGGTTTTGTTTGTCTTTTAAATTTCGCTTGAATCTCAAAATCCAAGCTGTCGCTCGAGCAAGTCGCCAGTACTTAGAAAATCGCGTAGCATCAGGTACACAATCGTTCGAAGTGGTAGTAGTCACTAGAGTAATTTTCATTTCCGGGTCAGGATAGGGCTCAGTCATTTTGACATCTTCAACTGGCCAGAAAGTCTCGTCCTGTCTGAGGAAGTCTGGTCCATTCATCCAAAGAGAACTGGCATATTCGGTCACTTTCTCTCGCGTCGCAAGATCGGCGTGATTCTGATGGGTTGGTACCCACCTCCAGTCAATTGGTTCGGTCAGATCTGCGATCTCACTAATGCGATGCGCTACAAAAGGTTTAAAGCGTCCTGCGTCTGACCTAATCCAGTTCAAGACAGTCTTGGAGTCAGACCAGTAAATGACACGACTTATAGTGAGATCTATATATTTTTTGACGGAATGTGCCATTCTTGCTCCTAACAAAGCGCCCTGGAGTTCTAGTCGAGGAACACTTAAGATCTTCAATGGCGCTACTCGTCCTCTAGCCATAATCATGGATACATGATAACGTCCGTCATCTAATTCTGACCTCATATAGGCTACCGTGGCAAAGGCTCTCGTGCTGGCATCACAAAAGATGTGAATTTCAACAGGTCTGGAACTATTAGTCTGTGTCGTCAGCAACCATCTAGGAACCTGTAGGTGGATAGCTCGACGAAGATCTTGTAGCCACAACTGCCATCTGTCAAAGAGATTGTCTTTGACCTCATCATCCCAGCCTATCTTTGTCTCCCAGATGTCTTGGAGGATGATTCTTGCCTTGATAATAATAAACAAAAGAAAACCTAATGGGTCAAAAAAGCTCATACAAATTTTCAAAATGTGTCGCTTCGTCGGATGTTTGTCATCTTGGCTGTCAACTATGTTAAGTAAATTAGAAAATACGAAGTTGTCTTCCCCTGGTGTCCATTTGACACCCAACACTCGTTCAACTGGTAAGTCTGAAACCTCATGAAGAATCTTAACTCCAGAACTTGACAGCTTCTCTTCTGGAAGATGTTGCAGTATCTTCTTTGAATTGCTCATGAAACTAGTCATATTGAAACCACCTTCGGCATGAATAAAAATGACGTCATCAACTAGTTTCTTACCCTGCTCTATTGTGTCTATAGATTGGATCAAATCGTCCATATAATGGTGATCAGTGATGGCTTTTACTGCCTCAGGGTGAGATTCTGAAAACCTAAGAGCATTAAAGTTCTTCACATACTGAGCACATGATGGAGAACAAACAGCACCAAAAATCATGACGTTCATCTGGTACTCGTCATTTTTCCACAGGAACCGTTGAGCATGTCGGTCTTGTTCTCTTATCAGCACCTGGTGGAACATTTCTTGTATGTCTCCCATGACAGCGTAGCGATGACATCTGAATTGGAGTAACATACCTGGCAATGAATTGAGGAAGTCGGGCCCTGGCAAAAGAAAGTCATTCAAAGACTTCCCTTCAGATTTGGCGGCAGCGTCCGTGACGAATCTCAACTTATTAGGTTTATTGGGGTTAAACACAGCAAAATGAGGTAAATACCAAGTCTTAGTGGTCCTTTGGCGAGCTTCCTCAGATGTCAGTTTACGTGCATAACCCTTTTTGACATAATCTTCAATCTTATGCTGGTACTTTTCCGCGAACTCTGGGAATTCAGCCATCTTTCGATTCACGCCCTGTAATCTAACAAAAGCTTGATTATAACTGTCAGGTAATTGACAGTCGTTGTCACGCCATAAAAGCCCAGTCTCCCAACGCTTGTAGCTTTCATTATGTCAATAGCCCTTAAATCCTCACGAGAGCGGGGTGTGTCAAAGTATGGTTTTACTCCAAAATCCTCAGTCCGAAAAGATTTCATATAAATTTCGTTTAAATTTTCGTCACACGAACAATGTAAAATTGGTACGTCAGTCGGTAATTTATTTGAATAAATAGTTCCATGCAATACGTATCCTAAGTTCGTCTTGGAAATTGTCGGTCCATGTTTCGGTCCTTGTATGATTTGTCGCGTTATAATAAGGTCTATATTGTCTTGTCCGAGTAATAAGTTAACTTTGTCAAATGTCAAGTCACTCTTGTCAAAATAGTCTTTCAAAAAATGAAACCTATTTACAATATTATTATCAACAGTATTTACAGGCAATTTCAAATTATGTGCAGTTCGAACATTATATAAAGTAAACACTTCACTTTCACTTCGTCCACGAATTTTGAAAGAAACACAACGAGAAGTAGAGTCGACCGAAGACATTCCTTGGGCACCGCATATACGCAGTGGTCGTGTCGGCCCGTCGATGCCGACACACTCGGCAAAAGATGTGTCGATCAGGCTCACTGCAGCTCCCTCGTCCAGAAGAGCGGATGTCTCGAAGTCGCCATTTCTGCCGCTTACAACAACTCGAATGACTTTCAACAATGTATGATTCGACCGTATTGCTGGTTGAGTCGTTGCAATTATAGCATTGAAGTCGTTTCCATCGGATGTAGTGTGCGTTGCAGAATCATTGCTAGTTGGTCTAGGCTCAGCATGTAGAAGCTTATGGTGAACTCGTTCGCATCCACGCACACCACATTTGGCTTTTGTACTACAGGCTCTCAATTGATGTCGGGAAGAAAGGCAGGAAAAACAAAGTTTCGATAGTGTGACAAAGTTCCATCGGTCGTCTATAGAAAGGTGTAAAAATTCTGGACAATTTTTCAAGTCATGAGAACCTTTACATTTTATACATTCTTTGTTTGTGGTCATAATAGGAAAGTGTCTGTCACCTCTATTCTGATATGATATTTTCTTGTCGACTGTACGTGAGTATAATGGTGTCGTAAACTCGATCATCGATTTCGCTACTTCCATTAGCCACTCTGATACGTCTTCTAAGGAGATGTCTATCAATCCTCGCCGAGACTTATAAAATCCCCACTGGTATTTCAGATTCGAAGGTAACTTCGACAGGGTTTCCTGTATTAACAGCGGGTTCTTCAAGTAATTCACTTGATCAGTCGAGATCATAGTAGCAACTACGTTCTGAATATCAGTTGCATATTTTTGTAGCTGTGTCATGTCATCGTGACGTATGTCCCGTTGTGATCGTATTCTAGACAACATAAAATGTATAATCGCGTCTGGTCGACCAAATCTTAATTTTAATGTGCTTATAATTTTGTCTAAATTTGACGCACTTGTCAATAAGGCGTATACTGAGTCTCGCGCTTCTCCGCGCAGACATTTCATCAGTCGTGCTATATTCTCAATGTCGCTATAGCCACATAAATCTGTAGTCATTTTAAATTGACTATAAAAGATAAGCCATTCCTCTGGCGCTCCCGAGAAAAAGGGGAGGTCTTTTGTAGTCGTCTGTCTTGCCAAAAATTTGCTCATATTAGATTCGGCGCTTGTCGGGGCGTCGGGGTGAATCTCTGGAGCACTTTTTGTTATATTTTTATTTATCGTGTGAATGAGTGATGTTTTAGATGTCGGCTGTGAGTGATTCCGTGGTGAGTGCATGTCATAAAGCTCACCATCATTGTCTTCCAAGGCTTCAAGGTCTAAAGCCATCTGATCTTGTATAAGTCGTTTCTCTATTTCGAGCTGGCGGCGCTCGAGGTCAGCGAGCTTCTCCGCAGCCCTGCGCTTGGCATCCAGGGCTCGCTGTCGGCGCGCCCGGTCTGATGCGTTGGAAATTACGGTCTTAGTTAGAGATACCTGGGAAGGTGCAGCCGACGGTGATGGTAGATCTGTCGTGACATTCATCGCTTGTGCACTTTTGCTTCTTGTCAACATTATATTAACTGTATTTACACGGTCTGGGTCAGAAAAAAGGCATCGAAGGACCACATGAAATGGAAAAGGCGTCTTTCAAGGCAAAAACTGTATATTTACCAGATAAAAATAATAAAACATGCACTTCATTCTATCTCTTGTCATCGTCTTTTTTTCGATTTCTACGTCACGGTAAGTCAGCGTCAGTTCCGTCAGTCAGTTACTCGGCCAGCTACTAAAAAGTCCATAACAATAACTAAGGAGCTCGATGGCGCAGGTGGTTAGCGCCTTCGGCTGCGATCGTTGTAGTTAAGCAACTTTCGCAGTGGTCTGTCATTGGATGGGTGACCAAAAATTTCTATCTCGAGTTCCTCCGTGCTTCGGAAGGCACGTTTAGCCGGTTGCATCTGCAGTCGTTAGCACCCGCCAATCCGCACTGGGCCCGCGTGCTGGGTCATGGCCCAATCTCCCTATTCCATCCATAGGGAAGGCCTGTGCCCCAGCAGTGGGGACATTGAGAGGCTGATGATGATGATGATTAATAACTTCTCTTATTTGTATATTAAGTGATTGTCTAGTGTCTCCGTCCCTTGATGTCCAAATTAGGTCCCTCCAGAATATTAGCGTTGCAACGGCAATAAATTTTTGTCGTTGCAACATTATGCTGAGGTGGGGCCTAGTTGACGATAGACATTTTGTTTTATGTTTTATGTGTATTTATTGTAACTGTTAATGTATGTCGTCAATAAATCTTTTTCTTTCTTTCTTAATAGCAATATCGTTATTTCTCACGCAGATATTTCTTCAAAACGAACTGCGCGGATTTGGACACCGTGATCCAGGAAGAGGTTTGCAGCGACGCCGACATCCTGCCCATGTTCGAGGGAAAAGTTATGGCGCGCGTCAAACCCATCGACTGAAATAACCGTCACTATACACTACACTACCGTATTCACTACACTGCACTCAACTACCCATACTATCCACACTAACTCATTACACTACACTCGCAAAATAATCCCACTAAAGACCGCCTACAAGGGCACTCGCTTGTGTCAAAGTTAATTAGTAACTATAATTTCTTTTAGAAACCCATAGGAACAATAAACATATATAAATGCCAAATTTTAGTCAATTCCGTTCTGCCGTTTTTGTGTGATTGAGTAACAATAAACATACAAATTTCATATTCATAATACACTCGCTTGCAAAATTAAGTGTATCACATTTTGAAATTGCAATTTTTTCTAAACTATAGAAGTTAGTGATTAAAAATAAAAAAAAATCGTTTTATCGCTACTTTTCAGCTTTCTTTGAAACTGTAGTATAAAATTAGACTGCTTTTCGAATCGAATTATTGCGGAAATGCATTTTTTGTACTTAACAAGTTATTGCAATAGGGATGATGACTAATTATTTTTTCTTCGTTTATCGGGTAGATTATCAAAAAGTATTGGACACATATTTTTTCTTTTTTCACATTATATAAGCATTGCAGAGATATATTGATTTGAAAAGCCGCATGACGTCACGTTTGAGTACACTTATAAGGGAAAATTCACTCAAAAGCGACGTCACGAGCCCCTACTCCCAAACATTGACGCGCTATAACTTTGTCATTTTGTGGTTGATTGCCCAAAGAAAAAATACGTGTCCATTATTTTTTGATCATCTAACTGACGGACTAAATAGAATTTCGTTTACTGTGTACCCCGTCATCACCCCTATTTTAAAAGTGAATGATGCTTAATTTTTCAGGCCAGTGTATTAGTAGGAAGCTGGATGGTAGCAATACCCTATTACCGAGTGAAATGCCTCTAAACGTCGCAATATATAAGTTTGTGCTTCATTTATCATCTTTCCGTGATGTCACACTGACGTGTCTAATCAAAACGCGGCTTTTCCTCCACAACTTTGGCGATTTTAATTTCGAGCAGAATCTGAATAATGCTGTCTCTAATGGGGGTGCTCTGTGACTACACTACATTCGACTACCCACGATCACTACACTCGACTACCCACGATCACTACACCCAACTACCCACAATCACTACACCCAACTCGTTACAGCCATCTAAACACTACACTCGTTACTCTCTTCACCTGTAGGAGACACTACTTGATCGTACAATAAGTACGTACTTATCGTTTTACTAATTGACATAAAATTTGGACAACAAATTGACTATAACCCATTTGTTTCAGTGAAACAGTTATTGTTGAAAAAAAGTTGTTTATTTTATACACTTAAGGTAGTGAAGTTGTGAAGCGAGATTGACGTGTGAATGACACACAGTATTAAATCTGTGTTCCTACTAGGCAAGAAAAATTTAGCTTTTCGTCTCAATTGCGGTACACTCGCTGCTTATGGAGTTCCATAACGCGTAATATGCTTCGTAAAACTCGTTCAACTCGCAGCTAACTTCAGACGGGCGAACTTAAAGTATTCTTTTCCATTTTCATTTATAAACTGGTCATCGTATGCACAAAAAGGTAATATGTAACATGCTACTGGAAAATAATTAGTTCAGTGTGAACATAGTTTTTGAATTGACTCGAGTCTTTGCCACTATGCCATTTTTATATTGTTTAAGCAGCCGTTGGAAATATATTGCTTAAAAGCAAACGTCCAATGACACTCAAGTGTAATTAGTACAAAATTTGACTCATATATTTATATTGCGTACGGACAGCAGCTAATAGACCCGATTAACACGACACAAATCATAATTCATTTATTGCGAGTACTGCATTTATTAATATTTTCGTGTAAAAAATAAAATAAACTGAAAATCTGAATAGAAAATAGCAAAATTGGGATTTCATGACTTTTATAAATTATTTTTAATCGTATTTTACATCAATGACAATTATTGTAATTTTCTTATAAATAATTCACAGTGATGATGTCATGTGTTGATATTTTTTCACACTTACAAGAGGCATTCTTTTTTTTACTAAAAAGTAGTCTTTCTTGAAGTTACCGGTATTAAAAGCGTCTAAACGAATCTGAGGATAGAAGAAAAATATTTTAGGACATTATAGAACATTAACTTTTTAGATCAACACTATGAACACTTCGCTGAGATAGACTGTTTTGAACTTAAAACCCGATGTAATTAATTTACAAAGATATAACCATAAACTACGTTAAAATTAAAGTGATTAAACAGATACACATACAAATAGTACCAGATTGTTTATTCAAGGTTACAATAAAATATAACGAACAGTTTTTATACTCGTCATGTTAATTACAGGTTGTCTTACAGGCAGGTGACGTCACACGGCTCTTATTAAAACGTCAAGCAGTACAAAGTAATGTGACTTCGACAGCATGTGACGTCATTTTAGGCTCCGCCAATCCTAGGAGGTTTCGGTCACGTGACAATAGATCATAAAAAACTTTTCTATTTCATGATTTTTAGTAATATAAAGTATAAACAACTTTTTTGTATGTCATCCTGTAGACATTTTTTTGCCAATTTAGGACGTGGTTATCCAAATTGTATCCTAACATGTGCGATATCCTTTATATACATATCGTGTACATTTTGTGTATAAAAACATTTATTAGTATTATTATATTGACCAATGACCCGGTATGGCAGATTATATCAGAGGTTTTGAACCATAAAGCAGAACTAAATAGATTTTACTATTAATAATAAACGCTAAGACATTTCCTGTGAATATAATTTGTTTAAATTCGCATATATCGTTTTGGATGCAGTTTGCGTAACTGCGGTTTGTGCACGTCAGTAATATAAAATTAGTGTTTGTTCATCTCGACTACAATGACTACGTGTATGATACATAAATATATTGAGTCGTTTTGTATTATTATAATTTATCGAATATTAGAAGAAATGATAAAGACCCGGCATCAGGCAGCGAGAGTAGATGATGCAGTCGAAAAGGTGGTCGTTTCGTCACTTTAAGGTGAGAATCGTTTGCGTTCGATCTAGATATTTCATTTAGTTTTTATACACCATTGACAACGAGTGCAAACAGTAGGCTATTTGACAAGTTTTAAAGTCGTCCATACTTTATTTTTTACTCCATAAAAACGATGTTTGATGGATATTCATAATTCTGTTGCGCATATCAGTAAAAAAACAAAAAAAAGCTCTCTAGAGTCTTACAGGCAGGTGACGTCACACGGCTCTAATTAAAACGTCAAACAGTACAAAGTAATGTCACTTCGACAGCATGTTTACAAGCAGGTGACGTCATTTTAGGCGCCCCCAATGCTAGGAGTTTTCGGTCACGTGACAATAGATCATAAAATACTTTTCTATTTCATGTTTTTAGTGATAACTATCAAAAACTTTTTTTTGTCAGAATAGTTAATTTGCTCCCAATATTCATGTTAAGCACACATGACAATAATAGGGATGATGACTAATTTTTTTTCTTCGTTTATCAGGTAGATTATAAAAAAGTATTGGACACGTATTTTTTCTTTTTTCACATAATATAAACATTGCAGAGATATATTGACTTGAAAAGTCGCATGACGTCACGTTTGAGTACACTTATAAGTGAAAATTCACTCAAAAGTGACGTCACGAGCCCCTACTCCCAAACTTTGACGCGCTATAACTTTGTCATTTTTTGGTTGATTGCCCAAAGAAAAAATACGTGTCCATTATTTTTTGATCATCTTACTGACGGACTAAATAGAATTTCGTTTACTTTACCCCGTCATCACCCCTATTACTTTATTTACATTCTGTCAAATAGTCTATTATGACCTTGAAGTGTCCGAGCACCGACTTCTTCTGTATTTATTTGAATCGTGTACTGATAATATTTAAATGCGTTCGCGAGAGACCTCTCTATGTGTATACAACTTCGAGCCCTTACCGCCAAATTATCGTAAGCGACACTCGCCAAATTATCGTAAGCGACACTTTTGTCGAAATGCGTTTTTTGTGGAAACTAATATTTTAAACCGTAACGGACCCATCTCTGTTGATATTTCCCTCTATTCTTCCCTCTATTATATTATAACGGTGTTCTTTTGGAGGGAAATATCAACAGAGATGGGTCCGTTACGGTTTAAAATATTAGTTTCCACAAAAAACGCATTTCGACAAAAGTGTCGCTTACGATAATTTGGCGAATGTCGCTTACGATAATTTGGCGGTAAGGGCTCGATTTCTGTTCCTCATTGTGTTTTTATTAGCTTTGATTTCGATTAATTTGGAGCTAGCCGAGTACGCTTACTACTGTACGAGATATTTTTTTAATCCAGATTTATATGGTTACTAAATTTTTTGTAATAATATTCCTAGTGTTACATGAATGACTGCTTAGTTTTTATATTTTTTTTTTAAATTAATTATTTAGATATACGCGATGTGTTCTGTTTAAAATATGATTATACTTATACTTTGTTATAATTGGGGATACGGGAATGACATGCCGACATGCCTACTGTAATGAGTTTAACAGTCGCAGACAAAATGTGCGTTACTCGACATTCACTTAATACCCACAATATTTCTATTATGTTTTGCCAACACACGACATATCATTTGTAGATATTTTTAAGAAAGATCAACGCATGTTTTGTCTCCGGCTGTGGTCTATCAAATTCACAAAATCCAATCATTATTGCGGGATCTCAATTAGATCATCAATTGTGTTCCAATGAATTATTTCACTAAGTGAACAGTAAATTAAATATTATACATTTATTTCCGTTCTGCAGCTGTGAATAGGACTAATTAGCGAAATAGGAGTTAGAATAAAATTTGTGTACTCTGTCTTACGAATAGCCGACGGGGTTATATTTTTTGTGGCGACTACTGTACCTACTTATGCTTCAGTATATCATTGCAAACATTTATTTTAAAGATGGTTCCTTTAATATAATTAGTATCTCACCAATCGTAAGTTGCTGTTAACAGTATAACCTCGTCAGCGATACTCAACTGTACGTTGCTAATGTGAAATGATTGTCAGACTGAGTTTCCCTAAGTCAACCTAGTTCCCATAGCTAGTCCACGCTCGCTCTGCTCGCTGTCGCGTTCGACTTTGACAATCCAATTCGACAATGTCGAACGCGCAGCGTGTGGAACGATCAGTTCCGTACAGTACTTATTACATGCATAAATTGTAAATTATTAAATAAGTTAGATTGTCATGTCCGGTCCATTAGTGCGGTCGGCGATAAAAGCACACCATTTTGTTGCCAATTGCGTTTAGCCTATGTTTATAATTGCCCCCGCCCCCCCCAGTGTAGTTTATTTATCTGTGTTATAAGTTTCTATCGCCGACCGAACTATTTAAAAAGTTTAGGAGTGTTGCCAGCGAAAAGTGTGCACCTAACGAATGCACAATTATGAGAATCGGGTGCGGAAACATGTGCCTTCAATGTTGATAAATTTTTCATAGTTGATGCTTATAATTAGAATGTAAGTTAACACTTGTAAATATAGATTTAATGCTACGATTCGAACTCTATTTTTTATTAATTTAATTCTTTTTTTTTATTATTTATTATCTAAGAGCACCAATGGAGCGCCTTCCAGGACGTCTCGGACGCAGATATTAATGAATTTTCTACATATAAATAAGATTGTTTATTTCGAATCCATTCTTCACATTTTCTGCCACTGCCAAAGTGCTTTCCATTGAATCGCAAATTTTTTGATTCGGTTGTTCTTACTAGCGTACTAGTAAGGTGCTCTCGCTCTGAAGTTACCGACTGAACATTTTGAACATAAGAATACGCTCAGAGACTTAACAGTTCAAATACAAAGTTTGTCGATAACTCTTTTGGCGAAATCGTACCTACCGTCTCAAATTGTTAACAAAGTTCAGGGGAAAAAAATCACTGACAAAACAAAACTGAACCAGGGCCTCAAGCACGAACTTTGACAGATTCGATTCGTATCGCCAATGTCAGTTTTATGGAAAAACTAGTTTGCTCTTACGTCCGGTAGGGGCGCTGTTTGGTTTCCATAGAAACTTTGACGTCGGTGATACGAATACGGATCTGTCGTACGCGCTTGGGGCACTGTAACCAACAGTCGCTAACATCAGTGTGGAACACCTTTATTCTAATAAAATAATGTTTCGAATAATGTTAAAACGTGGTGTTATGTATTGAATATGTTATAGCTATTGTGTCTGAGACGTTGTATAAACAAAATTTTATGTGACCGCAACGCGGTCCTATGACAATATGTATAGACAGATGAACTTTATAATTTCAAATTAAGTTACGCGGTAAAAGGCACTTTCATTACATTAGGATCCCGAAAGGTACCTTTAAAAATGCCAAATTGTCCTCGAGGGCTCAAAAATACGTCGAGTTGAAATTGCTTGTTAAAATTGTAAATGAAAATATAATGTTTCCAAGTTAGAATGTACACTATTGTACGTAAACATTTGTATTAAATATTGACGTACTGAAGTATTATTGCTTTCATTAAATGATAATTCATGTAAAAGTCGACAGAAAACTGTAACTAATAATAGTAAAAGGATTTCACTAATCGGACTGTATTATTTTTTTATCTAGCACATGTAACATTTAAAAGAATAAACTGGAACTGTGCCATATTCGAAAGCTTTTCATTTATCCTCTATTCTTGGAATAAACTAACTTTGTTTAAAAGAATGGTAAAGTAATTTGTCGAGCTACCTTCGAAAGAAAGGTCTTTCGAAGGTAGCTCGACAAATTAGTTTAATTCTGACGACGTAGCCTGTAAAGGCTACGAAACGTCAATAAATAAATAAAGTTTCGTGCATTAACCCGTAAAAACTAATTTTATTTAATGAGTGATGTGCGTGAAAACCTAAGAAACAAATAAAAAATATAACTTTAAAAGAAAAAATAGTAAACTTACTAAAAACCACAGTTTTGAAAAAGTTTGCGCATGAACCTGCGAACTATTTCAGTTACAAAAAATCCCGCGTTACAATGACAACTTATACAGGAACAATGTCGGTAAAACAACACACTACGCGCCTATATGGCTATCAGTGATTTTCAACTGGAACTATTACAGTCACCCAAGAGATAACATCGGGCAGCAAGTTCAATATTTTTGATTTGGGACAAAGTTACCCACCCGAGCTAAAGTAACCCTCACTTACGGTATATAAAATACTAAATTTTGACCTGGAGAGTTGAATTTTAACACACGTGTTGTCTTTAAGACGTATCTCTAGTCATGAAGGACTTTAGCGTGTTCACATTTTTGTAGGTTTCACTTCAGTCGCATGAAAAGTCAGTTTTTTAAAATTTATTTTTTTTATTGTGTTCATTAAAACCATTGTAGTTGTTAATCACAAGAAATAATATTTAGACACTTTGTATTGTCATAACAGGTACAATTTTTTACGCACTGCTGCCGCTTATATACAAAGATTATCGGAAAGTAGAAAGACAAAGAACAGCAGAAAATTAGCTACTAATTTCATTTATACAAAGTCAAATCGAACACACAATCTGGATTTACTTATTGCCATTGACACACCCGCGTGATCATTAAATCGCCTGTACTCGAATGCTTATTTTCTTTCTTGGTGTCGTCACTTCTTTAGAGTTTCATTCTGCGAGGCATCTTGTTTGCAGCGAAACTAGCTTCCCGCGTCTCCCGCTAGATGGCGTTGATTACGCCGGCCAGTTGGAGCACGGTGAACAATTGGAACCAAGCTAGAGTCAGCCGTCGTTATCTGAACACTTCCCTGATGCCTTGTACGAGCCTCTGGGTAACAATATCGTTGTCTTCGTAACCAGCCGATCGCATGTGGTGCGACACGCTCGATATACACTGTGGAAAAATAAATTTGAGTTAATAATATTTGATTTTGATTTTGATAAGACTTTATTAGCACCAACATTATGAGTGCACTCATATAAAATTGTTGTATCAGGCAACAAATTATATTTATACAACTATACTATGATATTTTCGTGTTCAGCAGCGATGCGAATGGGCGAAAACTCAGCGAAACATTTACTCAGAGAGTAAATCGCAGATTTTCAGTTCTGACCCATATAGACGAGGTCACGAATTAAAATGTCAGATTTAAATTCACAATTACATTAAACGGCACTAAATACGATAATTAACTACAAATTTTCTGGACATACATCATTATGGTACATTTACATAATAACGAAGATAAAATTATTAGATAAATTAATGAGAGAGAATATAGTTTCGGTAAAAGTAAAATAAAAGCACGTTGTGTGCTTTCATTTTACCAACACACACCACTCCACACCCAAGCAACTAAATTCTGGATATTCCAATCTTCAGTTGTTCTGTTATTGATTTCATGTGTTTTACAAAAAACAAAGTGTTTGCCAGCCACCCTATTCACAATTTCGGCTGCATTTTCATATAAACTGTTCCATTCCCAGGGATTATCATATGTTTACCGCATACGTATATGGACCTTAATATTTGTCGAGATTTGGCAATACAACTGCAATATTAATTTTATTTGGCATTAGGTATAAAGTTACACAGATAAAGGTATCTTAGGTATCTTTGTGATGAGACATACTTTTACGATTCTATACTAACTGTTTGTTACATTTCCACGCCTAAACCGCTGAACTAATTTCGATGAATATTTGTTAGAATATAAAGGGGTCTATTTTCTGAGGTAACTTTGACTAAATAGCTACTTTTTGTTGCAAAATAAGCGAACATTACAGAAGGAAGCTAATTTTTTTGAATATTATCTTTCTAACGATAAATGACAATTAAGCCGTTGGCCCCGGCTGCATCTGCGGTCGTTAGCACCCACCAATCCGCACTGGGCCCGCGTGGTGGGTCATGCCCCAATTTCCCTATTCCATCCATAGGGAAAACCTGTGCCCCAGCAGTGGGGACATTCATAGGCTGAAGATGATGATGAATGACTATTTTCTTTATATTGTAGTGGCAAGTTTGTCAGATTCAGTAACAAAAACTAATCTTACACATAATCGTACGATACCTACTGCGGAGCATGCCTTCATAGTATGCCTTCAAGGTTCTCTATCTCCAAATAAACTATTTGTTTTTATTCATATCTTGTTTCAGTTTGTCTATCTGTTTGTTTATTTAAATTAAATCCGGTCCGTTCGTACAACATTTAATGTAACTTTCTCTGGTGGTCCTAATAAATATAAAATAAATAAATAAATATTTTCAACACTCACACCAATTAGCCTAGCCCCAAAGTAAGCACTGTAAGGCTTGTGTTATGGGATGCTAGGGTAACGGATAGAATACATATACTGTACATATATAAGTATATTTATATAGAAGACATATTCAAGATCCATGACTGGAGTACAAATGCTCGTAATCATCACACAAACATCTGCCCCCACCGGGATTCGAACCCGGGACCTCTCGAGTCGGCGACACCATGAAACCCGGCGTACAAACCACTCGGCCACGGAGGTCGTCTTAATAAATAAATAAACTGAGCATCAACAGAAATACCGATCATTCACCTTCTCCAAGTACGTCATCTTGGCCTCCGGACAGACGTCGGAGTTCACGTCGACGCTGAGGTCGTCGTGCGCGCGGTCGGCCAACATGCTGGCCAACTGGTCGAGCAGATCGGCCAACTTGTCGGTAGACAGGTCGGGCACCAGCTTCACGCTGAACTGGTAGCCGGCCGGCGGGTCCGCGTCTGAGTCTTCGTCCTCAATTCTTATACACCTGGGATTTGTGAAAAAAAACTTTTTTTAAAGATTAGTCCGACAAAGTCTAGAATTTTGATTCTTTACAAGATCATTCTAATTATGACATTCACATAATTATGGATATGATAAATTGACAACATCGAATAATTATAATATTATAATAAGAATTATTGACATTTATATAGGTAATTAATATAGACAATTGAATAGAAAAAATTGCATGTTATCTTTATATGACTAAATAGATTAAGATGAATGAAATGTTACACCATTATTTGTACCCTATTTAATGCAAATAAATTGAATTGAATAGACATGAAGATAACTGGTACAGCAGTTCTACCTGCCACACCAGTCATCCTCACCTTGCCGTCCTGTATGTTGCTTCTTCACACCTCTTTTGGGATCCTTTGATCCCAGGTTTTAAGAATGACGGAACACGTGAGCAGGCAGAGCATTCCATTTGCGGATAGTGCGACAAAGAAATGAGTCGCCAAATTTCTTTGTACGCGTTGGAATTGCGGCCACAGTTTCGGTGACAACAAAAAAATCGCATTAAATAAATATTTCTAATGGAGTGTTTTCTGAAATGACGAGCGATAGATCGCAGCACTGAGACGAAAGGTGCGCTAATCCGTCAGATCACTTAAATCGCCAAAGTTAGTCCATGGATCAATTTAAATGCTCATCTAATCGATAGTTCGCGCCAAGAACTTCAAATTAAAGACCTCATGTCACAGAGGCGCCTGCGGGTGGCGTAATTTTTCTAAACACCCTCCTCCAAAATAAGTATGATTCTAAGGGAACGTTCGTCGTACAAACAATGCGAACCGGAACTTCTGAAAATGTGAGACTTTGTAAATATATCATGGTTTACGTATAAACCATTCTACCACGGAGGTCTTCAAACATCTATTATTATTATATTGTAGAAGCCTGTTATGTGAAGAAGTAACGTTGCCTTCCAGCCTTATAAATACTAGAAGAAATTCGAAATGTCCTTTAAGATCTAGATAAGGTAGTGTAATATTTATATTGTCACAAACGCTCTCGAAACGTAACCGCGAAAGTGCTAGAGATCGAATTTGCCAGAGCACCGCGGGTCGCGATAGAGATCGAGTAATGCGGCTCATTCTAAAATGAGCCTTATGCAGTGCGGCGTAAGGGAGAAAGTGCAACGACATCTGCACTTGTTTATAAGTTATGCGCTTTACCTGCGTAGGTATAAGTAGATACTTTGTACTCGCGGGTGCTAGGTAACTCTCAATTTAACAGATACTTTCTAGAATGCGTCGATCAGGAGGATCAGGAGCGAATCCAAAGGCGATCAAAGTGCAATAAAAGTGTTCAAGTGCGATTGTTTAAAGACTTGTATAGTGAAATACAGTGTTTAGTGAGTGTTTTGTAATTAACATTGTGTGTTAATTGTGTGTACTGTGTGTCCATCATTCACCAACGTGCAACGAGTTGTCGAAACCGCTCGTTGACGTCGAGCAATTAAAAAATACGGAATTTATTATGTCCAATTAATTTATTATGTCCAAAAATTAGTATAAATCGAGTGTTCGACGCAAGGCGAGTGATTCATAAACAGAGCTCCAGCTCGAGTATAGAACGGCGGTCTCAGCAGTGATCCTTGCGACACTCCGCTCTGTAATTACCTACCGTATGTAACAGAAGGGCGTGTAACCAGCGCCGGTGGTAGAACAGTATAAATAAATAATATATAAGCACCTATATCTGGAAGCGTCGCGTCCAGGCGGCCAGTGTTGCGAGGTTATGATTGCTAACGCAGGTGCCGGGTGTAAGGCCCGTTGGAACGCTCGCTGGGAACGAAGGTTTAAGGCCGAAGGTAACGGAGATAAGCTCGAGTATAGAACGGCGGTCCCAGCAGTGATCCTTGCGACACTCCGCTATGGTAACGGAGATCAGCTCGAGTATAGAACGGCGGTCCCAGCAGTGATCCTTGCGACACTCCGCTATGGTAACGGAGATCAGCTCGAGTATAGAACGGCGGTCCCAGCAGTGATCCTTGCGACACTCCGCTATGGTAACGGAGATCAGCTCGAGTATAGAACGGCGGTCCCAGCAGTGATCCTTGCGACACTCCGCTCTGGTAACGGAGATCAGCTCGAGTATAGAACGGCGGTCCCAGCAGTGATCCTTGCGACACTCCGCTATGGTAACGGAGATCAGCTCGAGTATAGAACGGCGGTCCCAGCAGTGATCCTTGCGACACTCCGCTCTGTAATTACCTGCCGTATGTAACAGAAGGGCGTGTAACCAGCGCCGGTGGTAGAAAAGTATCTCTTATCTATTAGACAAGTCCGTCTGTCTGTCTGTGGTGCTGTTTCAGCGGCCAAACCGTAAGAGATAGATAAAGAGAATATTTAAGTTATAAGTTAAGAATAGTCTGATAAGACTACAAACCGGATTTGAGTAACGTAGCACTTCCGGTTTTCGAGAAATCAGGTTTTGGTGAACATTTGGTTCACTGGTTTGCTAGTAAATAAATAATATATAAGCACCTATATCTGGAAGCGTCGCGTCCAGGCGGCCAGTGTTGCGAGATTATGATTGCCAACGCAGGTGCCGGGTGTAAGGCTCGTTGGAACGCTCGCTGGGAGCGAAGGTCCAAGGCCGAGGGGGCCGGAGACCAGCGCGGGTGGGAGTGATGCCAGCCGCATACTGTGTGCCCAAGGGACTGCAGCCAACACCCCGCCAGTGATTGGGACACTAATAATAATAATGTAAACAAAATATAACTAGAAAAAAATCCACGCAGACCAGGCAGCAGATGGGACTCGAACCGATTATGCTACCGCGGCCCTGATGGCTGCGTCGAAATTCTTCTAGCCGTTCTTAAACTGCAAGGCGGTGCCATTTTTTCGCATTGTAGGTAACCCACTGTTAATGGTGCGGGTTTGAGTCCCGTCTGCTGCCTGGCCCGCGTGGATTTTTTTCTAGTTATAATTTCTTTAGATTTAAACATCAAGCAGTTACATGCTTAAAAAATATAACGAAAATTTACTTAGAATAGAATAAATAAAATGACATGACCTACTCATGTCCTACCTTTAAATTTTACAATTAAATTAAGTTTGACATTCGCATGCCCTGTCGATGGCAAAATGGACGAACTAAATGAAAATCACCACCAAAATGTATCTACTCTGTTTTGTGTGAATAAATAAATTTCATTTCGTTTCAAGTAATAGTAGGGGAGCCCAAGCGGGGATTTTTGGTTTTACTCGAGCTCGGCGGAATAACATATGGGGAGCAACCTTGCACGTAGTTAAGTACTCCCACTATACCTGAGCCATCTATGTAGGGCCGAACGTCTAGGGCAGCAAAAACAAAATTTCAACAAACGGCCATAACTTTTGGTCGGGTCCAAATCGTCAGTCTTTTGAATAGAAGCTACTGGAGGGTTCACGTAACATCCCTACTCAATGTCTGACGCGCTCGGTAATTTTTTCCTACTATTCTACCCCTTCGTACGGCCACCCCCATATCATGTAAACCGCGGCAGATCAATATTCTTTCCGTTCTTAAAAACGTTACATGAACCCTCTAGTAGCTTATATTCAAAAGACTGACGATTTGGGCGCGACCAAAAGTCATGACCCTTCGTTGAAATTTTGTTTTTGCTGCCCTAGACGTTCGGCACTACACAGAGGGCTCTTGTATGGTGGGAGTACTGAACTACGTGCAAGGTTGCTCCCCATATGTTATTCTGCCGCGCTCGAGTAAATCCAAAAATCCCCGCTTGGGCTCGCCTACTATAACGATGAATATACCGCTAAGTACATTTTCCTATTTAGAAGGAATAACAAAAAAATATTATGGTAAACGGACCAATGCATTTTTAGTACCATTTTTAATGAACGAAATACCGACAGAAATTTTGCAAGACATAACTAGTAAAAATTGTAAATATAATAAATATAACTTTTACGACACTTCATTACTGTTCTACTAAAGAAAGGGCATCCTCCTGTATTATGCGCACCGACGACTAGCATCGTACCTGTGTACGGCCACGGTAATATTATCTATACAGTATTGTGACTCCGCCCTGTCTTTGAAAATAAATGCCTACAGCCGAGCGCTACGTTAGCACGCGGTAGGGCCGCCAGCCTACAGTATTTCATGTAGTTTTGTTTTTAACGCGAGTGTAGGTAGATTACTCGTTTGTCTCTTTTTTCATCCTAACCACTTATTTATATATTATTCCAGATATTTTGCCCGATGGAAAAACCGAAATATTAGAAATAAATTACGTACTAGTAGATAGGTATATAAAAAATTTTCTATAAAGGTTAGACACCTTTCCAATATTTCAGGTAATTTAAAAAATGATATCTCTGGGTGTGTTATTGAAGAGTTCAAGCAACCAAAAACAGCAATTGTGCTGTTGTACGATATTGCTCGTCGTTTGTTCTTTTCCATACTAAATTATGTAGGTATCTACTTAATTAAATCAAATATTTACAATACAAAACGCACGTTTAAGCACGGCTAACTGCATAAAAACAATTCACACCATTCGGTCGTCGTTGCGGCGCGGCGGCGCATTCGCGACTGGGTGCCCGCCGAGAGCCCATCGAACTCGAGTTGCGTAGGTATGACTCGCTTTCCGACCGTTTATATATTTTTTTTTTTTATTATTTATTATTTTATAAGAAATACATTATAATCTTAAGTGTATAACAGTGTCTCATAAACCATTATTGGTTTTCCCGGACACTGCCGTTTGCCATCAAGACCCGCAGGTACGTCTACTCATCAACAAATTTAAGTTAAACCATTCATTCATCAGACATTAATCGGTAAGGTAGTGTTATTAATATTTTTTTTTTTTACATATACCGCACCGCCTTTAGTGAAAAGCTAGGTATCTGTTGGCCAAACACCGCGCAGAGTAATACACCAAAAGAGTGGAAACACACGGGCTGATTTCGTGTTTCATATATTTTTTTTTTGTTTTAGTTTTATATCACGTCGATGTTTGTTTTTGTTATTAAAAGGGATAGAAAATATGTTTTTAAAATGGAATTAATGTGACTTTGATTAATTTTATTTTTAATTGTTTCTGGTAGATTATTTATTAATTTAGGAATCTGGTGTTGAAGCAACTGTTTACCATACAGATTGCTATACCTTGGTACTTCAAATATAATCTTTGAGGCACTACGTGTTAGTTTCTTTCGTTGGATGGCATTCAGAAAGTCTTTATTGTGATAGTTTTCAATCAGTAATGCACAACACACTTGATCATGTACAGGTAGGACTCCACAATGATAGAATAGCTTATTGTAGTTGTGTTGATACTGAGTTTTTATCTTTTCTGGCACTATAGTTTTAAGAATTCTTAACTGAAGCTCTTTTATCGAATCAAGATGCGATTTGAAGGTTCGACCGTAGCTACTCAGGCCGTAATGTATTGTACTTTCACCGAGTGCCTTATACAACTGCAATAGTGTTTTATACGGAATTTTGTTTTTAACAATAGCAAACTTGGCCAGTATCGCCCTTAGCTTGTCGCATACATTGTATATATGTTCCGTCCACTTAAATCGATCATCAATTGTTAGACCGAGATATTTAACGCGTTTTGCCATTTCTATTGTAGGACAAGTGCAGATTTGTGAACAAGCGTGTAGACATGTATTTGTGTGCGCAATTAGTTTCAGATCTTTGTATTTTCTATTGTGACTAGAACTAATATACATAAGTTTTGTTTTGTCTGGGTTTACAACTAACCCTACATCGTGAGACCATTTGGATAATAGTATGAAGTCTTTTTGCAAATGATTAAGGGCAGTGTCCAGATCATTGTTTGCAGATATCAGGCAGGTGTCATCGGAGTATTGATACATTTCGCTCTTAGATACGACATTCACCGCATCATTCACGTAAGTTATATAATGAAATGGGCCTAATACAGAACCCTGAGCGGTGCCATCTTTTACAGTGACACTATCACTTAAAGCGTCACCTATCTTAACTATGTAGGATCTACCATTCAAATACTCCTGGCACCATGTATTAAGAGGACCACGTATACCACAATCGCTAAGCTTTTTGATCAGAGTGTTGTGCCTTAAAGAATCGAACGCCCTACTGTAATCTATAAAAAGTACCAAAACATGTTTTTTTTCATTAAGACCATGATTAACACTATCAGTGAATTTAGTGAGAAGTTGAGTCGTGCTTTTACCAGACTGAAAACCAAATTGTTTATTTGTGATTATGCTGTTATTTTTATAAAATGTGTGTATTTGCTTACTTATTACCTTTTCTATAACTTTATCTACAGTTGAAAGTATTGTGATCGGACGATAATTTTCATAAGAGTCTAGACTGCCTTTTTTGTGTATAGGCCTTACAATACCCGTCTTAAGGTCCTTCGGGTCTTTTTTAACAGAAGTATTAATAAGCTGCACTATTACACCTGCGATTTGCCTGCCAATAATTTTTAGGTCTGCCGCTCTTATTCCATCTACACCTGGTGCTTTCTGGTTGTTCAAGGACCGAATTTCTTTAAGAACTGTTTTTGAAGTAACTTTCTGAAATCGGCATGATACATCAGTAAAGTTCACATACGTTTCTGCATTCAGCAGTTGCACTTTACACTTTGGTGATGTACTCTTAACACAACCTTTAAAACTTTCTGCAAAAGCGTTTGCTATATCTTTTGTACCTTTAGTACTATTTAAGAAAGCATTACATATAATAGTGTCCGCAAGTGTTTTTGCCCTGCCAGTAATATTATTTAGTATCTGCCATAACATTCTAGGGTTATTTTTGTGTGTCTCAATTTCTTTTCGTATGTGTTTATTTTTAGACTTATTTATCAATTTATTTGTACTATTCCTAATTGAGTTATATTTTTGTTTTAATATTTTGTTAGTGGGGTCTTCAATCCATTTCATAAATAGATAATCTCGGTATTCACATGATTTTATAATTTTGCTGTTAATCCATTTGTTATTTATATGATTTTTATTGTTACATATTTTTATTTTAACCGTGGCTTTATCATGACATTTTTTAATATTTTCTGTCAAACTTGAATAAATTTTAAGTGGACAGGTCATTTGTTTTACTAGATTCCAATCTAATTGTTTTAAGTGAAGACGAAGATAGAATACTGTATGATATTATTACCGTGGTACGGCTTATCGTTTTTGTTAGATATTGGCGAGTAAACGTTATATTACATTTATACAATTATCTTCCTAATTATAAAATTTAATGAGCTATGGAAATTTTTGTGTATCGTATATTTGCGCTGTTATGTATTATTATGCCGAGAACTGGAAAAGTATAATTTAAGAATATCATAACTATGTATTGACAGCTTAAGTGACTCAGTATCCGGACAAACCCAATGTGGGTTTTTGTGATACTTTTTATTAATTACTGTATTTTGTATTATCAAATAAATGAAAAAAAAAAAAAGTTACTCACCAGGATCCATATCGCAGTGAGTAGACCCCGCAGCGGCGGCGGCGTGCCTGTAGGCAGCCACGGTGAGGTGCGGGGGGGAGTACTCTCCCCCCACCAGCCCCATCACCTCCCCCCGGGAACTGTGCCCGTGGACGTCCATACTGATCAGGGCGGACACATGGAGCGATACGAAGAACGGGGCCTGAGGAAATGTCATCACTAAGCTGTTCATCATCATCATCATCAGCAGCCTACTATTGTCCCCACTGCTGGGGCACAGACCTTCCCTATGGATGGAATAGGGAGATTGAACCGTGACCCACCACGCTGGCCCAGTTCGGATTGGTGGGTGCTGACGACTGCAGATGCAGCCGGGACCGACGGCTTAACGTGCCTTCCGAAGCACGGTGGAGCTTGAGATAGTAAATTTTTGGTCACCCATCCATTGACCGACCACTGGGAAAGTTGCTTAACCGAGCTCCTCCTATGCAGATTTTTAAATTTAAACGTTTATTTGCTAGTGAAGTGTACAAATGATCTTATAAACTAATTAATAAACTAACCAGTTAATTTCTCTTTTCGAGTACTGCAAATATACAGCTTTAGTGAATGTGAATATGCCCATTCACATTCACTCATCAACTCAAGGCCGTCCACTGCTGGACATAGGTCTCCCCTAATCCACGCCACTGCTCCCGATTTTCTGCCACTCACTCATACACATGGTAAATTTTAAACATATTTACAACCAACTAGAGTGGGTGGGTCACCCATAGATGGATATGCTGCCACGGACTTTTTATAGAATTTTTTAAGGAGAACAATTTTGTCATATTACATGATTTTTGTGTAACTCGTAGCGTTTACGCAGCGCACTCAACGGAAGCTTTTATCTATACTAAAATTATATAGCTGAAAGTTTGTTTGGAATATTTTACCCAATTCTGTTTCATTAGTGCTCGTCTCCTATTGGTCGAATCCTTATGTTATATATAGCCTATAACCTTCCCCAATAAATACATTATCCAACACAAAAACTCTTAAATTTTTCAAAACACTCCAGTTGTGTCTGAGATTAACACATTCAAACAAACAAACTATCTTTGGTAAAGATTTACATTATAACTAGCGGACCCGACAGACGTTGTCCTGTCTAGTATGGTAGCGCCGTCTGTCGGATCCAATGTAAAACATTCCAAAATCAACAACTACTAATAAATTAAAAATTAATTAAAAAAACATTGTCCAGCGGACAAAATTGTGAATCTAAACCATTCTCAGATTCCCTTGAACACACACAAAAAATTTCATCAAAATCGGTCCAGTCGTTTAAGAGAAGTTCAGTGACATACACACTCACAGAAGAATTATATATATAAAGATAGTATATAAACTCACAGGTCTGTCAGCATTATAAATGTGGCACTCGATAAGATGTATAGGCTGTTTCCTAGCCTGCCTCTCCTTGCGAGGCTCCGACGCTATCTCGTACAGATCTCCATTCTCTGTGTGCATTATTGTGAAACCTCCACCTCCATCCTGTGGAATAAAATTAATTACAGCTTAGTTTTATTTTGAATGGAAATAGGGTACTTGACAGTATTAAAAATAAAGTGCCCATTGTTAGCATCTGTGTTTAGAATGAATATTGGCAGGGGTTTTTACTATTTTTATAAAAAAAATAATCATAATTTTACTAAAAACCCATGAAAAAGATAATAGTTTTCTTATCTAATGTCACGTGACCCAAAACGCTTGGGATTGGCGGAGCCTAAAATGACATCACACGCAAGTAAACTTCCGGTTAAAGTGACATTACAAATATATCGTTTGACGTTTTAATAACAGTCATGTGACGTCACACACTAGTAAGACGCCATATTGTCCAGAAAAACGTTTTCGCGGCAACTTGAAAATGGAGTTTTTGATTTGATTTGACTGAAATGCATAACAGAATGATAAATATCCACTTTTCACAGACTCCATAAACATAAGTCAATAAATAACATGAGATCGTTTTCTAAAACTTGTCAAATACCCTATTATAATTAAGACACTATTTAATGGCAGCACTCCAGAGGCATGAACAAAATTGGATAGTACAGTGACAAAACTGAAACCCTTCATTTAAATTGCTATCACAGATAAATAACATCATCTTTGATAAAATTTCAAATTAGTTTTGGTCATTAAATCCTAAATATCAGGATGTTGTATCCTTTGCATTCTCCCAAAGCTGAAAGGGAAAAGATTTAAAGTTTTTACTATTTTTTCAAACTATCTATATATTAAATTTTATTGAACCAAAATGCCAAATTATATTATACACGAACATGCTATATTAAATTCTTATAATCTCATTAAAATAAAAATTATGTGGCCTTCCTTTCTATTTAGTGTATTATTGTTGCTAACAACAAATATAATGAAACAGCATTTATCTATTATGATGAAGTTATATCATACCAGGTTAATCTTCTTCTTCTGTCTTCTGGGCATTGGCTCAAACTTTCTGAGAGGCATAGCTATTGGGGCCTCCTCTACTTGTGATTTAGACACTTTTTCCTTCTGCTTGCTACTGCTATCGTCTTCTTCACCACTGTCTACGTCTATATCTATATCACTTTCTGATTCCGAGTCTTTCTTCTTTGCTATTTTTATCTGAAAACAACATATTTCAATAATTATTGTAAGATTTCCACACAACCTATTCAATATGTTAAAATATTTATGAAGTTGAGTTTCAACAAATTGAAATTCACTAACATTCTTTTCAGAAACCATTGCAGCTTGGAATTCTATTCTAAGACTTTAAAATGTCTAGGTAATTGATTTCCACAATTTACACGTTCATTTATTTAATTTACTGCAATTATCACAGTGTAAGGGTTTGATTATTTCTTATAGATGATAAGCTGGAGAACAAAACGGTAAAATTATGCATTTGCAAAACCTTTTTTTTTTACAGTCCAGAGGTTTTCGGCCAGCTGAATTTTAATCTAACTCATTTTCAATAAAAACCGCCTAAAACTGTTAAAATTACTAAATTAATAAACACTACAGAAACTATTTACTATTGGTATATCATTCAGTTTTACTGCTCCTGTATAATTTAATTTTATGTAATTATACCGGTTTGTTCGCCAGCTCCTAAGATAGGAATCAAAGCAAAAAGCCAATTTGGAAGATTGGATGTGAAGGTATAATTTTTTCCATAATTTATATAGCTAAAAATTCACTTGATCTCTAGACATTTTTGATGCATTTAAATTACATGCTTATGCTCTATCATCAAAATAGAATATAAAGATATGTATGTGTTTCTTAGGTTTTCACGCACATCACTCATTAAATAAAACTAGTTTTTACAGGTTAATGCACGAAACTTTATTTATTTATTGACGTTTCGTAGCCTGTAAAGGCTACGTCAGAATAAAACGAAAAAAGTTTTATTCTGACGACGATGATGTATGAATAAAAATGTTAAATAAATATATCTATATCTTACCACTTGTTCTCCTTCAGACACCGGGAGTGCCAGCCCTGAACTAAACACTATCTGCATTTTGGGACTTTTTGCACTATCCTCAGAGAGACTAGATTCTTTCGTTTGTCTCCCTTTTGGAGACTTCAGCAGATCTTTACTCTTGTTCTTTTTATTATCATAGTTTCTCGATATTTTTCTCCTGTGGTTACCAATTTTCTTTCCTATTTTGGTCTTTTGAACTTTACCTATATTCTTTGACACAATATCAGTCAAATCCATATCAGAACCTATTGATTCTGTTGACCCTATTATCAAGTCATCTTCATAAATAAGTTCCGAAGGTTTTATATCTAGAGCATCATTTTTAATATTCTCAATTACATTTGACTTTAACAAGCTCATTTTTGATTTAGTATTGTATGATTTCTTTTGAAACGGTTTCTTGGTGGTTCTAGCAGTATTTGAAGCATCCTCTGTGACAATTTCTTCCTGAACAACGGCAGGCACGTCACCATGTTCCTCATTCTTCTCTAACCCAAAAATTGGAGTATCTAAATTAACTCCATATTCTGCTTCTATCAAAGCTTGAATCTCTGCTTCAGTTTTTGTTTTGATTGTTTCTGATATTTTACGAGTGTTTCTACCATATTTAGCCTGAAAGATAACATTAAAAATTGACTATTAAAAATCAAAAGTAAAATGTTGTTTAAATATCATAGTTATACCCTAATTCTGAACTACTGTTTGTTTCATTTAATTATATCAATAAAATAAAAAATAGGAACATTAAAAAACTTACCATTTCTCTTGCAAGCAAATCACGTTCCATTTGATTCCAAGTCGTCAACACTTCAGTAGAATCTCTATCCACAGAACTTTCTGACATTTTCCTTGCCAAACTGTCCCTTTGCCTGAATTATAGATAACGAATTTTTAAAGATAAAAAGCAAATAGTATCAATGAAATAGAGCAGAGAGAATACAGCAATTGAATATAAAATATTCTTCAATTTAAAACCCAATATCTTTCTTTCAATCATCTTATTTTTAATTTTATCTTACCTATTTTTACTTTTAGACTGGATATCATACCAGTTATTTGCTGTAGAGTCCAGTAGCCATTGTGGGTGGACAGTATCTTCTCTGTTGGAACATGATGGGCTGAATCATAACAAACAAACAGAAAAACTATGAAGTTGTTTGTTTTGATGTACAGTAAATAAAGGGATCAGACAAATTGTCAACATAACCAACAACTTCATCAAAGAAAAGTAGTACGAAATTCACTATTTAAAACATTGTCTTTAACTAGATTTACTTACATTCCTTGGTTATTCTGCGCAAAACAAGAATTAAAAGAAAAATCTCCGAGAATATCAATTTCATCGTCATCCGCCATTTTTGTTTTTAAAAACTATATTGTCTTTTTTCTAATATTCTTTTTTAAAGGCAAAAAATACTAATTACAGTCAGCCTAAATTTTAGTATTTTTATTTTTTATTAGGAGGAAGAGGATTGAATTGCCATATCAAAATAAGGAGACAAAGATTTTTTATGTAGGCATGTCTCATTGTTACGTCACAATCATATGGAATGAATTACAGTAAACCAACAGCAAACAATTATTCGGCTTGAATACAAAGTGGTATTTCAGTTTGAGATTGCATGTGTTGTGCTATGTTACAAAATATCGTTCTTAAATTCTTGTGCTGACTTAAAGTGAAACAAAATGAATGTTCTACAAAAACTGACCTCCATATCTTCACCGGGACTGACGAGAAGTTTTACGGTTTCAGCTCTAAATAATGCAAAGTATTCGTAAGTATCGTAATTTTAATAGATTGCTGTTCTAATTCGTGAACAATAAAATTTCTATGTAACAGTTAAAGGCAGTCACTGTGTATAGTAAAAATTGTACATCCTGCTTTTTATATATTTTAGATGCAAATTACTTGTAGTAGGAGGAGGTTCAGGCGGATGCGCTATAGCGGCGAAATTTGCAAGGCACTTGAAGAAAGACGAAGTTTATATATTGGAGCCTAGTGAGGTAAGATTATTTTTTCTGATATGATTAAATCGCATTTATATTATACTCGCTGGTGCCCGGGACTTCGTCTGTGTGGTTTATGGTATAATTGATTTCCCAATGTATGTGGGGTGTGAAAAGTTATACAAACTTCCACCCCCTTTTCACACCCATTAAGGATGATTTCTGGGATAAAAAAATATCCTATGTCCTTTCCTGATGTCAACTATCTCTTATACCTAATTTCATATTTATTGGTTCAGTAGTTTAAGGGTGAAGAATTAACAGACAGACACACTTTCGCAATTATAATATTATTAAGTACCTACTAATGGTTCTAGTCATTTATTTGGCATGAGGGTATAAGTGTACAATAATGAACAAGTAGGCTTTTTTTAGCAGGCTGTGGTTGAGTGGTTTGTATGCTGGGTTTCATAGTGTCGCCAACTCGAGAGGTCCCAAGTTAAAATCCTAGTGGGGGCAGATGTTTGTGTTATAAATAGAGCATTTGTACTCCAGTCATGGATAGTTAATATGTATTTCTATAAAAATATACTTATATACGTACAGTATATATATTCTATCCTTTCCCCTAGTATACCATAACACAAGCCTTATAGTGCTTACTTTGGGGCTATGCTAATTGGTGTGAGTGTTGGAAATGCTAATTAAAAAAAAATATTTTATTAAAAAAGTTATATCTCATATAGTCGCTTTAATAGTTTAATATCGGTCAATACAACACAAAACAATTAATCACAGCCTAGCCCATATATCTGTATGCTCAAACAATGGACAATAAATATCAAGCCATTAATATCGCACATTCAAGGTTAGTATTCAGTTGTCAACTATATCTGTAAAATGAAAAGTATAAGGAAAAATTTCTTTTGAATTTCTTATTATGAGTTTGTTTCAACATTTTTGATAAGCTGTTACACAGTGTCAATAATCAGCCTCTTTTATTTATTATTCATTTAAAATCAGCAATGTAATTATGTACTACTTGCTGAAGTGACTGATAACACAAGGTCTGTGTATTGATTGATAACAGTATTCAGTTGCTAATTCATAAGATATAAAAAATTTATCTGTTTTTTTATTATTTTGTTTGGGATCCAATTCTCATTGTGACATAACAACGGAGCAATAATTAAACAAACTGTGATGCCTAAACTAAACAGCATAGCAACCATTACTACCAGCTATCTTCAAGTCTAGATTTCACTGTCACTTAACATCAGGTGGGGTGGAGTCATTTACCGGACCTATCTTTAGAATAAAAAAAAAGTGTTGTTAAGAAGAAAGTATAGAAGCGATGTGGTAATAGAAATTCTCTTTAATTCATGTATTATTATAATTGGATATAATGTCAAATTAAATTCTACCTTACTAAATTATTTTTACAGTAATATTGTTATTTGAATTTGATAAAATGTGAATAGTAAATTATTGTAAAACTGCACCAAATGATTGTTACAAATATAGCACTGAATAAGTTTGCATTTGTTGATTAAATTATGGATAAATACAAAAATTATCATAATTTCACTAATTCATTGTTCTAGGACCATTACTTCCAACCACTGTGGACTCTGGTCGGAGCTGGTGTCAAAACAGTCTCACAAACTCGTCGGCAGATGAAAGATGTGCTGCCCACTAAGGCGAAATGGTTGAAAGATGCTGCTGTTTCAATCGAACCAAAATCAAACTTAGTGAAGACAAGAGAGGGGCATGAAATACAGTATGAGTACCTTGTTGTATGTGCTGGATTGCAGAATGATTACGGCAAAGTGAGTTACAAATTTTAATTATAGATATTATAACATTATACATCCTGTCAAAAATCTTGAGCAAGGACCGACAACGCATCCTGTACAGTAGCAATTTAACATACAAAAACGCCTACTGCGCTAGTTCACTAGTCTGTGGTTTTACTCAAGAAGTTGACTGCGACCTAGGTATAAGTACAAGAAATAAATACTATACTGTGGTCTACATTCAGCAACTAATAGAAAATTTTACGAAAATTAAGTTTCTTTAGATTAATAAATAAGCAGTTTAATGATTAAAAAATAGCAATACAATAAACCAATACAGATCTGCATTACTCTTTATAATGCTTTAAAAAAATATAGTTTGGTCCTTTGTATATCATTAACAATGAAAGGTAAATGAAGGACCTTAATGGTGCAGTGATAAACATATATTTTGTAATCATAAATTAAATAAAAAAAAAATTGCAGTCAATGATAATCTGAAAGGTACTTAGCCATACAAACAGATATACACCGGAGACTTTGCGTTGTCCTACATCTTTTAGTCATTGTACTCTTTGTTGCTAAGGTGCCTGGGTTGACAGAGGCTCTCAAGCACCCTGCTAGCGGCGTGTCGACGATATACGCAGCGGATTACTGCAGCAAAACATGGTCGGACCTCAAGTCCTTTAAGGGCGGAGAGGTGATGTTTACTTATCCCGACACGCCCATCAAGTGTCCAGGGGCGCCACAGAAGATTGCTTACCTCGCTGACGCTTATCTGAGAATGGTAAGTAATGGGATCCATTGAGTTAACTTTTTGTGTCTTAGGTTTCCACGCACACCACTCTTTAAAAAAAACAAGTTTCTACGTTGAACCGTTGGTCCCGGCTGCATCTGCAGTCGTTAGCACCCACCAATCCGCACTGGGCCCGCGTGGTGGGTCATGGCCCAATCTCCCTATTTCATCCATAGGGAAGGCATGTGCCCCAGCAGTGGGGACATTAATAGGCTGATGATGATGACGATGAGACTAGTAACGCGACTTGTCCGTCAGGTCTTGTGAATTCGACAAAATCCCTAAGCAGCCTTTAATGGGCATGAAATTATCTTAAAGTTTACCAATGGACCAGGTCGTCCTGTGGTCAGTTTTTTGGGAATTCCACAGGAACTTAAATATTTTCGGGATAAATAGTAAATTTTAGTCCAATTGCAAGTTATAAACTGTTTGCAGAATATCATTCAAATCCGTTGAGCTGTTTTTGCGTTATTTCTTCAAAAACATACGATATCAAAGACATACGACACCACACACACCTCATAAAGCAATATTCTAAAATACACGAAATTTGAGTGTTTGATTTAGGTGACTGACTGACATAGTGATCTATCAACGCACAGCCCAAACCACTGGACGGATCGGGCTGAAATTTGGCATGCAGGTAGATGTTATACGTAGGCATCCGCTAAGAAAGGATTTTGATCAATTCTACCCCCAAGGTGATAAAATAGGGAATGAAAGTATGTATGAAACTTTGTCAATTTTAAACCGATCGAGCTGAGACTTTGCATGCAGGTATAAGAAGAATCATAGATGAATGTCATTGTGTATAATACAAGCCTGAGAACAAAAACTGTAGTCTACACTTCAGCTCTACACCGAAGCGAAGCGAGGGCGGGCCGCTAGTTTAATTATATAACATAATCTATACAATACTTAATCTATTGTGACATAAATTGGAAATAGTCCATAAAAAATGGTTGTGCAGAAATCATTATATTATCTTTAGTGTTCTCTTCAGTTTTTATTCAATATAATTATAATGTGTGCTAACAATAACCTAATTTTCACTATTATTTTAATTGTTGTTTATTGATTTTTTTTATTTCAATAAAATATCAGGACGTTTAATAAGTCTTTCGAAGGCAGCTAGTCAAAAGTAAATAATTATCATATTCTTAGATTCTGACGACGCAGCCTGAAAAGTATGCGAAACGACAGAAAAGTTATAAAATGACGCATTTTGAACCTGTTTAAGCGTGTTTCATTTAATGAGTGGTGTGTGTGAAAACTTCAAAAGTAAATATGTCACTGTTAACACCATCATCTCGAAAAGTGTAGGAGAAGAATTATCAACTTTATGGTTATGGTCCTTTGAGCTGGATTTACCGGTCCAGGCACTTTGCTCTACATGCAAAAATGTACTTGAATTGAAATATTAATGTGGTATAGAACGAATTTTGCATTATAATTACAATTTATTTCTTTGTAATTTGTCAAATGCCAGAAATAAACACTATCTATCTTTCAATTTAATTCAATATATTTTTTATTTCATGTGGTAATTACAAGCTCTTAAGATTTTGAGTCAGATCCAAACATGAACCCTGTAAGGGCACTACAATATCAATATACATAAAATAAACAAAATATGTACACATAATTATAATCAATCACATTAAAATTTTAGATTACAAGTACGCTACCTTTCAACAAAAAACTTTTGCATACTATAGAAGATTTTATTCAATAAATATTGTTTCAAAATTTGTGCAAACTTCTTAACATTTTCTTCTACGGTTATATATTTAGGTAATTTGTTATACATTTTAATTGCATTTATTTGTGGACCTGAATTATGGGTTTTAAGACTTGATTAGGGTAAGGCTAAATTATCTTTGTATCTCAAATTTATAGATGTAGTAGAACAGTCCTGTTTTTGGGGAAATAATGGAGGATTTTGTTTTACAAATTTACAAATTTCAAAAATATAAGAGTGAAGTGACAGTTAGGATTTTTAGTTCAGCAAAATGTTGCAGATCACAATGTTGCTTTCAATTTTGTCCACATTATTTAAAATTCGTACGCATCTTTTTTGTAATAAAAATATTTTTTGAACATCAGTGCTGTTTCCCCATCTTTATATTAATTTCATTTTCCAATGTGTCATTCATATCAACTGTCGCCTTTCATAATCATGATATGATCGTAATCATACTATTGTTCGTCTGGGATTTTCACATGTTAAAACATACATGGTGATGTTTTGTTGAAAGAAAAATATTTATCAATCAATGATAATAGATGACCATATTCACTGAGTAATATAGTAATCACTATATTATATAATACTAGCTGTGCCCCGCGGTGCTACCCGCGGATAATTAAGGATATTTTCCCGCAGTAAACCGTAGCCTATGTGTTAATCCAGGGTGTCAGCTAAGTCCATACCAAATTTTATTAAAATCGCTCTAGCGTTTTAGACGTGAAGAAGTAACAAATAAACACTCACAGTATTAGTATTAGTCTGATAATTTTGTATGAAATGTCTTAATAACAGACACGCATCTATATCCATTTGTATTATTTGCGTTCGTTATGCAAGATTCGGTTTTCGGATAGGTAACCAAAAATGTATGTCTCAAGGTCATCTGTGTTTCGAAAGGCGTGTCGTTAGTCCCGATTGCAACTGTAGTCGTTAGCATCACCTTGAGGAGCTCAATGGCGCAAGTGGTTAGCACGTTCGGCTGCGATCGTTGAAGTTAAGCAACTTTCGCAGTGGTCGGTCATTGGATGGGTGACCAAAAATATACCTCCGTGCTTCGGAAGGCACGTTAAGCCGTTGGTCCCGGCTGCATCTGCAGTCGTTAGCACCCACCAATCCACACTGGGCCCGCGTGGTGGGTCATGGCCCAATCTCCCCATTCCATCCATAAAGAAGGCCTGTGCCCCAGCAGTGGGGACATTAATAGGCTGGTTATGATGATGTGATGATGAATCCGCAATAGAAGAGAAGGTAGTGGTGGAAGGAGATGGCGTTGCCTTGCAGCTTAAGAAAGGCTAGAAAGAATTCGACACGGCCATCAGGGCCCACCATAATGGTCAGTGCATTCGCCCGGATAGCGAAGGGTGCGGGTTCGAGTCCCGTCCGCTGCCTGGTCCGCGTGGAATTTTTCTAGTGATATTTTCCTTTAGATTTAAACATCCAGCAGTAACATGCATAAATTATAACATGTATCTATGCGAAGACCTCCGTGGCCGAGTGGTTTGTACGCCGGGTTTCATTACGTCGCCGACTCGAGAGGTCCCGGGTTCGAATCCCGGCGGGGGCAGATATTTGTGTGATGAACACGAGCAGTTGTACTCCAGTCATGGATGTTTAAATATGTATTTCTATATAAAAATACTGTATAAAAGTATGTGTATTCTATCCGTTACCCTAGTATCGCATAACACAAGCCTTACAGTGCTTACTTTGGGGCTAGGCTAATTGGTGTGAGTGTTGGAAATATTTATTTATTTATTTTATCTATTTATTTACCAGTCGCACGTGCGCTCCAAGTCGAATCTGACCTACAACACGTGCTTACCGGTGATATTTGGCGTGAAGAAGTACGCGGAGACTTTACTCAAGGTGGTGGAGCGGAAGAACATACACGTCAACTACAAGACTGTGCTCAAGGAGGTGCGACAGGACAAGAGGGAGGCTGTATTCCGCACCACTGACGATAATAAGGTAAAACAGAACGAAAAACGGCGACAGACACGAACATATTCAATTCAATTCAATTCAAACTCATTTATTCGGTCTAGGCTGTTACAAGCTCTTGTGAAAGTCAAACGCTACGCCATCGGTTCGTAAATCTACGGCGGGAGACCTTGTACTGAGAAGAACCGGCAAGAAACTCAGCAAGGGCTATTTTTTTTCTCCCTGTTTTGTTTCACACAGTGTCGTCAATTGAAAGCTGACATCAAAAATTGAATACATGTGTTGATGTCAACTTCCATCACATTAATATTATTAATTAACAAAAGTTAAGTATAACTAGGTACTATTTTTAAATTTAGAAGTGGCGATTAAACAATTTTCAACCAAATTAGCAAAGTAAAACAACAGTCTATTATGTTAAGCCCAAGGTGACTTATCATTTATGAAATCTTTTACAGTATAGTAACCTTTCTTAAGGAGACATGTTTTTATAAACACTTTAAACTTATTAAAAGGTAAATTAATTATTCTTATATTTCTTTTCATAGCCAGGTAGGCAAATGACTCTACCCCACCTGATGTTAAGTGGTGATAAAGTCTAAACGCGAAGACAGCTGGTACAGCAGTTATAAACTGCCACACTAACCATTCTCATCTTGCCGGCCTGCAAAAATGCTTCTTCATGCCTCTCTTAAAGGACCCAAAATTGTAGGAAGGAGGGAACACGTGCGCGGGCAAAGGTGTTTTATTTTTTTTTTAGATTCCGAGTGCTCTTATAAATAGAGGTGGTCGAGCTCTGCGGAGCTTAGGAACATTCACGTCTAGTACAAGTCGGTTCTCAAAGAGATGCGACAGGAACGGAAAGATGTTTTCCGTTCCTGTCGCAGAAGAGAGCGTTTTGTGCTGCAGAAGAGAGCTATTCGATCAATTTATAATCTAAAAGTTAAGGATTCCTTAAGAGACAGGTTTAAAGAATTTGGTATAATGACGGTCGCGTCACACAATACATTTACGAAAATTTATTACTAGTAAGAAAAAATATTAATTTGTTTCTTAAAAATAGTGATATTCACACACTTAATACAAGAAACAAAAATAAACTAACTTTACCTGCTACTAGGCTTCACAAAATCAATAATTCATTTAAAGGTCTTTGTGTTCGCTTATACAATAAAGTCCCAAGCAATATCCAAGAGTTAAGCATAAATAAATTCAAAGATAGTATATAAAAAGCACTTATTAAAAAAGCTTATTACAAAGTGTCTGATTATATTACAGACAAAAATGCTTGGGTTTGAACTGTTCCAATCATTCCAACAGGTTTTCCATATTAAATAAATCATGATTGTATTGACGTTGTAACAACATAATGATTTGTAAATGTTGTTACATTATGCTTTTAATGTTGTGGAGTTTTTTTCGCTCGTTTTTCTCCGCAGCTAAAAAATATGTCCATAACGAGTGGTAGGGAAAAAAAATGTTTGGATGATTCAAAAGTGTTGTACTATACATCCAATTTGAATAAAGATATATTGATTTCTGATTTCTGATTATGATAAGGTGATTATCGCCTCCTGTACATGTTGGCCAGCATTGAAGCAAATATTATGGCAAAGATATTAGCTAAGAGTTTGTGATGGCATCCACACTTTGGAAGATAGTTCAGTTTGCTTGAGTTCAAGCCAATGTGTAGACAAATTTATTTATTTGGTTATGTAGACGCTAACAGAAATGTGACTTTATGAAAATAACAGTTTTACAGTATCAGTACAAAACAGAAGATACCTATTTCCATTTTGTATTGAAATACGTTTTTGGAAAAGCACTTTCCATTTTATTAGAAATATTATATTGTTTATTTGCAAAATATTTTTTAACCGACTTCAGAATAAAGTAGATCGTATGGGATATCTCAAAGGATGTGCAAACTTATTTGAGATATAATGGGCCCAATCCTGGAATTGGTTCTATGAGTTTGACAATAGTATGTTCTTATCATACTCTATGGAGAATGAAAAGGAGAAACTGTTTGATTCAAAGGATCTATTCTTTATAAAGGACATTGTAAAGTTTTGTATGAGCGACTGCCCTGGCAATGTATAAATACGGTACTTAGTGTTCGATAGCTTAATGTCTTCTATATGTGGATTTCTCAATAAAAATCGGATATTCAGATTATAGAATATTATTCATAGTAAAATACAGATCTATTAAAATTATGTGCGTACGTTGTCTTTTTTGAATTCGAAAGCAAGAGGGAGAGTGAATCTATATAAATCAAAATGAGTGAATGTAGTAACGAATGGGTACGAAATGAATGTATGAATGGACGATGACGATGGACCGATTGCAGTTTCTCTCTTCGAAGGATAGATGGCGTTAACACTTAGTAATATTTAATGGTAAATGGCTGAATATTTATCATTTCTATGAAAAAAAGGCTCAGGAACTTTTGATAAAGTCACAATCTTGAAAATTATGAGAACTCCTACTATGTCATTACCTTACTACATTTGTTATAAGATGTTGCCAATTATTTACAGAGTCATCAATTTCGCATTTTCTTAGAATCTTTCTTCCCATTTCTCTGATTACCTCTTCACACAAAGTGTTTTTAAAGCAAAAATAAATACAAATTATTTATTTATTTATATCAAATACTTATATCTATTATGACAGGTGTATACCCAAGGCAATAGATACATCCCATTTAAGAATTACATTATAATACACATTTACGAACACATTGGAAAAAATAATTAATTGCAACCGATAATAATCCACTCAGCTAGTTTTGTAAATTCGCTCAGAGCACAAACGAATAAGTCCATCTTTTCATTAATTTTGTTGATTGTGCGCATTATTGGCGGCCTGACAGGAAATCTGTGAAGTTTTATTTTGTTCATTTGCAAAAATTAAAGGATTAATTATCATACAGCCTTGTATCAAGCCTGACCAGAATAATAAAATCTATTATTTTAGGCCTTCAGTGATTTGTTTTGATAAAAAATATAATAAGGAGTTTAGAAATAATATTGTTAATTTCGATATACTTACACAAATATTTTGTTGTGCAAATTTATTATTGTTTTATTTTGTAAAACGGAACATTTTGCTTTTTAAACAGACATGAAGTCAATTTTTATACTTTTAAATATTTGATTATTTCACGAAAGTTGTATGAGAATAATAAACACGTAATAATTAATAAAAAAATATTGTAAAGTTACTGGCTAGTGCGAAATATTTATACACTTTAAGGGCAGTTTCTTAGCCATGTCCTTTGCATTTTAGATAAAAATAATCAGAACAAGCTTAATTCCTTTCCGCCAGCGACTTCGTCCGCGTTAAATTTAATTATTTAGTATCTCTCAGGAAACTAATTTTTTCGGGATAAAAAGTATCCTATCTCTCAATCCAGGCAATGAACTCTATGTGTGCCAAAATTCATCTAAATCCATTCAGCCGTTATTGCGTGATTGAGTAACAAATAGACAATCTTTCACATTTATAATAATGTTAGAATCCAAAATATCAGTCCCATGAAGTCCTTTCTCTCTTAGGAAGTAGTCCTGCCATACAACATGCTGCACGTGACTCCGCCCATGAAGACCCCTGACTTCCTCCGCAACAACCAGGACATAGCTGATGCTGCAGGGTTCCTGGAAGTAGACAAGTACAATCTGCAGCACACCCGATACCCCAACATATACGGACTCGGGGACTGCACCAATACGCCCAATAGCAAGACCGTAGCTGCAGTGGGTGAGTAGTTCTATGGGACTTAGCTGATGCTGAAAGATTTCTGGAGGTAGACAAGTACAATATAAGACTAACTAATAATAAGACTGTGGCTACTACTTTAGAAATACTGGAGAGAATTCGACACTGACAATAGGGATGATGACTAATTTTTTTTTCTTCGTTTATCAGGTAGATTATCAAAAAGTATTGGGCACGTATTTTTTCTTTTTCACATAATATAAACATTGCAGAGATATATTGATTTGAAAAGTCGCATGACGTCACGTTTGAGTACACTTATATGTGAAAATTCACTCAAAAGTGACGTCACGAGCCCCTACTCCCAAACTTTGACGCGCTATAACTTTGTCATTTTTTGGTTGATTGCCCAAAGAAAAAATACGTGTCCATTATTTTTTGATCATCTAACTGACGGACTAAATAGAATTTACTGTACCCCGTCATCACCCCTATTAGGGCCGCGGTAGCATAATGGTCAGTGCATCCGCCCGGATAGCGGAAGATACTGGTTCGAGTCCCGTTTGCTGCTTGGTCTCAATTTTAAGTTTCTTATTTTATGGTAGACCATTGCGAAAATAGGGGTGATGACGGGGTACAGTAAACTAAATTCTATTTAGTCCGTCAGTTAGATGATCAAAAAATAATAGACACGTATTTTTTCTTTGGGCAATCGACCAAAAAATGACAAAGTTATAGCGCGTCAAAGTTTGGGAGTAGGGGCTCGTGACGTCACGTTTGAGTGAATTTTCACTTATGAGTGTACTCAAACGTGACGTCATGCGACTTTTCAAATCAACATATCTCTGCAATATTTATATTATGTGAAAAAAGAAAAAATACGTGTCCAATACTTTTTGATAATCTACCTGATAAACGAAGAAAAAAAAATTTGTCATCATCCCTATTGTTTATCTTCCAGAATCGAAAACCATAAGCGCTAACCGAAAACTTTATTTTATTTTTAATTTTTTTCTCGGTGTAGCTAAGCAGCTAAAAGTGGTGGAAACCAATTTGCTATCTACGATGAGTCGCGGCGCGGCCCACGCCCAGTACGACGGGTACGGAGCGTGCCCCCTCCTCACGGAGTACGGCAAGTGCGTACTCGCAGAGTTCGTGTACGACGGGGTGCCCCACGAGACGATGCCTTTCAACCAGGTATTTTGGATAGATAGATAAAGCATTTATTCCTATCAGTACAGTACACACAAATTCAAGTAAACAAATAAAAGAATTAATTACTATACAGGGTGGTCCAACTAGTGAAGTCAACAAAATTTTTTTAGATTCCTCGCATTTGGGGGTATCCGAAAATACCCCATGTATGCTCCGCGATTTTTCTTAGTTTTCGAGTTATTTTTTTTTTGGTGTATTCTGAATGATGCGTAAATCCTACTAAAAACTAAAGATCCAACTTTCAAGCCTTTTTTGAGTAACTTTAAGTTCGGAAACCCCCAGGTGTGAGGAATCTAAAAAAAAATTTTTGACGTCACTAGTTGGATCACCCTGTATATGTAAATGTGTGCCACAACGACCGAAAAGGCAAAAACTCAGTGATACCTTTGCTCTGGAGAGCAAAGCACTGGTTTTCAGTACCCTTAGCAGGAACCAATATCGAATTCGTAACGTTTGCGAGTCCGAAATGTCATTGTCAAATGTGTACTGATTTTTAGTTCTCGTTACGTACTTTGTGGCGCTGCTGTTCACATTTCCATACAAAATTTGACATTGACATTTCGGCTTACAAACTATTCGAATACGATATTGGTTCGTGCTAAGGGTACTGATTTTTAGTTCTCGTTGCGTACTTTGTGGCACTTGAACAGCAGTTTCCACACAAAATTTAACATTGACATTTCGCACTCGCAATCTATTCGAATTCGATATTGGTTCGTGCTAAGGGTACTGTACCCCTAGCACAAACCAAAATCGAATTCGTAACGTTTGCGAGTCCGAAATGTCATTTTAAAATATGTACTGATTTTTAGTTCTCGTTACGGACTTTGTGGTGCTGCTGTTCAAGTTTCTTCGCAACTCGCAAACGATACGAATTCGATATTGGTTCGTGTTAAGGGTACTGTACCCCTAGCACGAACCATTATCGAATTCGAATAGTTTGCAAACCGAAATGTCAATCTAAAATATTGTATGGAAACTTGAACAGCAGCGGCACAAAGTACGTAACGAGAACTAAAAATCAGTACACATTTGACAATGACATTTCGGACTCGCAAACGATACGAATTCGATATTGGTTCGTGCTAAGGGTACTGTTCTGCCTAGAAAGCGCGTAACGTGAAACGACACTGACGTGATTAATTCAAATAGGTTATTGAATTATTATTATTATTGTAAACTTTATTTACTTGTAATAGAGCCTATTTTTTGTTTCGATTCAAATTTCAAATTACCCGCAATAATAGTGATGATGAATAACATTTTTTCTTCATTTACAAGGTAGATTATCAAAAAGTATTACGCGTATTTTTTTGCTTTTTTCATATAATCAAAACATTTCGTAGGATTTAGAATGTCGCAACCCAATAAACATTTAGGCGTCAATTAGAGCTTGTTTTAGAACTGACCGAGATATAAAGGCGCTACAGTAGCAGCACTTACAACTTTTGGCGACAAAAGAGCGTAAACAAGCTAAATATTTCACATAGAGCTATACCACAGAATTACAAGGGTGATAACAGGGTGAGTTTAAAAGTTAAAGACATACAGCAGCACTTTTTAACTCTACAATATGGGCAAAGCATCTTGTGTTATAGCTTTAAGTGAATCTTACAACTATAAGATCTAAATAAGAAGTGAGCATTGACTACAACCCCCCAAAGTGCTATGCAAGCGATAATAAACTCTCGCCAAGAACCAAAAGTTGCACAAAATCAATAATTACCACTACCAGTTCCACAATGGTGCTCATGAATTCTTTTGTACCACCAAATGCCTAAAGAGGTACAAAATGCTCTTAAGTTACTAAAACTCGAACAGCAGAAACATTCTTCGCTATGATAGAACTTCTAGTGGTTATTGTGACTTCTGTATAACTTTAGGTAGAGTAATAGAGCTTAATACCACTTCTGTACCCCTCATTCGTTTACTTGTTGTTGATAGTAATGCAATGGCGACGCAACTAAAAAAAGGTTAGAAAAACATAAAAAAACACGGTTTAATTGAAGTATTTTGCTTTATTGTGTTCTAACACTACTAGCACAATACCTTAAACTAGAATAGGCAACGTTTTATTAGATTATTACAAAAGTTTTATGTTACTCCATATCTAATAAAATATTTCTTTTCAGTAAATAGACAACAGACATCGGGCGCTTGAATAATTTGTTAATAATACATATACTTATTCACAGTGTACTTATCTTCGCAGTAAAAAGTCAACTTCTGTGTCCACTAGGTTGAAACTAAAAGATTATACTTTTAATTTCATTTTCACAAACGAATGGCGGCGTTTTGGATGCGACAAATACTAACATACGCACTGTTCGCACATAAAAACGAGAGGTTAAATTATGTTGACGAAATAAAAAAATAGTCTTAGAAGTTAAAAAGGTTAGCACCTGAAGTCCTTTTTATAGCTTTTGTGCGTCTATATTAGAGTTCAAAGCGGTAATAATCACCTACTTGCCACTCTCTTATCACTTAAAAATATAGTGAGCGACATTTTAGTTCTACCATACCACTTAGGGAGTTAGTATCCACCTATTTGCAGCCCTTTTAGCACCCAAAGGGTTAATAAACGGTATTTTATTCTATTGTACCACTAAGGGAGTGAATTTTCGCCTATTTATCACGTTTTTATCCCTTGTAGTTTCAGTTATCGCTATTATAGCACTCTTATTGCTTTATTATACCTCTTAACCTATTCTGTAACTCTTATTTACCGCAATTAAACAACCTAAGGTGATAAAAAAAGTGTGCCCATTTCGGGGGTACAGTAGAGATATAGCGCGCTCTAACTCCGAATAGGTAACACTTATTTATAACTTTAGGATCTGGTTAGCTCTTTAATAGATTTACTATAACTCTTGTCTTAGCGCCTAAGTGTTAGTTGGGAAGGCGTCACATCTTGGTACAACATTTTATTTATAATACAATACAATATTACAAGCACACTCGTTAGTACAGTACAATACAATATTACACGTACAACGTCACTTTTAAGTACAATTTTGACGCACTTTATCTTTAAAACTTTTTGGTTGATTGACAAAAGAAAAAATATATGTCAATTAGTTTTGTTTATCATAAACTAGTTGACATTATTTTGTCCTACTGACGAACTAAATAGAATTCCATTTACCCCGTATTTAGTTCTAAACGAAGCCTAAGCAAAGGTTGTGCTATAAAACTGAATAATGTATGTGATCCTTTATCATCATCATCAGACTTTTAATATCCCCATTGTTGGGGCACAGGCCTTCCCTATTAATGGAATAGAGAGATTGGGCCATGACCCACCACGCGGGCCCAGTGCGGATTGTAACGACTGCAGCTGCAGGGACCAACGGCTTAACGTGCCTTCCAAAGCACGGAGGAACTCGAGACTCATTATACACTTATTTAAAGGATCATGAGTAAATCGATGACGCGGGTGGTTAGCGCGTTCGCCTGCGATCGTTGAAGTTAAGCAACTTTCGCAGAGGTCGGTCTTTGGATAGGCGACCAAAATTCTTCTATCTCGAGTTCTTCGTGCTTCGGAAGGCACGTAAAGTCCCGGCTGCATCGGCAGTCGTTAGCACCCGCCAATCCACACTTGGTCACCGTGGTGGGTCATGGCCCAATCTCCCTATTACATCCATGGGGACGGCCTGTGCCCCAGCAGTGGGGACATTAATAGGTTGACGATGATGATGATGAAATACATCGTGAATTGTATTCAGCCACAAAATCTGTAGTAGAATTTAAAACAAACAGATTACATATGGTGACTTTTGTCGATTTTCTATCAACGTAAGCAGATAATAAGGCCGGGTTGACGTTATTTTCACACTTTTTAGCATATAATATATCAAAGCTTCAATTTAGCAAAAGTGATCAGCTGCGATCATTGAAGTTAAGCAACTTTCACAGTGGTCGGTTATTGGATGGGTGACCAAAAATCTTCTATCTCAAATTCTTCGTGATTCGGAAGGCACGTTAAGCCGTTGGTCCCGGCTGCATCTGCAGTGGTTAGCACTCACCAATCCGCACTGGGCCCGCGTGGTGGGTCATAGCTCAATCTCCCTATTCCATCCATAGGGAAAGCCTGTACCTCAAGAGTGGGAACATTAATAGGCTGATGATGATGATGGAACTTTTGTTACAGGCGCAAGAGAGCACGATAGCTTACTACATGAAGAAGGATCTGTTCCCGTTTCTGTACTGGCAGTTCATGGTGCGAGGGTACTACAATGGCCCGGAGTTCGTCAGGAGAATCATAAACCCGCTAGCTAAGTAGCCCTTTATTTAAACTACACCCGGAGACCAATACTCTAAGGATATCGTTTGTGATGCGAAATATTTGTGCGATATTGTTCAAACAACTCGGTTGTACGCTTTGACATCTGTGAGTGCTTGGAATGGCGACAGCTTGTGACGGCCAGAATTCAGATGATTGCATTGTAACATTTTTTTTACTCATTTTTTTAGCGTTCTCCCTCTTTAGGGAAGGCAAAGGGAACAATGCCCATACAGCCTAGTCTTCAGTTTTCGTTGTTCTTTTTTTTACATTAGAATGTGGATGTGACGCATTCTAATGTTTTTTGGGGTGTTTGGCACGAAATGTATCGAGTCAGCTTTCTTGATAAGCTTCTGTGTGGTAGTCAACACTATAATAAAGTTCCCACGTCCTTTTGACCGCAATAGCGTATTTTAAAGATTCCACAAATTCTTCAGTTGTGCTGAAGGTTGCAACACAAAATCACGCCAATTTTATTTCACAATTTCCACTATGAACGAATTAAAGAATAATTAAAATAAGACGCCTCACTCGATGAGATCCCGCCAAAAACTCCCATTTTTTTTTATTATTGCTGAAACCTTACAGAAATGAAGGAATGGAACCTTTTATTACATTATTACAATTTTTCTCTTTCATTTTTGCATGTCGCATTAAACTTTTGATTGTTAACAAAAGTTCAGACTTTCTCAACACTGCGCGGGCGACCATGGTTCCGTTCCCAGCCGAGAAAGGCCTGTTTTTTAATTAATGTTTTTTAAACTTTCACTTGCATCGTGGTTTCTTAAAACTGTGCCAATTTTTATAGGATTGGTATGCTCCAATATTGCTCCTCCAATTTTTAAGAATTCCATTTAAACTTGTTTAAGATGCATTGAATAATTTTACCGCAGTTGTAAAAATGCTGCGAATTTATTCGTTACTTGCGGATACAATAGGGATGATGACTAATTTTTCACTAAAATTCACTAAAAAGTGACGTCATGAGCCCCTACTCCCAAACTTTGACGCGCTATAACTTTGTCATTTTTTAGTTGATTGCCATAAGAAAAAATACGTGTCCATTATTTTTGGATCATCTAATTGACAGACTAAATAGAATTTCGTTTACTGTACCCCGTCAGCACCCCTATTTCGAAAGCTTTTTGATAGACCGCACAGAGGAGAATTTGTAGTTTATGAGATTTGAGAATTGTCTCTTAAATAAATAAAAAGACATAATGACTACGGATAAAAATGACAATTAACTTTTATTGTAATAATTTTATATGAAAATCTGAATTCTAGGATTTCTATGAGCGATGAGATAATGTTAGGCGTTAAGCCTGTAAAATAAATTGTATTAATAAAAACTATTGATATATTTGAGATTATGTAAAGAATATTTTTAAGGGAATCAAATATTGTGGTGAAAAAAGAATCTACTACTCGGGACTCGGATTACAAAACAAAAGGTTATGACTTCAGTTTTTCAATCTAAACATTGTGTTCATTATACATTAATCAGGTTAACATAATTATTAATTAATATTTGTTGATCGAGTATAATTATAACAAGAGTGTTAAGTCAATCTACGATTTTACATAACTATAAGATTAAATTGCTATGATCAAATGTTAAATAACTATTTGTGTCACAGTTCAATACTGTACAGTACCCTTAGCACGAACCAATATCGAATTCGAATAGTTTGCGAGTGCGAAATGTCAATGTCTCATTTTTTATGAAAAAAAATGAGACATTTACATTTTGTAAATATTTTTTTCATAAAAAATGAGACATTGACATTTCGTAAATTTTTTTTACAATAAAAAATGAGACATTGACATTTCGTAAATTTTTTTTTTTATAAAAAATGAGACATTGACATTTCGTAAATTTTTTTACAATAAAAAATGAGACATTGACATTTCGTAAATTTTTTTTTTTCATAAAAAATGAGACATTGACATTTCGTAAATTTTTTTTTTCATAAAAAATGAGACATTGACATTTCGTAAATTTTTTTTTTCATAAAAAATGAGACATTGACATTTCGTAAATTTTTTTTTTCATAAAAAATGAGACATTGACATTTCGCACTCGCAAACTATTCGAATTCGATAATGGTTCGTGCTAAGAGTACAGATATGATTAAATTCGCTTGTATAATACTCCCATGTATTGGTATTTTTTCACTATTACATTTATTTCTTCTTAATTTTTATGAAAGTTGTACGATCATGGAAGTGAAACTTTTGTTTTATTGGTTCGTCTGTCTGTATTATTATTTTTTTGATATAATCATTTTTACTTTGCTTTTTTCTTGATGGTGTATTGCGATTTAGGGCTCAAAAATATGTATACTTTATTCGAGATACTGAAGAGAGACAAGTGTTATTGAAATTCTCATATCGTTGAAATTTTTTTTGAATGGGGTCATTTGATTTCATAAGATGATACTAATTTTAATGTATTAAGGGCATTCTTTCTACATAAATTATTCAGTTATATTTGAAATTGAATTATATGTTTATTCAATATTTAGTGTACCTTTGAACTCTGACTAATGTGTTGCCATAATATCTCTGTCTCTCTATTGAGAGTTCCCATGAACGAATGTCCAACAGTTGGAAGCTAAATTATAATCTAATAAATCAGTATAGAAATTGACAAGTTACATTTTTATATTTTTAAGCATTTAACTGCTAGACGTTGAAATCTAAAGTCAATTTTACTAGAAAAAAAAAAACAAAAAGCCTTGCTGCTTAAGAAACACTAAAGAAAATTCGACACGGTCATCAGGGCAGCGCTAGCATAATGGTCAGTGCATTAGCCCGAAAGCGAAGGGTGCGGGTTCGAATCCCTTCTACTGCCTGGTCCGCGTCGAATTTTTTTCTAGTAAAATTTTCTTTAAAGTTGTCAATTTTTTAATCCAATTTTTTTCCTTATTCCTCCTAAGTGAAAAGTATTTTTGTACTTTTGTGTCTTTCTTAAAATAATGTTTTGGTGCTATTTCTGAGACTTCTATGGACGATAAAGATATCCCTCTCAGAAAATTATGTTGAAAAGAGAATAATTATATATTTTTATAATATAAAGGCCTGTATAGTTTTGTTAACCAAGTCAGTGTTAATTGCATTTTTATAAAATTTTATAGTGATCGTTGCTGTTTTAAAGTGTTTTATTTATAAATCATGTGTATGTATATAATGTTATTTTCTCTAAATGTTTTGAAATATATGAATTTATTATTAAAAACGTAGTTTTTTAATTTCAGGTCCCTATTTTTACACCAATTTGTTTAGTTGAGCTATTCCAGTTTGATATATGTAGGAATCTATGTTATTAAATGTATACTTCTCTAATACATTCAATAACACCAATAGGGTATTTGACAAGTTTTATACAACGATCTCACGTTATTGACTAATGTTTATGGAGTCCGTAAAAAGTGGATATTCATCATTCTGTTCTGTATTGCAGTAAAATTAACCAGATCAAAAACTCCATTTTCAAGTTGCCGAGAAAACGTTTTTCTGGACAATATGGCGTCTTACTAGTGTGTGACGTCACACGACTGTTATTGAAACGTCAAACGATACAATGTAATGTCACTTGAACCGAAAGTTTACTTGCGTGTGACGTCATTTTAGGCTCCGCCAATCCCAAGCGTTTTGGGTCACGTGACAAAAAATAAGAAAACTATTATCTTTTTCGTGGGTTTTTAGTAAAATTATGAATATATTTTTGGTAAAAATAGTAAAAACCTCTGCCAATATTCATTCTAAAGACCGATGCTAACAATTGACACTTTATTTTTAATACTGTCAAATACCCTATTATCTTATGTCCAGGGGCTGCTCAGCAGGACAGTACTGGTAAAATAAATAATAAATATATATTTCCAACACTCACACCAATCAGCCTAGCCCCAAAGTAAGCACTGTAAGGCTTGTGTTATGGAATACTAGGGTAACGGATAGAATACATATATCGCATATTAATATAGAATTACATATTAAACATCCATGACTGGAGTACAAATGCTCGTACTTATCACACAAACATCTGCCCCCACCGGGAATCGAATCCGGGATCTCTCGAGTCGGCGACCGACACTCGGCCACGGAGGTATTAGCCGTATAAACACTTATATTGCGAACATAAAAATGTGTATATCTTCAATGCCCGTTACTGCGTTACTAAGACAACGGCAAGGTTCATAAAAAGGAGAGAAATTGCACTATCAGAATTTCATTGTCAGAGAAATATCAACCTAGTTATTTTGAGACGTGCAAGTGAAATTCAACCGTTAGATCACACTTTCAGCTGAATGCACGTACAAGTGCAGTTATTCAAGCCCAGTGGCGGCGCTAGGCGTCGGCGACGTCGGCCACCGCCGACGGCCTCGCGCCTGAGGGGGCCTCGCAAAATTTTTTTATTAATTATCTATTTATTTTCGTTTCTCCTGGCCTGGCTTAGGTAGCCGACCCCGAACAATTCGGGGAAAAAGCTAAGCAGATGATAATGACTTTTATTATTTTCGAACACGTGCGTGATGGAAGCGAGTAGTACTTTACGTGTATTCAGAATCGTCTGTCTGGCAACACTATTTTTGTAATTAAATTTCTATGTTTGTAATTATTTTTTGTCATCATTTGATTATCAATAAAACTCGTTTTATAATTTATACTCGTTATTTTATAATTTGGCTCACTTAATTTTTACGGTTTTTTACTGCGAAGTAAAATAGGCCTCGCGAACTGGATGTCGCCGACGTCTACATGTGGTCTAGCCCCGCCACTGTTCAAGCCTATTCTAGACGGATGTAATCCAGCGTACAAACCAAGGTGACCTTGGTGGGAACTTGGTTTCAATCCGCGTTATGATTTTCGGCTACACGGATGTAATCCACGAGCCAACACGCAATCGCGAGCCGTCTTCTGGCGTGAAAACACGTATAATGCGATTCAACTAAGAATAGGACCGACTGGGCGCCATATTATGATATCATAGCTGTCAATTCAAACCAAATAGGTAGAGTGAGCAAAAAAAAGTTATTATTTAATAAAACTTATTTACTAAGATTAATTGAGAAAAAGCATCCGGATATTTTTAATAACATTTATTTACTAGGATCGAGAGAAAAAAAAACACCGATTTTTAATAATATATATTTATTAAGACTATGAGTGACATTTATCAGAATCTAGCTCTCTTATTCCGCTCATCTCTGCATTACCGCCGGAGTAGTTATGAATAATCATGCACTATTACAAGGCGCATTATGAAAAAATGATGAGAGTGAAATTTTAAGATGCGCGCGCATCATCTACCAACAAAATAGAAATAGAATCTCTATTTTGTGGGTGCTAACGACTGCATTGTGAAGGCCATTCAAAAGTATTTATTAATCTGGAACAACGGAACCAAAGCGCGATTCAGGAGACTACAGCGCTATCTCTTGACTATTGGTGTAGTAGAACCAAAAACCACATCTTTATTTTTGTAATAAAGTAACAAAAAGTATTTATTAATCTGGAACAACGGAACCAAAGCGCGATTCAGGAGATTACAGCGCCATCTCTTGACCATTGGTGTAGTAGAACCAAAAACCACATCTTTATTTTTTGTAATAAAGTAACAGTTATAGGTATTCATATTTATAATATTTATCCACATGTTTCAAGTTTGTATATTCGGAATACGTGTTTGAGTTTCATACAAGTGCAAATCACATATGTTCTAATAAATTATATTCAGTAGCGATTTTAATTGAATATTTTGATTATTTATTTATTTTTTCAAATTAAAACTGAACTTTATTGACTGTGTCCTTTTCCAGACTTTTTATTAATTTATTGTAATTAATTATTTGCATGCAATTAAAAACTAATTTTAAACGATGCCAAAGAAGGATAACTTCTCACGCGTCTACATAAGTACACGCACCCATTTTTTTTATACTAATGGTACGGAAACCTTCCAGTGTATATATGTATATAGTAAAACCAACTTACCTTTTTGGCTTCACGTTGGTAACCAAATTTTAAACTGTCAATTCTCTTGGCATGCTAGTCTCATTGGCATTCTGCTGTCCTCAAGCTAAAACGCGGTTAAATGACACAACCAACTTTTGAGCTATGGCCAAAAAAACATGCTCCTACACTTGAAATTATTGCTATTTTGTAACCATTCACCATCTGACGGATTTTTAGACTTAAACTATAAAAGAAACAAATACTTGTTAAAGACAGATCGATAGAGTATTAAAAACTATATAAGATGCAATTATGGGCTGAAAAATCGACCACATGAAACTTAGCCGCACTTTAGTTTGAGGACGGCAGCATTTTGGTCCAACTCCCTATACTTTTCGAGTAATATCTCCCACGCATTTTTTGGAGTTTACTCCTTAAGAATCGATTTGCATATATAAGGGGTCCGGTATGAGAAAAATCTGAGGAGTAAAATCTATCGATGAATGACCTCGTTACGTTTTTGGTGCGCATCCTATGTCGCGCAACTTTGACAAACAAAGATGACGGATTGACATTAATATTTTTTTTTTAATCTGAACTGAATTTAGATATTGTTTCTGATAGAGCAATGGGGACAACGAGGTATGGTACAACCATTGATGCGGTATTTTCAAGATTCGTGAACCACGTATCTACGAACGTCCATGTGTCTTATTTTAGTTACCATAAACCACTTGTCACTGTAATTAATAATGCAGACAATGTTGATTTAATTAATATTTAAAAAAATGATAATAGTCTGATAATAATAATTACATAATTTATCAACATTCCTAATGATATATTTATGCACATCTGAAATTGACTATTGTAAAAAGTTTAATGTAAAATATTTCGTCGATTAGTTATAAGAAATGTATATGAAATGAATAAATATATGTAAATTAATTTACCCTTTCATAGAGTATCAATCTTTTTTAAGTTAAATAAACTCTTTTTGCGTCTGGTTAGACTATCGAACTTAAGGAGTAAACTCCAGTCTTGCGTCGGAGCTGACACACTATTAGAACTTAATCTATACTTATAATAAATCTGTAGAGAGGTCAATTCTGTACATGAAATATATTTTCAAAATAACTATCAGGGGGTGATTAGTGATCGATATTGATGCCAAAAATGCAATCAGTAAAATTTTTGTCTGTCTGTCTGTCTGTGTGTATGTTCCTTATAGAAACAAAAACTACTCGACGGATTTTAACGAAACTTGGTACAATTATTCTTCATACTCCTGGGCAGGTTATAGTATACTTTTCATCACGCTACAATCAATAGGAGCAGAGTAGTGAAGGGAAATGTTGGGAAAACGGGAGAAGTTACTCCATTTTTTAAGCTTCCGTCGCGTGTGCAGCCTTAATGGTTAAAGTTACATAGAAATCATGTATGACGGAAATATTCTACATAAAATTGTCTAAAAAATATCCCGCAACAGCATATGTCTATCTTTTATGGTTGACTCACAATAACACGTGTAACTCCTGATAGCTTAGCAGTTCGGAGCATTCTGATTATATTTGTTTACTTTTAAGTTTATAATACTCTCACTCATCCCTAATTTAAAAAAGTTAACATTATTACCTATTCAATAAAAAAAGAATCATAGAAAAAGAATTAAATAAATAAATTCATTGTGTACAAGACACGCCTGAGAACAAAAACATATAGTCTACACTACAGATCTACACCGAAGCGAAGCGAGGGCGGGCCACTAGTGTCTCATAAACATGGGAGATCTTTATAGAGATCAATTAGTTCGCTAATAATATCGCGTTCGCGACTCTGGTCTTCGGACGACATGTTTTACAAGCATACGTGCTCACTCGTCGACTGCCGCAGCGCAAATGGTTTTGGTTGGATGTAATCCGCCGGCGGCCAAACGGTTGTAATCCACGCGTTCCAACCGCGGATGGAAACACGAGCCCGTAATCCAAGGACGTTGAAGGTCAAATCAAAATTTGGATTACATCCTTCGTCTAGATGTATGGCAACGGGCAAGGTCACCTTTGTTGGGAGCCTGGATTACATCCGTCTGGCATAGGTCTTAGTTAGGGCTGCCATCTCTAAAATGTGGCAACCAGGATAAGACGCGTGATAACCCCGGACTTTGGAGCCCAGACCCGGACAGACCAATAAAAAACAGTTAAAAATATCACAAATCAACTTTTTTATGTTGATGTAGGCAAAAGAGATAGCGGTCTACCTCATAATAAGTGGTCACTGCTGCCCATGGACACTTGCAGCACCAAGGGCCATTCATGCGTTGCCGTAAATTTTTAAACCCGGTCTACAAATAAAACCCCGCCCGGACGCTCCCCGGACGCCCCGTAAACTAGGACAAATCCGGGAAAACCCGGACGGATGGCAGCCCTAGTCTTAGTAGTAAATAAATACACACATCAAAAGTGTCTAGGGATCAAGCATTTTTATGCGGATTTCTTGAGATTGAGATGTGGCTTTGTAATAAATTTATGATTTTATAAATTTATATGGATCCTTTTTGGTGCATTTCATAATTTGAATCAGGAACTGTGAATCAAATTCGAGTAAAAGATGAAAATCAGCTGTCAATATTTTCCCTATAAAAACATACAACGCATTGAAGACATTATTAGTGCTACTGTTTCCCTACTACTGATTAAAACCAACGTTATTATGGAGCGGCGACGTCATTTAAGCAGGGAAGAAATGCTCAGAGCCGTGGGAATGATAGAAGCTGGTTCCCGGCAACGTACTGTGGCTTTAGCTCTGAATACAAGTCAGAGTGTTATCAGTCGACTTTGGACACGATACCGAAGCACTGGTACCGTGGCTGAGCGCCATGGAGGACGGTATCGCTGCACCACACGGAGACAAGACCGATACATTCAAATCTTAACTCGAAGAGCTCCAACAATAACCGCCATGATGTTAGCCGTGAGGCTTCATCACTCTTCAGGGAACTTAATTAGCGACCAAACAGTCAGAAACCGCTTGCATGAAGTGAACCTTCATTCCCGAAGACCGCTACGGGTACCACCTATAGCAATGCACAATCGTAGGATTCGATATCAATGGGCTCTTGAACACAGAAATTGGGCAGAAGAACAATGGCGTTTCGTGTGCTTTTCTGATGAGTCTCGTTTTGGTATGAGACCGGATACAAGACGTATACGACACTGGAGAACCCCTGGACGCCAACAGCGATTAAAATCCTGCCAGGAAGTCCATCCTTATAGTGGTGGAACCATCATGGTATGGGCGGGTATTTGGATCGGCGGAAGAACTGAGTTGATTTGGATCAGAGGCAACCTCAACGCTCAAATTTATGCTGAGACGATTGTATCAGACGTCATCGTTCCTCTACAAGTGCAAATCGGTCCCTTATTTCAGTTAATGCATGATAATGCACGACCGCACACCGCAAGAGTTGTAAGACAGACTCTCGCCGCAGCTAACATCAATGTCCTGCCCTGGCCTGCTCAGTCGCCAGACTTGAACCCGATTGAGCATGCATGGGATATGCTACAGAGAAGAGCTCTGCCGAATATGGAGGGTATCCAGTCGCAAGAAGACCTTTTTTTGTTGTTGCAACGAACATGGGCGGCCATTCCACAGCGTGATTTGGATGAACTCATTTTGAGTATGCCAAACCGATGTTCTTGTGTTGTTAGTGTTCGCGGTAGAAATACGGATTATTAATTGTTTAAGTTACCCAATAAAATTTTAGAGAAAACTGTTATTTCAGTCTTTTTTTCGAACTTTTGTGTTAGTGGTTCAAATGTCAAAAATCCCTTTATTAGGAAAATGGCAAATTTCTTTATTAATGCAAAGGTGACTTGGTTTATCGTTACTGTGACAAACGAAAACACTTTATTTGATGAATCCTTAAAGAAAATTTTAATTAATATCAATCAGGAGAAAAGTTATTGCAAAAATATATGTTGATCCCTAGACACTTTTGATGTGTGTATGTAATCCAGTTGGTTATGGACTTCAAAATCTATTTTTTTTCAAGTTTATTTTCACAAAATGTTTCATTTGGGTGGTTGAGTAAATTCAAGTGTTATTCAAAAATCAAATGGGCTGGCCGTGTCGGGGGCGGGTGCTGAGCAACTCTTATTTATCGTGGCGTTCGTACAGTACTAATCCTTGCACTTATCATTATGCGTAAGTTAAATAATAATCTGCTTTAATAAATGGAAATAATGACTCTGTTTTAATGTGGATAAACATGAGATTTACGTGTCAGTGGGGTTTTATGGGTCCGACACTTAACGACTGCAGACAGTGCCGTCTTTGACCTATTGGAGGCCCTGGGCATATTAGGATAATGGGGCCCCCATGACCCCCGTTTGGTGATTAACAAGAACTAGGGAATTTGTATTTAATCTGAGGGGGGCCCCTATCGATCGCGGGGCCCTGGGCCCAAAGTGGCCATTGGGAAAGACGGGTCTGACTGCAGATGCAGCCGGGATCAACGGCTTAACGTGCCTTTCGAAACACGCAGGAAGACGACGAAAAAAAACCTTTTGGGCGGGGCAGGCGCGCTAAAGTTATGTGTGAGCTCGTAACTTGACCTAAACTTGGTTCTGATTGTGTCGTTGCTCTCGGGTGTGGGCGCTAATTGGTGCGATTGTTTGATGTGGCGTCGTTTGATTGGCTATTATCTATTAGCTGGACGTGTAGTATGGGCGAGCCGGCGACATCGGTTCCCGTTCAAACGGTGTATGAACACCCTTCTATCCTCGTTCTGTGTTCTGTGCACTATCCACATGAAATTCCTTACATAGCTTACAGTTCAGATGTATGTTAACCAATCATTAAATTGATTCTCGAGTTTGGGGAGCTATTTAAACTTAATGGCAGCCTAGGGGAGAGATGGGCAAGTTCATATACATCCGATGGCCTAGGGGAGAGATGGGCAAGTTCATATACATCCGATGGCCTAGGGGAGAGATGGGCAAGTTCATATACATCCGATGGCCTAGGGGAGAGATGGGCAAGTTCATATACATCCGATGGCCTAGGGGAGAGATATGCAAGTTCATATACATCCGATGGCCTAGGGGAGAGATGGGCAAGTTCATATACATCCGATGGCCTAGGGGAGCGATATGCAAGTTCATATATATCCGATGGCCTAGGGGAGAGATATGCAAGTTCATATACATCCGATGGCCTAGGGGAGAGATGGGCAAGTTCATATACATCCGATGGCCTAGGGGAGCGATATGCAAGTTCATATACATCCGATGGCCTAGGGGAGCGATATGCAAGTTCATATACATCCGATGGCCTAGGGGAGAGATATGCAAGTTCATATACGTCCGATGGCCTAGGGGAGAGATGGGCAAGTTCATAAACATCCGATGGGCTAGGGGAGAGATGGGCAAGTTCATATACATCCGATGGACAAGTGAGTGATTGTAACTTTGATTGCTTTGCTTTTGGCTACTATTTTTAAAAAGGGTACTTATCTTATGTGGTAGATGTAAGCTGCTCGTGGTAGGAGGAGGTACGGGCGGCTGCAGCATCGCATCACGCTTCGCCAAGAAGCTGAGGAACAATGATATTATTGTGCTGGAACCCTCACAGGTCAGTAGTACTCTATACGAACCACAACCAGGCGCGGTCTTAAGAGCGGACGCGAGCTAAGAGACATTTGAGAATAGGCTAGTTGACTCATGTCGAATTGTATTAAATAAATGTTTATTTCTTAAAGTATTTGATCTAAGGAACCTAATATATCGATTTCACTTCATAAAAGCAGAATTGCTGTAGAAATTTAATTTTAAAAAATATTGTTTAGTCTATACTTTTTATACACTAGAAACGCTGTTCGCCACATCCGCCATGATTGTGACGTCTCTAAGGCCGTAAAACTTATATATAAAAAAAACAGCTAAATGACATTCAATTCATAACCTTAAAACTTGTATTATTAAAACTGATAATAAATGAAGAGACTTAAAATATTATTCAATGAATACTTACATCAAAGTGATTTTCAAATTTTACTATGAGTCGATAAAGTTGCAGGATCCCTTTTAGCAAGTTCTAACTAGGTATTGCGTAGGTTAATTTCTTTCCGTACTTTAATCCACAACTTTCCTGGAGTCTTCAAGGATGTGTTTTTACATTCTCATACAATACAATAATGATAATTACTATATTTTTCGTGGTATTTATTAGAAATCATTTTTTTTTATTATAAACTCATAGGTTATTTTCTACGTGCTTACGAGTTTTTGTTTACTACCGGTTGACGTCACAGCATAGATAATCTAAAGACTAAAATGGCCGACACTGTTTTTGTATGTCCATGAAAAGTCTATTTTAAAATTAAAGATTTGTTGCTTTCTAGGTCTAATAGAACATTTATTAACCATTTAAAACCTTTTTCAAAAAAGGGTTAACTAGCCTTTTAGGTATTTAGAAAAATATTTTAGATATTTTGCTCTCGCGCTTTGCGAAATCCGTGCAATAGGAATAACAGTAGCTAAACCTGAATATTGCGTTGAGAAATTGCTTAAATTCAAGCTATCGACGATTTCCTCCTTGAAAATTAGATATACGTAAAAGAAATTTTACCCGTTAAAGCGTGTTTCATATAAGTATTATAGGTATAAACATCCACGATTTGAGAGCAAATATTCGATCTCAACCACACCTTTGAAACTTTGGAAACCTTTCGATTGGAACAGAAGGAAGAAGCACTGCCGCTATACCAAAAGGTCGTTGCGCCAACTAATCACAGAACAAACACGATAACTATTTCAACTTAATGATGGCCTAGGAGAAAGATGGCCAAGTTCATATAGATCCGATGGCCTAGGGGAGAGATAGGCAAGTTCATATACATCCGATGGCCTAGGGAGCGACAAGTTCATATATATAGATAGAGGGTGTAAAAGTAAGAATGAAAGGCTCGATGGTGCAAGTAGCTAGCGCGTTCGGCTGCGATCGTTGAAGTTAAGCAACTTTCGCAGTGGTCGGTCATTGGATGACAAAAAATTATTATCTCAAGCTCCTCCGTGCTTCGGGAGGCACGTTAAGCCGTTTGTTCCGGCTGCATCTGTAGTCGTTAGCACACACTAATCCGCACTGTTAAAGCGTGTTTCATTTAAGTATTCTAGGTATAAACATCCATGATTTGAGAGCAAATATTCGATCTCAACCACACCTTTGAAACATTGGAGACATTTCGATTGGAACAGAAGGAAAAAGCACTGCCGTTATACCAAAAGGTCGTTGCGCCAACTAATCACAGAACAAACACGATAACAATGAAAATGAAAAATGAAAGGAGATTGCTCAGCTTCCATACATGTTTGGCCTAAAAACCAATAACCATGAAAAATTGTTTCCTAGATTCGAAATTATATATAAATTACCGTAGAAACGAATATTATCGACGGCCACTCCTGAGAACTTCTATAAACCATATACACTGAATGATTTTGAGGTTATGTTTGCAAATAGGCACATAGGTATTAGAATAATAAAAACCAAATAACTTATATAGGAAAATAGGGCAATCAAGCCAAGTACCGATATTATGTATTAGATTCAGGTATATAGAGCATGTAAAATAACAGATAATTGTTTTTAAAATTAATGCACAAGAGTAAGTTTTAAAATCATGATTATGCCATTGCGACTTTCAGAAGCAATCTTGTTTCATTTGACAAGTGTCTAACACTAATTACACTAACAAAATGCATGTCAAGGAACTGGTACCTGCTTACCTATGTTATGAGAAACATGGAACTGTTATCATAATTTTATAAAAACCAATAGGATATTTTCTTAGTAATAATTAGGTTAATAATGGTAAAAGGTAATTCTAATGTAATAATAAATTGCGTAGGTTCATGATAGTTCTGATCAATGTGTGAAATATGTATATTCCTGACATAGCTTAAATATTCTGATAAGGTAAATTAATGAAATAAAACAACTTAAGTACTTTTATGTTGCGTTTAATATTACATATCATCTACATTTTGAATTAAAATATCATCGAAATATTTTATCATTTATCAATCTTTACAAAATAGATTTGTTTTGATGTTATATAAACAACCTCGATCAGTCTTTGTGAATGTTACTACACCCATAGCCAATAAAAATGATTCGTATGTTTTCCAAACCGGTAAAAATAGAAGTCCTTTTTTAAAATTAATATATTATTTAAAGGTGGCCGTTAAAATCTAATGACTGTAAAATAAAGTATAAATTACGCCAAGAATTACTGTATATGTCAATATTTTATTTGCATTTAGGCCAATTTGACCAATCTCCTTTGTTTTTAAATAACATAATAGTACAATTAGTCGATGAGTCCTCCTAGTAAGTTTTAAATAAAACCTGTATCAGGAGAACCCGCTCTCTCATCACTGCAGGTAAGTATCTAGATGATGCTATTTATACAATAATCGTCATCACTCTTTGTGTTTGTGTGTGTGCGTGCGTGCGTGCGTTGCGCTGTCGAGCTCCATTTGTATGGACTTGCTAGATTAGATATTTGTCAATCTATCTTAAAGCTTCCGTCTACCCGTCCCAGGTGCATTACTACCAGCCCCTGTTCACTCTGGTGTCTGCGGGGATCAAGGAGTTCAGCGCTTGCCACCGTCCCCAGCGGTCCGTACTGCCGGCTGCGGCCCGCTGGGTACAAGATGAGGCTGCTGGCTTCGACCCAACCAATAACACTGTATACACTGGTCAAGGACACGTCATACGTTACGATTACATGGTCGTGGCTATGGGGATGGAAAACAATTATGATAAGGTTGGTAGTTTTGCCGGCTGTTCAAGACGAGGTTGCTGGCTTCGACCTAACCAATAACACTTTGTATACTAGTCAAGAACATGTCAAATGTTACGACTACATGGTCGTACCTGTGGGGGTCGTCAGTGATTATGATAAGGTTGGTAGTTCTGTCGGCTGTTTAAGACGAGGCTGCTGGCTTCGACCGTACCAATAACACTTTGTATACTAGTCAAGAACATGTCATATGTTACGATTACATGCTCGTAGCTGTGGGGATGCTCAACTATTATGATAAGGTTGGTAGTTCTGTCGGCTGTTCAAGACGAGGTTTCTGGCTTCGACCTGCCAACAACACTGTATACACTGGTCAAGGGCACGTCATATGTTACGATTACATGGTCGTGGCTGTGGGAATGGTCAATGATTATGATAAGGTTGGTAATTCTGCCGGCTGTTCAATACGAGGCTGCTGGCTTCGACCTAACCAATAACACTTTGTATACTAGTCAAGAACATGTTAAATGTTACGACTACATGGTCGTGACTGTGGGAATAGTCAACGATTATGATAAGGTTGGTAGATCTGTCGGCTATTCAAGACGAAGCTGCTGGCTTCGACCTGCCAACAACACTGTGATAACTAGTCAAGGGCACGTCATATGTTACGATTATATGGTCGTGGCTGTGGGTATAGTCAATGATGATAAGGTTAGTTTATTTTTCTTTTGTATAAAGCTGAAGTATCTACAGTAGGGTTCTTAGGTTACCTTTTCGCTTCAACCGCTGTTTTTGTATTTTAAGAGTTTACAATGCGGTCCCGCATCAAGAATTTATTCAGGCAGTTAGTCTAGCTACGAGGAGACTTAGCGGACCCTTGGCCACAGTTAATTTGTTGAAAGGATCTATGAATCTTGGCAATAAGCACTGAAAAAATGAGCACCATTGCGATTGATGGTTTCACGACCAACATTTTCAGTGGTTATATCTCCGCTGTCATATCTATCTAATAGGATGTTATCATTTCGGGAATATTTTCAAAAACCATATATTTTTTATCTTTATCTTCACTTTATTTAACTCAACTTTATATAAAATGTCTATAATATGTATTCGTTATTAACAGTAGTATTTATAAAGCTAAAATCATCTACTTTATACACCTGTCATCAGATCCGAGGGTTACAAGAAGCTTTGAAACACCCGTCGAGCGGTGTGACGACAATATACGGCGCCGAGTTCTGCCGCAAAACGCGGGATTGTTTGCGGCAGTTCCGCGGCGGTCACGCGCTGTTCACGTTCCCCAGTTCTGGCAGCAAGTGCTCAGGAGCTGCGCAGAAGATCATGTACCTGGCTGACGATCACTGGAGGCAGGTGAGTCCGGCTCGAAGGACCATGTCGTTCATTATCATCAGCCTATTAATGTACCCACTGCTGGGGCACAGGTACTTTATTATAAAGTATTGTACGTTACTTCGGGTAATTGTACTCTATACTTTATGCCAACAATAAAGTACGCGAAAATACTTTATTTAATGTGTTTTCATTACTGGCAGATTAATTTTACATAAAATATACAAAAAGAGGTTGATAGGAAGTTTTTTTGCGTAAAACGGATAGAAAGTATGAATATGTTGCCCTTAGCTAATTCCTGCAACATTTTCGTGACTGTGTGCCTTTGTATCATGTCCTTTCCCATTGCGTAAAAAACTACAGCAACGGAAATTATTTATTAAAAGTTGCTAGTAGCAACGTAAAATATATTTTTAAGCTAACTAATAAAGTGGAATAAAAAGAACTTTATTTTGGACACAATGTACTTTTTGAAGTTATACTTCTTTAGGCGCGTAATGAAAAAATTATGAGAGTGAAATTTTAAGATGCGCGCGCATCACTGTAACACAAAATTTTTGTGTTTACCGCACATTAAGAAAATCTACCAACAAAATAGAAATAGAATCTCTATTTAGTGGGTGCTAACGACTGCATTGTGAAGGCCTATCAAAAGTATTTATTAATCTGGAACAACGGAACCAAAGCGCGATTCAGGAGACTACAGCGCCATCTCTTGACCATTGGTGTAGTAGAACCAAAAACCACATCTTTATTTTTTGTAATAAAGTAACAGTTATAGGTATTCATATTTATAATATTTATCCACATGTTTCTAGTTTGTATATTCGGAATACGTGTTTGAGTTTCATACAAGTGCAAATCACATATGTTCTAATAAATTATATTCAGTAGCGATTTTAATTGAATATTTTGATTATTTATTTATTTTTTCAAATTAAAACTGAACTTTATTGACTGTGTCCTTTTCCAGACTTTTTATTAATTTATTGTAATTAATTATTTGCATGCAATTAAAAACTAATTTTAAACGATGCCAAAGAAGCATAACTTCTCACGCGCCTACATAAGTACACGCACCCATTTTTTTTCTAACTTTATTCCAATATGCTTTATTTTCATTTTCATATGAGGAGCACGACGGCGCAAGTGGTTAGCGCGTTCGGCTGCTATCGTTGAACTTAAGCAAATTACGCAGTGGTCGGTCATTGGATGGGTGACCAAAAATTACTATCTCAAGCTCCTCCTTGCTTCGGAAGGCACGTTAAGCCGTTGGTCCCGGCTGCATCTGCAGTCGTTAACACCCACCAATCCGCACTGGGCCCGCGTGGTGGGTCATGGCCCAATCTCCCTATTCCATCCATAGGGAAGGCCTGTGCCCCAGCAGTGGGGACATTAATAGGCTGATGATGATGTGCTTTATTTCGACAAAAAAGAGGTGGCCACCCTAGGCACAGGCCTTCCCCATGGATGGAATAGGGATACTTTTAATACTTTAAATAGTTAATGTATGATGCCTTCCCCCCTGGCATGAGGACCGCTATATAATATATGACACGTGATACAATGAGAATTGTGGTGCTCATGCTACTGGGGCGGGATAATTTAGAACTTGTCTATTTTTCTTTCGAAAGTAATTTTAATGTCAAAAATTGTCATAGTAAATTTCAATGTAAAAATTGACGAAAGAGCGAGTATCCCCTAATACAAGTACAATACTTAAAAGGGAATACTCAACAACATGTTTATATGGAACTTGTAAGCATTAAAGAATTTTTTTCATTTTTCATTTTTTCATTTTCATTCATACTGAACCGTGACCCACCACGCGTTCCCAATGCGGATTGGTGGGAGCTAACGACTGCAGATGCAACCGGGACCAGCGGCTTAACGAGCCTTTCGAAGTACGGAAGAGCACGAGTTTTCGATCACCCATTCAATGAACGACCATTGCAAAAGTTGCTTGACTTTTACGATCGTAGGCCGAATGACATGTCGTTATGATACGCCGAATATTAGTGTCTCTGCTGCTTGAGTATGAGGTCTTAGTCATGGATAAATTGAAGTTGTAAAACGAGTCATAACCCAACTGAACTACCTTTTACGACAGTCAGATCTGGGCAAATAATAGGTAAAAATCGACCAATTTTTTTCAGTCATTTCAGATGTTGTAGTGAAAATCGTAAACAAATCCATATACTCGATGGCTTAACATAAATTTAAATAAAATTAAGGTACAAAAACCTTTTTAAAAACAAGCTTTTATTCAAATGCGCTAAAAAGAAAAAAAGAAAATTTAGTTAAAGTTTGTTTCTAAATAGATTTTAAAATTTTAGAAGTCCGCCATATTGGATTGAGAGTGACGCCACATTTTTTTCGAGTTACTCCCAGCAAGCCCTTTAATTTGATACCCATATTGTAGGAATGCATTAAAAATGATTGGTCCGCCATTTTGGGTATGCCACCATATTGGATTTAGAATGACGTCACACTGTTAAGCATGCATTGTCATCCGAACTGAACGAGCATACCAAATTTCAGCTTAATCGGTTGAGGGCAAGTGCTTTAAAATTGAGTTGTAAGATTTGACCGTAACAAACATACATAGCAAGTTAAATAAAAGCTTGTAATAAAAAAATGGTGGTCGACTCAGGGTAGCGAATAAATGACGCGGAAGAATCCCTAAACGGGGATCCCGCTGTGATAAACGGAAACGGTTTCGCACTAAGTAGCTTAGAGGGTATTCGCAGGGTTTTTTAGCGGATATTATGTCGTAAAGCGCCCGTAAGAGTTACGGGATCCTCAGTGGGCAGCCACTGTGGGGGCTCGTTAGGCTTGCGGGAGTCAGATGTGAGGTCCGTTCGGCGGTGTGCCTCTTAAAGGCGCCGTCATCTGTGAACAGAGTTTTTGCCTACGTCACAAAAAAAAAAACATGGTGGCGAATAAATAGAGCTTGTCGACATTTATATTCTACTCATCAAAAAGTTTCGTTTGAAATACATTTACCTACTTGATGTATTTGATAAATTACAATTAGGTACACCTAAAATAAAAACCGGAAGTGACATCATAATTTTGCATGCGGGCAAAATCAAGCAACTTCAGGGGTGTCGACATCTAGACTTTATTGTTCATACCCCAACAATGATTGTACATGTATCTGATCCATGGGACTTTTATACAGCCGGCTCTCCTTTGTAGCTGTAAATTCTATCTAATGTTTTATTTTGGTAAATAAACGAAGGCCAAACATAGCTTTTCGTTCTTTCCCAATCCCAACCCATTATAAATACCCTCAGAACAGCCCCTGTTCTGCCACTTGCTTCGAAACGAACTTTCGATAACAAAGTCAAAACGAAATTTAATTTCGTCAATTTAAGGTTATACTTAATTTAACGATAAACTAACGGACCGCGTCGAAATTCCTCTAGCCATTCTTAAGCTGCAACGCAGCGCCATCTCTTCGCATTATAGGTAACCCACAATGTCAAATGAATACTTTTACAAGTATTAAACATTTGAAAGAAGAAATAGCAATTATAGTTATATTTTTTTTAAAGCATGGGTTGGAGTCCCGTCTGCTGCCTGGTCCGCGTGGATTTTTTTCTAGTTATATTTTCTTTAGATTTAAACATCAAGCAGTTACATGCTTTAAAAAATAAAACTATCAAATTGGAGCTTTCTTTGAGTAGGCCTAGAAAATCTTCACCTCTATCTATATTCCGACGGCAAATTTTATTATAATTAAAAACGAAATTTAGTTTTTCGTTGAATTAAAGTAGGCCTTCAGTTTCAAGTGTTCGCGCCAATTGAACCTACATTTCATACTTATATTTCGTTCTTTTTCAGAGAAAGGTCCGCGATCTAACCAACATAACTTACATCACGGGTGGCAAGTCATTATTCGGCGTGGATAAATATGCGCGCGCCTTATACAAAGTAGCCGCCGATAGAGGAGTCGCCGTCAACTGCTGCATCGATCTGCTGGAAGTTGGCTGCAGGACTGCTGTGTTCCAGGATATGGAGGGAGGGGTGAATATACTCTGTTTTTTTTACAGCCACCTAGGTAACTGCCTCTACCCCACCTGATATTAAGTGGTGATAAAGTCCAAACGCGAAGACAGCTGGTACAGCAGTTATAAAATGCCTCACCAACCATCCTTACCTTGCCGGCACGCAAAAATGCTTCTTCACGCCTCTCTTAAAGGACCCCAGATTGTAGGAAGGAGGGAACACGTGCGCGGGCAAAGGATTCCACTTACGAATAGTACGACAAAGAAATGAGTCACCAAATTTCTTTGTTCGTGTAGGAATAGTGGCCACAATAAGTCGGTGGCAATAGGCCAGCGCGCGTGGTCCTCTGAAGAAAAGGTGATGGAGGGATATGGGAGAATAACTCCTCAGAACACTCGCCATGGTATAGTTAGTAGAATGCACTTAATGATGCCACATCGCGGGGTAATTGTAGAGACTCGACTTTAGAATTCGACGTGGATAAACCCCGTGCAAGTATGATCACTTTTCTATTTTTTGGTTTAAGCTCAAGTGGCTCCCCATTAGGCTTTGCCGGAATACTCGCATACTAAGGCCTGGGGGCCAATCGCCTAACGGAAATGCTTTGGAAAACGCTAACGCTTACAATTTTATTTTGTTATTTCTAGCCGCCTCAGGTATTCAAATGCCCCGCGCTCTTTCTTTTTCTTTTGCATTGGTAATAACAATATAAAAAAAAATGAGCGTGAGGTATTCGAAAACCTCAGGCGGCTAGAAATAACAATATAAAATCGTAAGCGTTAGCGTTTCCCAAAGCATTTCCGTTAGGCGATTGGCCCCCTGTTAAGTTTGTAGTAATATCATTTAATTTATCAAATTCATCCATAGATGGCGTTATTGTTATGTTTAATATTTTTCTATGCAAGTTCTGAATCACGATATTTAGTTTGTTTTTCGAATACACATAAGTTCAATATTATTTTGAAATAGACAACTTTTGTCACAGATTTCGGGTTTTATTTATTTAAATAGCTCGCAGACTTTTTGAGATTTAAACAAGGCCTGTATTACAGAATGACAACTAAGTATTGATCTTTACTTGAGTATAGTTAGAAAGGGATGTCGCTATGTGGTATATATAGCGACATCCTTTTCCAACTATGCTCAAGACTAGATTCATTACTGAGAATCTTTCTATAATACGAGCGTAAGGCTCCTGTACAATATTTTGTTTAATTCCTTTACCCCGCGCTATCTCAAGGATGTTTTTAATTTGCAACAAAATTCCCTATCGTTGAATACGGTAAATGGAAAAATCCTACAAAAAATACGTAAGCACCATGCTATTTTAACTATTTTATAAACTATATTAGCCAGCTTTTTAAGATCTCGTGGATGCAAAAGATCAAGAAAAAGAACATAAATAAAAGATAATTGCCATAAACATAATTTCGAAAGTATAAAGTTTTTTTTTTTTTTAAACTCGTTTATTTATTACATTTTACATTTTAAGGGGCTGAATATAACATAATTGTAATATATAAGGGATTCGATATTTGTTAGAGTAGCCCCATCAGAATCCGAGGCCGCGTCGAGATGCAGCCAGGGAGGTCGAATGGGTGGGAAAGACAGGGAGAGGAGAGGACGGTTTAATAATAGTGAGAGGCGAAAGAATAGGAGAGGAAAGGAAACGAAACAGAAAATAAATAACAGGTTTAAAGGATGGGAGTAAGAGTGTAAGGGTTTAACAATCTTGCATGATATACAGGCATTGACGAAATATATTCAATAATATTAAGTGTCTCACAGACAGACGCCACAAAACGCCACAAAAAAAAAAAAGTATAAAGTTACATTACTTTTTCTATTTTTAAAATTACTTTTTTGCCTCTCCAGAAAAATTGGCTTTTGGCGGTTACGGTAATTCATTTTACAAGTGACGATATGATTCTTTGTCCTAGATCTTTTTAATAAATATTTTTAAAACTATATCTTGTTTTCAATCCCAAATATAAGTTTCTCTATTGCTAGTTTTAACTAAAGCTCGGAGTGATAACTCGTAAATTCTAGTTTTGACTAGTTATTTCTAGTTTTAACTAGGGAACACGCGTTCTATCTGAAAACGGGTTTTAACTGTAACATATATATATATATATATATGTCTGTTTGTGTGAGGAATGCGTGTGCAGCTCTTCCCGACGAGCATGAAAATTGGAGGGTATCTCGGAGAGGCTGAAACGCTACGAGCGTCACGAGCGTTACATGTATAAATATATACATATATACATGTTAACAATATATATGTATATTGTATATACCGTCCATGTATATGTATATATATACATGGACGGTATATACATACAAATATATGAGTGATGCGTGTGCGGCTTCATTCCCCTGTCTTATATGTCCTAAGGAAAGAAACTTTTACTTTAGATGTCCATCACATCACACCAGCCTATTAATGTCCCCACCGTACCTTTCGAAGCACGAAGGAGCTCGAGATAGTAATTTTTGGTCACCCATCCAATGACCGACCGACGAAAGTTGCTTCAGTTCAACGATCGCAGCAGATCGTTAACCACTTGCGCCATCGAGCTCTTCCGTTAGATGTCCGTAAATACATATTTTTTTGTTATTAGATAGTTAATTTTTTTCATTCTCGTAAATGTGTGCCGATCTTACAAATAAATTCCTTATCTAAATTTGTCAAACACTTAACTCTCTCTTCCAGAGAATAGTGCTCCCATACAACTTGCTGCACGTGACTCCGCCCATGTCGGCGCCCCTCAGTCTCCGGCAGTGTCCAGACCTGGTGACTGAGCAAGGGTTCCTGGATGTAGACCATCACAGTTTACGTCATAAGCGGTACAGCAACATCTTCGGCGTTGGAGACTGCCTCGCCACGCCTAACAGCAAGACTGCCGCTGCCGTTGGTGAGATTATGAGTTCTGTCATTGTACTATTAACTTATAATGAGAACGTCAATTCACGCTGTAAATACAACGTGTAACAGAAACAACGAATCCTGAAAGAAGTTTGGTTTGAATTGGATTCGGAATAGATTTCAATAATAAGGTATTTGACAGTGTTAACAATAAAGTGCCAATTATTGGCATATGTGTTTAGAATGAATATTGGCAGGGGTTTTTACTATTTTTACAAAAAAAAATATTCATAATTTTACTTAAAACTAACGAAAAAGATAATAGTTTTCTTATCTATTGTCACGTGACCCAAAACGCTTGGGATTGGCGGAGCCTAAAATGACGACACACGCAAGTAAACTTCCGGTTAAAGTGACATTACATTGTATCGTTTGACGTTTTAATAACAGTCGTGTGACGTCACACACTAGTAAGACGCCATATTGTCCAGGGAAACGATTTCGCGGCAACTTGAAAATAGAGTTTTTGGTTTGGTTATTTTTACTGAAATACACAACAGAATGATGAATATCCACTTTTTACGGACTCCTTTAACATTAGTCAATAACGTGATATCGTTTTCTAAAACTTGCCAAATACCCTATTAAGAGTAGGTATTTAAAAATTTTACCGAATATATATTACATTTATTTAATCATTCTAAATTAAAGAATATGTTACGTTATATTAATTTAATGTGTATTTATTAAATGAGTATTTATTTGACCAACTACCACTAGTTCCAGGATGGGACAGACAGCTCGTAGCGGCCAGGTTGTTTACGGTAGTTAGGGTGAAATAAATAAACTCAAAATTATAAAAACAATGAAGTCCTTTGTTAATTAAATTAGCTAATAAATACATACATAGACAATAAGGTTTTAAAAATCTTCCAATGAAATATCCGAACGCTCAATAAAAGTCTTTCGAAGGTAGCTCGACAAAGTAAATAATCATAATTCTGACTCGTCTAAACGGCTGGAGCGATTGTAATAAAATTTGGTATAGAGTTAGCTGACACCCTGGATTAACACATAGGCTACGTTTGACTGCGGAAAAATATCCCTAATAAACCACAGGTAAAACCGCGGGGCACAGCTAGTTCGTCAATAGAGCGGCCCACCTCATAGCTGACCTGTGACGTGGTCAATTGTTTCTTACCGTTTCTGTTAAATCTCTTATCTAATAGACAAGTCCGTCCGTCCGTCCGTGGTGCTGTTTCAGCGGCCAAACCGTAAGAGATAGATATAGAGAATGTTTAAGTTATAAGTTAAGAATAGTCTGATAAGACTACAAACCGGATGTGAGTAACGTAGCACTTCCGGTTTTCGAGAAATCACGTGATTTCTATTTCAAACGAAACCACACAAAATCTCCGAAGTTCTCAATTAATTAAATACTTTTTTTTTTGTGAACATTTGGATCACAGGTTTGCTAGTTATAAACTATTCCAGCTCGCCAGAGTTACGTGGTGGAGCGCAATCTATACAGCGTTATGGCCGGCGAGACTCCTACCGCTCGATACGACGGATACGGCGCCTGTCCGCTGCTAACTTCATACAAGAGAGGCATTCTGGCAGAGTTCCTCTACGATAAACGACCGCATGAAACCTTTCCTTTCGACCAGGTCAGTGTATGATACAACCTATAAAAGCTTGATAGATTGTGGTCTTCTACCAGATACAATGGCCACGGCGTCTGTCCGCTGCTAACGTCATACAAGAGAGGCATTCTGGCAGACTTCCTCTACGATTAACAACCGCATGAAATCTTTCCCTTCGACCAGGTCAGTACATGGCACAAACTATAAAACTTAATAGATTGTGGTCTTCTGCCAGATACAATGACTACTGGCAGAGTTCCTCTATGATAAACAACCGCTCAAGACCTTTCCTTTCGACCAGGTCAGTGTGTGGCATAACCTATAAAGCTTGATAGATGATGGTCTTCTCCCAGATATGATAGCCACGGCGCCTGTCCGCTGCTAACTTCATACAAGAGAGGCATTCCAGCAGAGTTCCTCTACGATAAACGACCGCATGAAACTTTTCCCTTCGACCAGGTCAGTATATGACACAAGCTATAAAGCTGGATAGATGGTGGTCTTCTGCCAGATACGATGACCACGGTGCCTGTCCGCTGCTAACTTCATACAAGAGAGGCATTCTGACAGAGTTCTTTTACGATAAACGACCGCATGAAACGTTTCCCTTCGACCAGGTCAGTATATGACACAACCTATAAAACTTGGTAGATGGTGGTCTTCTACCAGATACGATGGCTACGGCACCTCTCCTTTACTCACTTCATACAAGAGATGCATCCAGGTACCGTAGTATGAGCACTGCAATTTACATTATATCACATTTTTTATCGCGTCTAACTGTCAAACTCCATAGTAATTTGACAATTGAGCGGGAAAAAAACGCGTTATATATATATATATATATAACGCGTTTTTTCCCGCTCAATTGTTATATCATATCGCGGTGATCATGCTAGGGGGGCTGGCCTAGTTCCTTTACGATAAACGACCGTACGAGACCTTTCCCTTCAGCCAGGTCAGTATATGACACAACCTATATAACTTGATAGATGGTGGTCTTCTGCCAGATACGATGACTACAGCGCCTGTCCGTTACTCACTTCATACAAGAATGGCATCCAGGCCTAGTTCCTTTACGATAAACGACCGCACGAGACCTTTCCCTTTGACTAGGTCAGTATATGACACAACCTATAAAACTTGGTAGATGGTGGTCTTCTACCAGATGCGATGGCTACAGCGCCTGTCTGTTACTCACTTCATACAAGAGAGGCATCCTGCTTGAGTTTCTCTACGATAAACGACTGCATGAAACCTTTCTCTGCGACCAGGTCAATATATGACACAACCTATAACGCTTGATAGTTGGTGGTCTTCTACCAGATACTATGGCCACGGCGTCTGTCCGCTGCTAACTTCATACAAGAGAGGCATCCTGGCCTAGTTCCTTTACGATAAACGACCGTACGAGACCTTTCCTTTTGACCAGGTCGGTATATGACACAAACTTTAAAAGTTAATAGATGGTGGTCTTCTGCCAGATACGATGACTACTGGCAGAGTTCCTCTATGATAAACAACCGCTCAAGACCTTTCCTTTCTACCTGGTCAGTGTGTGGCACAACCTATAAAGCTTGATAGATGGTGGTCTTCTCCCAGATATGATAGCCACGGCGCCTGTCCGCTGTTAACTTCATAAAAGAGAGGCATTCTGACAGAGTTCCTTTACGATAAACGACCGTACAAGACCTTTCCTTTCGACTAGGTCAGTATATGACACAACCTATAAAGCTTGATAGATGGTGGTCTTCTACCAGATACGATGGCTACGGCACCTCCTTTACTCACTTCATACAAGAGATGCATCCAGGTACCGTAGTATGAGCACCGCAATTTACATTATATCACATTTTTTATCGCGTCTAACTGTCAAACTCCATAGTAATTTGACAATTGAGCGGGGAAAAAACGCGTTATATATCATATCGCGGTGATCATGCTAGGGGGGCTTCCCTTTCCCTTCAACCAGGTCAGTATATGGCACAACCTATATAACTTGATAGATGGTGGTCTTCTGCCAGATACGATGACTACAGCGCCTGTCCGTTACTCACTTCATACAAGAGAGGCTTTCTGGCAGAGTTCCTCTACGATAAACGACCGCATGAAGAAACCTTTCCCTTTGACCAGGTCATTACATGACACAGCATATAAGGCTTGATAGCTGGTGGTCTTCTACCAGATACAATGGCCACGGCGTCTGTCTGCTGCTAACTTCATACAAGAGAAGTATCCTGGCCAAGTTCTTCTACGATAAACGCGTTCTCCAGCTCACCCCCCCAAGTCAAGCGAGCGTAAACAAGTTTCACATAAAAAAAATCATTTCCTAAATATACTTTATCCAAGTCAACACGTATGTATTCGTTGCAGAGCAAAGAACGACGGATTCTCTACCATCTCCAGACTTCCATATTGCCATACGTTTACTGGAACAAATTGCTGAAGGGCACATGGAACGGACCAGCTGGATTGCGGAGAATAATCAACCCTATGGCGAAGAAATAAGTTACACTTTTAATAAAAATAAAAATATTTTATTGTCTAACTAACGTACACATAAACAACAGTATTTAAAAAATAAACTCGATAACTAGAAACTCATTACTCGTTTAATAAATGCTAAAAACAGTATTATTTATATTCAAATCTTTATGCTTAAAAAATAATTATTTACAAGTAGTGTTATGCACAGTAATAAATAACTTTAACGAAAAACTTGCTGTTTTATTTATTACCGATATCACAATATAGAGGTAATTTAAATAACCTAAATTACAAATTTCTTTTTATGATCATTTCTTAATTTTCTTTCATTCGGCTGCGATCCTCAGTGGTCGGTCATTGGATGGGTGACCAAAAATCTTCTATCCCGAGTTCCTCCGTGCTTCGGAAGGCACATAAAGCCGTTGTTCCCGGCTGCATCTGCAGTCGTTAGGACCCACCAACTCGCAGCTCGCACTGGACCCGTGTGGTGGGTCATGGCCCAATCTCCCTATTCCATCCATAGGGAAAGCCTGTGCCCCAGCAGTGGGCACATTAATAGGCTGATGATGATGACCAAATCTGATAAATAAATTACAATCTGCGTTCGATGGCTTGAATACAGCATTTAATGATTTTACAAATATGTAGTAAAAACTTTACAATCGCAAATAGCTGATTAACAAAATATTTCCTTTGGTATTCTTTTCACTTTAAATGGATATTGTACTAACCTACTTCGTATTATATTCTACTAAGGGCCGATTTTTCAAAACTCGGATAAAACCTAACTGTTCAATCAATTAATACTCAATCAAATAGAGAGAGATGTCATCCGTCACATTACACCAATGAACGTAAGTTAACTCTTTATTTTGTCCGTCTAATACGATATCAAACAGATAAATTTTATCCAGTGGTCGAGAAATCAGCCCTATATAAATTATATTTTACTTTGGCACATCGACAAACATAGATTATGTATCAAGTTACAAGTAGACTGCATTCCATTATCGAAGTGTAACTATGTTATTTAATGACAAAACACTGGGTCACTAGTACAAGCTTTTAATGATTATTTATTCGGCTATAGGTTCTTCTTAGTCGGGCACTCTTGTCAGAGTGGTCGTGGTTGCACTGACAAGGTACTTGGTGGGGTGTTCTTTGGGTCGTTATCAATTCCGAGGGTAGCTCTCCTGGCGATGTGCTTCCATTTCTGACGGTTCGAGGCGTCGCGAGTACACTGGACCATGGTGACTAATGGTCAGTACACACGTAACGATATATCGTAGCGATTTCAAGCTGTGCAGATAAATCGAACGTTCCTAGTGACTCCACACGCCTTCGATATCGGCGTCGATTGTTTGTTCTCCGCAGAAGCTCACGCAAGAAACATATCATCCACGATGGAAGATTATGACGCACTTGAAATTTTTTTGAGTTATTTATTATAGGTACTTTTAAAATTATTGATTGGCATTTGGTTCGATGGCTTTGTATTTTTCGACAAGCCTGTTATAGGCATTTTTTTTTATTGCGATCATGATAATCCTTCTCTTTCTTCTTCCGATATGTTGCCATTTAAGAGCCAGCCGCATGTGCGCATACTTGCGAGCTCCGTGAAGTACCTACTGCCGAACTCAGCGATCGCCATCCACACGCGACGATAAAACTGTGCAAACGCAATCGATAACGATTTATCTAATATAAATTGCAACTGCCACCGACGAACGATAATCGACAACGATTTGTCATACACACGTTCGATAAATCTGCCCAAATCGATCTGCACAGTTCTATCGTTACGATAAATCGTTACATGTGTAGCAGGCATAAGTAGCCTTTGAGATGGCGTCTATCCAGCGGGTTGGTCGACCGCGTGCTCTCTTGCCATCCACCTGGCCTTGAACTACCAGTCTTTCCATCGAATTCTCATTTCTAGAGATGTGACCAAAGAACTTCAGTATTCGTAGTTGCACAGTTGACGAGAGTCTGTCTTTAACACGAAGCTCATTGATACGAAATGCCGTCCACGGGATCTTTAGGAGGCGTCTCCAGCACCACATCTCCAATGCATCGATCCTGCAGTCTCAAAGACCATGTTTCGGCTCCATAAAGAAAGATTGGAAACACAAGGCATTTCATCATTCAGCCTATAGGTTAAATGTACCTAAATATTTCTTTTATATATAACCTAAGTAGCTTCAGAAAATCGTACGTTTACCAGACTATTGTGCGGTTGTCGTGCGGCTACCGTCATGTAAATGAACGGAAGCCGCGCGGTTGTCGTACGGCAGATGAGCTGCTCTACAACAACCGCGCAGCATCAAAGATTTGTGCTGATAATGGTGTCGATTCCGGCAGATTCTCTAAAGCTAAACTTAGATTTGACCAAAGTGTGTGGGAAGGCCAAAGGGTCTAAAAAGCTTCCTCCGAGCTAGGTGATGTTAGCTCGGGGGCATCGTATATATGAACTGTTGGCTACCGAATTTCACTTGCGCGATGTAGGCTTCCTTACGTTGTGAACGCAGCGCCGGTAGAGCCATCCCTTGAGGAGGCGAATGATTATTTCCTCCATGTTAGTTATATGTGGGGCATATAGATGTCGCCGCCACAAGTGCATCCTTGTCATTCTCTATACAGAATGAAAAGGAGAGACTGATGTTAAATTTAGTTTTAAGTTTGGAGAATCACGCCAGAATCGACACCAACGTGTATATAGCCAAAAGTAGAAATGGTGTGAAACAGGTAGGTAAATAAAAACTTAATCTTTTTACCAAAAGAAGACCAGAGTTAATTATAGGAACTAAGACAGATCGGCTATATTGTACTTGTCATTGTACCGACGTTAGTGAAACATATTTATGAATCCGGTTTGCGGATAATTAAAGGTTTAAAAATGTTTAAAGTTCTCCATAAGTCCACTCCAGTAGCCAGATTTTTGCAACAAACATTAATCAGTTTATAATTTTTATTATTTTTAAAGCATGTAACTGCTTCATGTTTAAATCTAAAGAAAATATAACTAGAAAAAATTCCACGCGAACCAGGCAGCAGACGGGACTCGAACCCGCACCCTTCGCAATCCGGGCGAATGCACTGACCACGTTGTGGGTTACTTATAATGCGAAGAGATGGCGCTGCCTTGCAGCTTAAGAATCGACGCGGTCCGTGAGGGCCGCGGTAGCATAATTGGTCAGTGCATTCGCCCGAATTGCGAAGGGTGCGGGTTCGAGTCCCGTCTGCTGCCTGGTCCGCGTGGATTTTTTTCTTATTATATTTTCTTTAGATTAATCAGTTTCTTCATAAAGTTCTTCTCACTGATCTTAATTCAAGTTCTATTCAGAGCGGCATATTGTTCCTTCTCCGTGCCATTCGTGTGTTTGGCGTCTATGGCACTCTGTCTCTTCCGATTGAGGGCCGCTCGTCGTATCCTGTACCGTTTCCTGGTGACGACGAGGTAGATTATCAGTACAACGGCCACTGTAAGGGAGACCGCTATGCTGATGCTGAGGATCAGCGTCATGGTGCTCATGTGGAAAGGGTTCCCTTCAGTCGACGCTTCCAGCTGAAAGAGATAATTAATAATTTTACTGACAATTGGAGCACAGAATATATACACTACGCGAAAAGAAGCGACACTTAAGCATGTGTGCTCGTAAAATCGGCGGCGGCTATGTGTGGGTGTCTAGAGGTGCGCGGGGGCGTTGCGCGGGGCGTGGAGAGGGCAGTCGCCGACTGCCTCGACCGAAGGGATGGCAGTAGCGAAATAGTAAAATAATAGCGTTGCACTGCATTGCACGCACAGACTGACTACGCTACGCAATCTTATTATTATTTAGATAATAATAAGAATTATAAAACGAATCGAAAAAGGAGAAAATATATAAAAGTTAGCAATTTGTTATAGTACCTACATTAAAAGATTAAAAATTGATTATAAAATCAAACCTATCCTTCATTATTTACCCCAGTATCCTTGAATCAGTTTACATTTAATAACTTACTATGCATAAATATTCATTGGCACAAGTCTAAATTCCAAGTTCAACCCTAGCGCATACACGCTCCTGCTCAAGGTCACTGACGCTGGAACTCTCACGTACACAGAGTGTCACCGCTTGCGATTGGAGTCACATAAAATACATATTTTATTCGCTTCGCGCTGATATGATTATGGTAACCAACTTTCTATGAAATATAGTATTTTCGAAGGTGTTAGTTGCCTCTAAAAATATAGACATATATATGACAAAAAAAAATAGAAAAAGATATAGTATTGGTAGGTCTTTATTTTCGAAATGAGTATATTTTTGCTGCTCTATACTTTAATACTTCAGTTTTTATTTGATAAAAACTTTTACTGGCAGAAGTCTCCTTTAAGCAAAATATTGTAGTTTCGCTTACAATATATTTTATATTTACAAATATAGTATTTATAATTTTTATTATTTTAAAGCATGTAACTGCTTGATGTTTAAATCTAAACAAAATATAACTAGAAAAAAATCCACGCGGTCCAGGCAGCAGATGGGACTCGAACCCGCACCCTTCGCAATCCGGGCGAATGCACTGACCAATTATGCTACCGCGGCCCTAACAGACCTCGTCGTAATTCTTCTAGCCATTCTAAAGCTGCAAGACAGCGCCATCTTTTCGCATTATAGGTAACCCATAATATAGTATTTGATCCCCTAACATATAGGATACTATATTATATAGTAGGGTTAGCAACCCTGGATATGATGTCAAAGGCTACTTCCAAATTATTCTTACATCCCAAAGAGATGGGTGTCGCTCGTTTAGTAGTTATCGTGTCAAAGCAAATATCTCATTGATCGGTCATTGGATGATCGATGGATGATAAAAAAAATTGCATTGGAAGGCACGTTGAGATGTTGGCATTGGCTGTATCTTCAGTTAGCATTCACCGGAAGAGTAATAAATAAATAAATAAAAATTTCCAACACTCACACCTATTTAGCCTAGCCCCAAAGTAAGCACTGTAAGGCTTGTGTTATGGGATGCTAGGGTAACGGATATAATACATATACTGTATCCATCCATGACTGGAGTACAAATACTCGTATTCATCACACAAACATCTGCCCCCACCGGGAATCGAACCCGGGACCTCTCGAGTCGGCGACACCATGAAACCCGGCGTCAACCACTCGGCCACGGAAGTCGCCAATAGGAACATGATTATGCTTACAATAGTCTCATGAACTCACCTTATGAAAACCAACAGACTCACATTGACGCTCAAAAGGAGACGGAAGCAAAGTCTGCACATGCGTCTATTGTGCAGAGTTTTCGACTAATCGTATTCGAGTCGCGCTATGATTACAACGCCAAGCAGTAACAAAGTCTTTGAATATTTATACGTCTATATAGAGCAAACCAAATGATCCAAGCAAAGAACACGGCTCATGTTTTGCGCAATGTGTGATGCTTGACTCCAATGTCAGATTGTACTGTAGGAAGGCCAAAGGGAAAGATCTTCCTCCGAGCTGGGTGATGGTAGCTCGGGGGCCGCGGCCCGACTGATGTTGGTCGGGCATCGTATATATGAAGAGTTAGCCTCCGAATTTCATTTGTGCGATGTAGGCTTCCATACTATTATGATCGCAGTGCAGGTAACGCCATCTCTTGCGGATGGTGAGTAATGATTTCCTCCATCCGTTGTATATATGTGGGGCATATAGATGTCGCCGCCACAGTACTAAAGCTGTAAATGTGTGCGTGTGTAGCGACGAGCATATATATACCTAGATTTTCTGGTGCCGCTGCCTTGCAGTTAATATCACTTTGTCGAACATTTTGTCGTATGAATAATCAAAGCGTTGGGGGAAATACTGAGCAATCTTAATGTCTAATGACTCTTACGATGTATGTGTCGTGTGGTCCCGCCCTCAGATACCCGTTGCTGCACATAGCTCGGTCCGTCCAGTTGTACCAGTGAACCAGTCGTAAGTGTTGGTAGGCGCGCGGGGAACCGCATCTAGGACAATCGTACGATGACTTAGATTAAAACAAAAAGGGAAGATACGGTACGCTCATACTAGCATCAAATAAAATACGCTCCGACTCAACTACATAAGCAACTCTCACACACGCATACGCACTGCCGGATTTAGGGGAGGGCAACCGGGGCGAAAGACCCGGGGCCTCCACAAACGGGGGGCCCCCACAATAGAGACTTCGGAAAAAAAAAATCATTCAAATTCCAACTAGTAAACATCTTTTCCTTTGATGTTTTTTTTTGCTCTTTTACCTTTACCTTTACCTACAGCCTACAGTACTTTATACATCTAACATACATGATTATTTGATTATTAAAATCTTAAATAACAGAAATCATTGATATATATTTGTTCACTCCAATCAGGCAATCAGTGAAATATCAAAATCTCAAATGGCCCTGATAAGCACTTCCAATTCACTACCCATCTTGAGGGAGTACCCCAATCGCTTAATGGCTGAGTGGGGTGGTACTTGCCCGCAGGGCCGCATTTAAGGCAGGGCAGGTGGGGCTGTGGCCCAGCGGCCTCCACAACAGCTTAAGAACTAACAACATTTCGATGGGTTAACAAGAATACAAATCCTAAGTGACCCGGGGCCTCCACAATCCTAAATCCGCGCATACGTCTGTAAATAAACATTCAATCGAGCGAGCGAGACAGAACTGTACGCTTCAACGCAGCGCGAGCGAAACGGTCAGTTTATGTTCGAGTCCGCACGGCTGAGCTGTATTGTTGTCCTTTTCTTGATAACAAAATGGCGATTACGTAAATAACAAACACAACAAACCGTATTTTTTATATAAAAATGTTTTTACAGTTTTACAAATGAAAAGTGTTGCCGAGGCATTTGATTTTGAACTATTTGTATTTTTTTATAAAAGCATCGGAGGCATTGTTCTATATTTATAACACGTAATATACGCAATATTGCGCATCGTCGGGAGCTGCCGCGGCACGCTCGCTTTGCTCGCTCGGCTCACACTAAGTTTAGGTCGCAACACTGAGATAACCTAACCCACTGTGAGTTGGTGAAACGTTCATTGGTCTGTAACTCATTCGGTGAGAAATTAAAAAATCCGTCCGTCATTTTATATGCAACTGGGTAGACCAAATTATTTTACACATTGATCCGCATGGTGGGTTGTTGATCTAATTTCCTTAATGGAAACAATAGAAGCCTGATGATAATCATAAAAAGGAAGGGTCATTCAGAACCGCACATTAAGGTATTAAGGTGCACGAGACATTTTAAGAGAGATAGGTTATAGCGGATTTGTCGCCCGTCTGGACAAGGCCCGATCTAAGAGGGGGAGAGCTGGGTATTTGCCCAGAGCGGCAAAAATTAGGGCCGGCAAAATTGACTTAGGGTCAGCCGATTAGTACATCATTAAAGGGAGGCAAAAATTTTTGCCCAGAGCGGCAAAATTTCTAGATCGGGCCCTGCATCTAGGAAAGTAAACTCCACTTTACAGAAGTACAATGCTACCTATTGGTAGTGTTGTGTTTCTGTCAGTGTGTAGGAATTCACGGGAGATTGAGTCGGGGTTAGGGTTACCAGATTATAAAATCAAAAGTCCGGAGAAAAGGCTTGATTTCCATTGAAAAATCCTGATATTTTTTACAGTTTGAGAATTTTCTCTCAAACGTAAGTACTTAACAATTTAAAAAAGTCGTAATATTATCGTTTATGCTCTGCTCATACTTTTTAATCAATATAATTTGATGAGCTTAACATGTGGGACATTATATGAATCCATGATTAAAGAAAAAAACCTTACTTAAAAATGTATCTTCACATATAAGTATGATAAAACTGATTAAGTTAAGATTAACTTGGATAATAAAGTACTGATTTTAATTTTGCAATTATTTTTAGTTTGTTTAACTTTTTATTAAAGAGATTTTTAAAACGTAAGCTATATTTTATTGGAAATTCGAAAAATCCTGAGATTTCATGAGATTTGCAAAATCCAGCCGCAATCCTGAGAAGAGTCCAAAAATCCTGAAATCTCAGGACAAATCCTGAGATATGGTAACCCCAGTCGGGGTAGGCAACGGCGCCTGTGATATTTTCGGTAACGCAAGCGTCTATCTACAGGCTATAGTGGCCACTTGCCATCAGTCAGGCCCTATGCTTGTTTGCCGCAATTGTAAGAAAAAAAAACTGGCATGGCATCTCATCTCTTCTCGACCTCCAACGTTTTTGCCAGATTCCAAGGATTCTGCTTAATTATTTTTTTACACTATATTGATTTTTCTAAATTTATGTTTTCATTTATTTTTTGCTTCGGAAGGCACGTTAAGCCGTTGGTCCCGGCTGCATCTGCAGTCGTCAGCACCCACCGATCCGCACTGGGCCCGCGTGGTGGGTCATGGCCCAATCTCCCTATTCCATCCATAGGGAAGGCCTGTGCCCCAGCAGTGGGGACATTAATAGGCTGATGATGATGATGATGATGATTTATTTTTTAAGCATTTAACTGTTAGATGTTTAAATCTAAAAAAAAGTTTACTAGAAAAAAAAAACCACGCGGACCAGGCAGCGGACGGGACTCGAACCCGCACCCTTCGCAATCCGGGCGAATGCACTGACCATTATGCTACCACAGCCCTATTCGCCGCGTCGAAATTTTCCTAGCCTTAAGCTGCAAGGCAGCGCCATCTCTTCGCATTGTAGGTAACCCACAATGTGAAATGAATACTTTTTCAAGTATTAAACACTTGAAAGAAGAAATAGCAATAATAATTATAGTTATGTTTTTATTATTTATTTTTTAATCATTTAACTGCTAGATGTTTAAATCTAAAGAAAAGTTTACTAGAAAAAAAATCCACGGAGACCAGGCAGCGGACGGGACTCGAACCCGCACCCTTCGCCATCCGGGCGAATGCACTGACCATTATGCTACCACGGCCCACGCGTTTTCTAAATTTTCTAATTATACCTTAAGTAGTATAATGTCTTATCTAATAGACAAGTCCGTCCGTCCGTCCGTGGTGCTGTTTCAGCGGCCAAACCGTAAGAGATAGATATAGAGAATGTTTAAGTTATAAGTTAAGAATAGTCTGATAAGACTACAAACCGGATGTGAGTAACGTAGCACTTTCGGTTTTCGAGAAATCACGAATTTCAAACGAAAACACACAAAATCTCCGTAGTTCTCAATTAATTAAATATATATATTTTTTTAAACCAGGTTTTGGTGAACATTTGGTTCACTGGTTTGCTAGTATAGTATAATACCTTAAGTCATCGAGCAGGTACGAGGAGTTGGTGTTGTAGAGGTAAGGTATCAGCTGATCCACCATCCACTGCAGGTCGCAGCTACAGTGCCACGGGTTGAACTGCAGGTTGATGCCCGCGGACACAGAGGACCAGGGCAGTAAGTCTTGTGGGAGATTCGTCAGGTTGTTCTTGCTCACGTCTAGCTGGATATAACATTCATTATAACATTATTCAATACTAGTGGCCCGCCCTCGCTTCGCTTCGGGGTAGAATTGATCAAAATCCTTTCTTAAGTTAAGTTAAATTTCAGCCCCATCCGTCCAGTGGTTTGGGCTGTGCGTTGATAGATCACCATGTCAGTCAGTCACCTTTGAGTTTTATATATATAGACTAGCAAATCAGGCGAACTCCGTTCCGCCATCAGATGGCTTCGTTTTATGTAACATTTCGTTTGGTGATTAAAAGAAGATTTTTTTTTTGAAATTGTTCCTGAATTTTCTTTGCTATAAACCTCTCGGAGCCCGAGACCTTTCCAACGAATGCAAAACCGTGGAAATCGGTTCGTGCGTTCTGGAGTTATAGCGTCAGGAAGGAAAACCCGACTTATTTTTATATAGTAGATAATCTATTATATCACTCTTAATACGGAAAGTGAGGATAAAGATCAAGCGAAGACCAAATCTCAGAAAGAAAAACCCCAGTCAGGTATCTCAAGTTTTAAAGGTTACTGAACTATTTGGTTCAGTAACTTAAAGTGATTTAGCTTCCTTTAACAAAAAAGATGGCAGAAAATCTTCCTTAATACATTATTCCTAGTAGAGAGAAGCGATATTACAAGAACAGTCAATAATGTAAATAATGAATTGTTACCATGTACCTTGCTTTTTATGAGTCTCCGATATTTCGGCACTGTTGCAAGTGCCATGGCCATGATCACGGAGTAACTGAAGTAATTGCGGGTAGATGTTATTGGCAAACATATCGGTCTACCCTCTGACGTCGCCTTTTACTGCGCTCGATACCCCTACCACTGGTCACATTCTCACTATTCACTCGCACCTGTTCCCGACACACAATATCATATCAATCAATACACAGTCGCGATCAGATCGCGAAACGATACTTTTTTGATTGTTACGGTTTTTGATTGATTCGTCACCTAACACACCCACTGGCTTGAGCTCCATAATCCACAAATTATCTCGATAGAACGCCACTACATACCAAGATTGGTTAGGGAAGCAATTGAAATAACCAAACACAAATGTGAGTAGTGAGTATGTGATCAGTGGCAGGGGTACCGAGCACAGTAAAAGACGACGTCAGAGGGTAGACCGATATGTCTGCCAATAACATCTACCCGCAATTACTTCAATTACTCCGTAATCATGGCGCTTGCAACAGTACCGAAATATCGGAAACTCATAAAAAACAAGGTACATAGTATAGGATGATGCGTGAGTTTTTCAGGTGTTGTAAAATGAGTGCAACAAAGTTCACAATACTCACGGTTTATTGTTTACACAATATTATCCTAATAAATATGCAAACACTATTAATGCAAGATGGAAGGTGCACAATGAGTATAATAACAAGATTGCCCAGCGTAGTAACTATAAGTTCAATGTTAAGCAAGCTGTTGAAAACAAATCGATATCGAGGTACTTAGTAAGGAGACAAGCGACACGCATTCAAAGCAGAGACTAAGATCTGACTGCCGCGGCTACGCAGGAACAAGTGGTGCGGAGGCCCCGCCCACTGAGACCGGTTACGTTCAAGCGGCCGCGGCCTGCGTCCGCGCAGAAGAGTATCTATGCGCAAGCAAAATATGTTTGTCCGCTTGTCGACCAAAATATACAGTTTACATTTATCGTTTACAATATTATATATTAACATATTTAAACATGATATTTTTATATTACAATATAATTATACAGTTTATTAGACATTTCACTATATATTTTAAATTAACATAAATTATATAAACAACAAATATTTTAATTTTACAAAATATAAATTATATTATGTAGGCACACTACACCACCCCCCTCCAGAGACCGTCCTACGGGCGATAATAGTCCGGAAACTTAACCCTACGACCAGAACGGGTAGTTTTAGTTGGAGTATGTACCGAATCAGGTAAGTTGTTATGTGTAGTGTTAAGTGTGGGTGAGTCCGAATGTGATGTTTGTGGAAGATGAGGTGTGCGAGTGGTGGTGTCTGGATCGCGCAGTGTGTATGCGGGTTTTAGTCGGTCGATTGACACGGTGACCAGCTTACCATTTATTGCAAGTTTAAACACCTTATCACCTCGTTCTAGAACCTCATGTGGTCCTGTGTACGCTGGTTTGAGGCAGCCGGCCCCTGCGTCATCACGAAGGAAGACGTGAGAAGCCGTGGCTAAATCTTTGAAGATGAAAGGAGACTTCTGGGAACCATGACGTGAAGCTGGGGATGGTTGCAACTGTCTTGCGAATAAGTGAAGACGTGCCACATAATCCGACATATCTACAGTACTTTCCTCATCTGGTTGGAAAAAATCTCCTGGTAGGCGCAATGGTTCACCATAAACCATTTCAGCGGAAGATGATTTTAGGTCTTCTTTATAGGTGCTGCGAACACCCAACAAAACAAGGGGAAGAGCCTCGACCCAATTACTGCTAGAGTGGCAGGTTATGGCAGCTTTCAGTTGCCTATGGAACCTTTCCACTAATCCGTTGCACGACGGATGATAGGCAGTGGTTCGTCTGTGCTGAAATCCAGCAATATTAGATAAGCACTTAAAGAGTGCTGACTCAAATTGCCTACCACGATCAGTGACAATTTTCGTGGGGCAACCAAACCGGGAAATCCATCCACTGAGCAGTGCTTTCGCGACCGTCTCTGCTGTTATATCTTGCAAGGGTATTGCCTCTGGCCATCGCGTGAAACGATCAACGGCTGTGAGACAGTATCTGAACCCTTGGGAAATTGGCAGTGGTCCAACCAGGTCTATGTGTATGTGCTTGAACCTGGCGGATGGTAAACTGTAACTGCCAACAGGTGACGAGACATGCCGTGTGACCTTGGATTTCTGGCAAGCTAAACAGGCGCGTGCCCACTCCTTGCAGTCGCGTCGGATACCAGGCCATACGAAGCGATCACTGACCAACTTGACTGAAGCCCTTGCACCTGGGTGACTTAGTGAATGGAGGCTATCAAACACTTGGCGGCGCATGTCTTTTGAGACATACGGACGCTTTTTGTTACCCCCTACATCACAAAATAGCTCCAGGTTCGTACCAGGCAGTTTCACTTTCTCAAGGCAAAGAGAAGTGTTGTCCGAGTTTAAAAGCATAAGTAGTTCAGTGTCCAAACTTTGCATGGTGGCTAACTTCTCCATGTCGATAGGCTGTACAATTTCATCGACACGAGAAAGTGTATCGGCCACCACGTTATCTTTGCCTGAGATATGCCTGATGTCAGTGGAAAATTGGGCTATAAAGTCTAAATGCCGAAACTGCCTGGGTGAACAATTTTCTTTTCGAGAGTGAAAAGCGAATGTAAGGGGCTTGTGATCAGTATAAATCACAAAATCCCGCGCCTCGATCATATGCCGAAAGTGCTTAATAGCCTCATATATGGCCAAGAGCTCGCGATCGTATGGCGAATATTTGGTCTGAGATGGTGACAACTTACGCGAGAAGAATCCAAGCGGCTGCCAAGCGTCACCTTTAGACTGTTGCAGTACTGCACCAATTGCGGTATCCGATGCGTCCGTGACCAAGGCCAACTTTTCCTTGCAATCCGGATGCACCAGCATTGTCGCCTGAGACAAGTCGTCTTTGCACGCTTCAAATGCGTTCATTTCAGCAGCAGACAGATGAACGGGGTGGGATCCTTTTACTGACCCGACTAGGAGGGCGTTCAAAGGTGCCTGATTTTGAGCTGCGTGGGCGATGAACCTGCGGTAAAAATTCACCATGCCAAGAAACCTACGTAACTCTCTAACAGTTTTGGGGACGGGAAAGCTCTTAATAGCCGTCACCCTGTCTAGTGGTGGTTTGACACCTGCAGCAGACACGTGATAGCCTAGAAAAGTAACCTCAGAGGCGCCGAACGTACATTTAGTAGTGTTGATGACCATACCGTACTGTTTCAACCGGTGGAACACTTGGCGAAGGTGGTCTTCGTGGGTCTTCTGGTCTTTTGAGTAGACCAAGATATCGTCAACGTACGCGTAGGTGAAGTCGAGCCCTCGCAGCATCTCATCGACGAAGCGCTGAAACGTCTGTCCGGCATTACGAAGTCCGAATGTCATATACGGAAATTCGTATAAGCCGAACGGCGTTGTGATAGCGGTCTTCTCGATATCGCTGGGGTTTATGGGAACCTGATTATAGGCCTTCACTAGGTCCAGGGTTGAAAAGACCGTGCAACCAGAGAGGTTGTAATCAAAGTCCTGGATATGTCGAATGGAGTACCTGTCCGGGATGGTCCTGGCGTTCAGCATCCGGTAGTCACCGCATGGTCGCCAGCCGTCGCCTTTCTTCGGTGCCAGGTGTAGGGGAGAAGACCACGCAGACTCTGAAGGACGACAGGTGCCAATCTGCAACATGGCCTCGAACTCGGCCTTAGCAATTTTAAGCCGATCAGGTGCCAATCGACGAGGTGAGCAAGCTACAGGCGGTCCAGGTGTTGTGCGTATGTGGTGTACGGTGTTGTGTTTTGTGGTGTTATGCAAGCCAGAAGGGCGAGTGATGTCGGGATACTCAGCTAGTATGCGATGATAATCAGTATCACCAGATGCTACCTTGACGGAAAAAATGTCAGGAGATTTAGCAAGCAAAGCCGAGGTGCAAAGCGTAGTATTAGCATCTACTAAGCGTTTATTCCGAACGTCAACAATTAAATTATAATGGGACAGAAAATCAACACCTATTATCGCCCGCGTTACGTCTGCAATAATAAATCGCCAAGCATAGTCACGGCGCAAGCCTATGTTCAAAACAAAATTTGCGTAACCGTACGTATTTATTATTGAACCATTTGCTGCGCAAAGTTCAAAATTGGTTTTGTGACTATGCTTGCTGACTAATTTTCTGGGGAAAACACAAATGTCACTGCCAGTATCTACTAAAAATTGTACTTTTGTACGAACGTCCGTTACAAATAAGCGACCGGTATTTTGACAGGCGTCGGTCGCACTAACCGTCTGCCCTATGCTTTTCCCGAGTAATCACAAGGTTTTACGCACTTACTTGCCTTATTCCCAAATTTGGCATGATACCAGCACAACGGAAATTTCCTATAGTTCGACTGGGAGCGGGTAGACCGAGAATTTTCGCGGGATCGGCTGTTGGTGGTATATCTTCCTCGGGACCGGGGCCGTGACATCCTCTCGACCTTAGACTGCAGTGACTGGACCTGCCGTGTGAGTTCCGCAATCTGGCTGGACAGCTCGGTGGAACTTCCAGGTCGAACCGATGCGGCTGCGACTTGGGGATTGGGCGGGACGATGTCGTGCACTCTGTCCGCCAGCTCCGCTACTTCTTCCAGGGACGCCTTTGATTGGGACGCAATAATGGATTGCGTGCTGCTGGGTAATCGACTCGTCCAGATGGTCTTCAGAAATTCCTCTGGGACATCAGGGCCTGCTAGATGTTGGAGGTGGCGAAGGAACTGGGAAGGTTTCCTGTCACCAAGTTCCTCGTGAACTAGGAGCTGCTTCACCTTTTTCTCCCTCGACGCAGACAATCGTTTGATCAGCTCCGCTTTTAGACGCTCATATTTGTTGGGTCCTGCCGGTGCCGATATTATGTCTTCCACCTCTGACGCGTCGACCGGATCCAGCTGGCTGATCGCGTAGTGAAATTTCGTAGTGTCTGTCGTAATACTCGCCAGATAAAATTGACTTTCCAGTTGTGCAAACCACAACGCCGGTTTCTCTGGGTAAAACGGAGGTATTCTCACACTCACTCGGTTTACGTCGCTTGCCGAATTCAAATGCTCACCAACGGTCGTATTCTCCGTATAACTCATGATGTGCTCAATAGGGGTCACCAGTTATAGGATGATGCGTGAGTTTTTCAGGTGTTGTAAAATGAGTGCAACAAAGTTCACAATACTCACGGTTTATTGTTTACACAATATTATCCTAATAAATATGCAAACACTATTAATGCAAGATGGAAGGTGCACAATGAGTATAATAACAAGATTGCCCAGCGTAGTAACTATAAGTTCAATGTTAAGCAAGCTGTTGAAAACAAATCGATATCGAGGTACTTAGTAAGGAGACAAGCGACACGCATTCAAAGCAGAGACTAAGATCTGACTGCCGCGGCTACGCAGGAACAAGTGGTGCGGAGGCCCCGCCCACTGAGACCGGTTACGTTCAAGCGGCCGCGGCCTGCGTCCGCGCAGAAGAGTATCTATGCGCAAGCAAAATATGTTTGTCCGCTTGTCGACCAAAATATACAGTTTACATTTATCGTTTACAATATTATATATTAACATATTTAAACATGATATTTTTATATTACAATATAATTATACAGTTTATTAGACATTTCACTATATATTTTAAATTAACATAAATTATATAAACAACAAATATTTTAATTTTACAAAATATAAATTATATTATGTAGGCACACTACAATAGTAACAATCCCGTTAATAGCTACAATGTTAGTGACCATGAAATTTTAAAACAATGGGCCCAATTCTGGCGTGATTCTCTAAAACTAAATTTAAGGTCAGTCTCATCTTTTCATTCTGTATAGAGAAGGACAAGGATGCACTGTTGTCATATTTAAGTTTAGCTTTAGAGAATCATGCCAGAATCGACATCAGTATATAAGTTAAATAGCTTTTGATTTGCATTCCATTTTTTAAAACATGATGGTAATGCCATAATTGTATAATCTTATAATTGACGTCCATTCAACAGTCTGGTAACGAGCGCTTGTAACGCTTGTGGGTGGACGTTAAACAATGGTGTCGATTCTGCAATGATTCTCTTAATAATCATAATCAAAATCATTTATTCAGTTTAGGCTGTTACAAGCACTCATGAATGTCTAGAAGCTACGCCATCGGTTTGTAAATCTTCGGCGGGGGACCTTGTACTGAGAAGAACCGGCAAGAAACTCACCAAGGGCTGTTTTTTTCTCCCTGTTTTATTATTTACAGAGTCGTCAAATTGAAAAATGACTTCAGAGATGATTCATGAAGTCACCTTTCATTACATAATTATTAAATATACATTAATTGTTTACCTGCATTTTGATTGCTGTGTCATACAGTATAAATACAAATAGTTTTATTTATATTAAGTGTGACTAAACATTAACTTCAATATTAAGGAAGTTAGGGCAGACTCATCTCCGCTGGCAGCACCCGTTCACGAGCATGACTCCTGAACCAGCCATCGCTTCGCTCAACCATATTTTAGGGAACGTAACGACCCGCCTCACACGACACCGCCGACAGAGACTATTAAGAGAGCATGACTACCCATAACTACCCATACTACACTACAACATATTTACTTAAATTAAGGTCATTTACCTGTAGGACACCACAAACAATTACAAAAACAAAGCAATGGAGAAATCACGACCACGCCGTTTTGTCAATCAAATATCTATTTATAATCTAAACTTAAATTTGACAACATTGTATCCTTGTATAGGTCCCTTATATAGGTTGAAAAGGAGAGAATGATATTAAATTTAGTTTTAAGTTTAGAGAATCGTATCGTGCCCGAATCGACATAATTTTTTGCAAAGGTTGGTCATCGGAGGACCGATTTGTCCATATATATTATCGCGAGCTCCGCCCTATTTTGGTAGGCACGTTAAGCTGTTCATCCCGGTCCTGTTATCACCCACTAATCCGTTAGGAGCCTGCTACCTGCACTACTTCAATGTATTGTTATAAATAAGTGTATTTTTGATAAATACACTGATAAAACACACAGGTAAGTGTAGATAACAGAATTCACATTAACCACTACTATTACTCATCGTAGCCTCGAACACAAAAATGAAAATTTCTGATAATTAAACAGGTAAAATTTTATCTACCATGACATCATTTCAATCCGTAAGAGTTAGAACTAAAGCGCTTATTCCATCTGTCTAAATTCAGACGTTTTAAATCATTCAGTAACTAATTTAGTCAAGTGTAATAACATTTAGGAAGTTAGGATCCTAATTAGCATCCTAAATCGGAAGAAGTGTGGCTTCTGACTGACTAAATCATTTAGTATCCTAATTGGAACGCGATTTAAAAGGTGTAATAGCGTTTAGATGGTTCAGTCGCACCGCAGATGTCACTGTTTAAGGAATTGTCTACGATTACGAATTACGCGAGTGTGCGATGTCGGCGGTAAAAGAAAAAGAAGTTATGAGTAATATAATGGAATTGTATAAACATATGCCGTATCTTTGAATCAAAAATAATATTAATATTCTTTCACCCACGTTTTTCGTTTTTTACTTTATTTTATTTTTATTGAGCCAACGGCCAGGCCTACGAGAAGACAGTTTTTTTGTTGTTTTGACAGAACTGGAGCCATTACGAAAAGTCTGATGAAGTCGTCTGAAAAGACGACTGATTCAGTAACTAAATTAGTCAAGTGTAATCAGAAGCTTCTAATTAGCCTTCTTTTTAGGATCCTAACTAGGATGTCTGAATTTAGTCAGGTGGAATAAGCGCTTAACCCTTTTAAGGAAATACGTACTTAACATGATAACTTGCAGAGACGTTAATGCTTTTAGCTAAAGTTGATGCAATTACTTTCTTGTCGATACCAATGAAATGAGAACACGTGACTTGATAAACATTAAATTTAATTGACATTTCTGAGTTGGTAAAAGAGTGATTAAAACTCTTTGTACCTAAATAACGCTAGATTGTGCCACACCTTTGAAACTCGGTGTATCTGCAAGTAATTCGCTATCAGCAATCTTCTCATATTATAAATGACACAAAAACAATTCAAAGGAAAACTGGTAATAAAAAAATGTGTTTCCTCGGCTGGGAATCGAACCCGGGCAGAGCCTCAGGCTTTCTAATCTATCACTGAATCATCCACTTGTCGACAGTCTGATTTTCGAAGTGATAACATATTATGGGAGGGTAAACCGCTTCGTTACGTAACGCGTTACAACGCCAGGCAGGCTCCTTCTGTCTCACTCTAACCCGCAACGCCGCGAAGAAGAAGAAGTGATAACTTAAACTAATCTAATAGTTTAAGTTATCACTTCTGTGGTACATCGGAGACGCAAACGGTTTTTTTTAAATAATTAATTTAAAATGTAATACTACATGCTAATTGCTAAGGATGAACGCTTAAAATTGTGGAGATGTAATAAAAGTTAGACTTAAATTGAAACTTCATATGTTAAATATAAACTTAAATGTGACCTGGGGATTGTTATGATGAAGTCCAGCAAAATTTAAAGCTGAATATAACTTATAATTTTTATTATTTTAAAGCATGTAACTGCTTGATGTTTAAATCTAAAGAAAATATAACTAGAAAAAATTCGACGCGGACCAGGCAGCAGACGGGACTCGAACCCGCACCCTTCGCAATCCGGGCGAATGCACTGACCAATTATGCTATCGCGGCCCTCACGGACCGCGTCGAAATTCTTCTAGCCATTCTTAAGCTGCAAGGCAGCGCCATCTCTTCGCATTATAGGTAACCCACAATGTAAATTTTTTCTAGTTACATTTCCTTTAGATTGAATATAACTTACCATGCACACAGTAGTCCCCTCGAAAGCACCCACGTGTATTTCGCTCAGCGATTGGCAATTCGACAGATAGAGATAGAAACAGTTTGACTGTTCTTCTGTCTCGTCTTCTCCTCTTCCTACGACGTTGCTAAACGCCTTATCATCCACTTTCATTAGTTTATCCATATAGCTCATGTGCAAAGTTTTGAGGACCATCACGTTATTGAAATAGATGTTGGCAATGGGATTGCCGTCGAGTCGCAGCTCTTCCAAGCTCGGCAAGTATTGTTCGCTCAAAGTTTTTGGGATCTCCGTTAACAAATTGTAGGAGATGTCTAGAATGAATAGATTAGACAAGATCTTCTGGATGTCCAATTGCTTGATTTGATTCCCTCCTATGTTTAATATCTGTAAGAAGGTAATTGATAAGGGTTAAATAATCCCTTCTTCAAATAAGGTAGGTACTCAATTGGAATTAGGAATTAAATGGGCGCTTCCCTTTTTATACAATCGTTACTAAAAAAAGGATGGAAAACTGCTTCACTCGAGAAAGTTTTTTGCTATCAGGTCAACTTACCTCTAAATTTTGAAAATTATTACTGGTTTCATCATATAAACTCGTCAGCCTGTTATAAGACAAGTCTATATACTTTATACCGCTCGGAAACTTAGGCCAGTGGTAGAAAGTGTTTATCTTGAAAATGGCAATCTGCAGCGACGCCGGCAGCTCGAACACCAGCGTTATGTTGTTTTGTCCAAGATTCAGTTCCTTTAAGTTAGTGCATGGTAAGAAGGCGTCTTCTTCTATAATCTCTATGAGATTGTTGGACAGATCTAACAGTTCTCTAAAATAAAAATGGCACTATCTAAGTATTGGGATATAAATTTTTAACTTTTAAAATAATAGGAAATACATTTTTATTTACTTACAATTTGTTATCGGCTGGGAAAGAATGTTTGGTAACCGAACGAATTCTGTTGCTGTTAAGATACAATCTTTTCAAACTGCTTAGCCCGACCCCATCCGTCCTTTGCAGTAGCAAATCGAAAATACCATTCTTACTCAAGTCCAAATGCTCTAAAGCAGTCATCGGCATTATCGATTCTAAAGGAACTTTCGACAACTGGTTACTTTGTAGATTAAACTTTTTCACCATGCGCAGGTGCTTGAAATCCAACGGGTTGAAATCCGAAATTTTATTGTAGGAGAGGTCCAAGTCTTCAAGCCGGTCTATCTTGGTGAACAGGTCCGGTGTAATGACATAGAGGTCGTTTTGAGCGAACGACAGCTTGGTCAAGTTGGGTACGTCGCTGAAAGGGTCTGGCCAGTATGTCTTGATGGCGTTGTTACTGAACCTAAGAGATTCCACCTGGGAGTTCGGAGGTAATCTGTAAATAATGAAAGATTGCTTCAGCTGTTTTTTTACAACCTAATGATTACCACAATTCAGCAAGATCTTACAATACATGGGTAAAATAATAATAAAAATAATCATTTATTTTAGATAAACATCAATAGAATTATTAGTTATATAGAGAAAGGCAGGGCTGGAAACCGGTTTCAAAAATATCGGTAAATAAAGGTTAATACCGGTTTTAGTAAAGGTTTCGTTCGGAGCGCGTCCGATATGAAAGCGGTAACCGTATTAAACCGGTTTAATACAGAAAGACACGTGCACGCGTGGGCATCAGCGGGCATCAGCATCAGTAAGAGCGAAATGAAACCTTTTAAAAACCGCTAAATTGATTCAAAACCCATTTGATTTCGCTTTTTAGGAAAACCGGTTTTTTTAAGGTTATGGTAGAGCCAAACCTAAATAAAACGCTCCTAATGTACTTGACACTGATTTAGGTTTGAAAATTAACCGGTAAACAAGTCCTGGAGAAAGGTATTTCTATGACACAATTTCTTTTCGATTTACTTGAAGTGCCTGGCTTCAATGCTGTATAATTAATTCTGATATGTAGTTTTAAGAGTTCTAAAGTCAGTAAAGTGGTTTAACTCCGGATTTTTGGGTAGACGAGGCAAATAGACCCGGTAAGGACTGATTTGCAAAATCATTGTAACAATCTATAAATTTTGAAACACGTATAAAAATCGAGACAATCCTCTAAGTCGCCTTTTCATATAAGATCGTGTGACCCAGTTCCTCTTTAAGTCTCTATCAAGAATCTCGAATCATTTATCCGAATGATGTTGGCTAGTTATCTCATAAACCTTGAGGCGGCGGTTTCCGGCGTTGATGATTCGCAAACGTGGGTGCCTGACAACGGCCTGATTGATGGGACGTGCTTGGCAAACAGTGCTGCAATCAGGTAATAATGATACATGGACCTTTTTAATCTAAAGCTGCATCTTCGACGACCTCCGTGGCCGAGTGGTTTGTACGCCGGGTTTCATGGTGTCGCCGACTCGAGAGGTTCCGGGTTCGAATCCCGGTGGGGGCAGATGTTTGTGTGATGAATACGAGCATTTGTTCTCCAGTCATGGATGTTTAATATGTATTTCTATATAAATATACTTATATATGCACTGTATATGTATTCTATCCGTTACCCTAGCATCCCATAACACAAGCCTTACAGTGCTTACTTTTGGGCAAGGCTAATTGGTGTGAGTGTTGGAAATATTTATTTATTTATCTTATATTTCACTAATTAAGGTAAAGAATCTCTTAAAATGTGAGTATTCAAAGTTTATGTAACCCATTAAACGTGGTTTCAAAATTGATATTAGACTAAAGGCAAGACGTCGTCGGGTTGAGTAGGCCAAAGATATACTAAAGGAAATTTGATAGGTCCGTTAAGGTCTACGTAGTCGTCAATATCAGTACATATTCCCGGACAGCGAAGTACACTGGTTCGAATCCAGCCTGTTCCAACCTAAACCGTGTTATTTTTTATCAAAAAAATATTTGAAACAGTAGGTACCACAAACGATCCTTAGTAGTTTGTAGTACCTACTGTTTCAAATAAATTTAAATAAATAGCTCTAATTTTATTCCCCAATGCAAAAACAAGCCAATGATGAGATATAACGTTTTTATAAGCACCGCGGAGGTGGCAGTGGCCGGTGGCACATAGTTTATGCAATTAGATGATCCATCCAACGCATTCTAGTAGCCGACGCGAAGGAATGCTAATGGGTGCAGTGGGAAGACCACTTCTACTTTAGGTCACGAAACCTAGACATATCTACAGATTAGGTATGATGTTATTGTTGAAATTATCATTTTTGATATTTATTGATTAGTAATTATTTGAGATAATTACTGATAAGTACCTAATTATTTGAGATAATTACTTATATCATATAAATAAAACTAGTTTTTACGGGTTAATGCACGAAACTTTATTTATTTATTGACGTTTCGTAGCCTTTACAGGCTACGTCGTCAGAATCAAACTTTTATTTAATTTGTCGAGCTACCTTCGATATCATATAGTTAATTTGATGATCAATTAATCAATCTCTCGAGAAAATTCTTGTTACGATAATACACACATCAAAAGTGTCTAGGGATCAAGCATTTTTATGCGGATTTCTTGAGATTGAGATGTGGCTTTGTAATAAATTTATGATTTTATAAATTTATATGGATCCTTTTTGGTGCATTTCATAATTTGAATCAGGAACTGTGAATCAAATTCGAGTAAAAGATGAAAATCAGCTGTCAATATTTTCCCTATAAAAACATACAACGCATTGAAGACATTATTAGTGCTACTGTTTCCCTACTACTGATTAAAACCAACGTTATTATGGAGCGGCGACGTCATTTAAGCAGGGAAGAAATGCTCAGAGCCGTGGGAATGATAGAAGCTGGTTCCCGGCAACGTACTGTGGCTTTAGCTCTGAATACAAGTCAGAGTGTTATCAGTCGACTTTGGACACGATACCGAAGCACTGGTACCGTGGCTGAGCGCCATGGAGGACGGTATCGCTGCACCACACGGAGACAAGACCGATACATTCAAATCTTAACTCGAAGAGCTCCAACAATAACCGCCATGATGTTAGCCGTGAGGCTTCATCACTCTTCAGGGAACTTAATTAGCGACCAAACAGTCAGGAACCGCTTGCATGAAGTGAACCTTCATTCCCGAAGACCGCTACGGGTACCACCTATAGCAATGCACAATCATAGGATTCGATATCAATGGGCTCTTGAACACAGAAATTGGGCAGAAGAACAATGGCGTTTCGTGTGCTTTTCTGATGAGTCTCGTTTTGGTATGAGACCGGATACAAGACGTATACGACACTGGAGAACCCCTGGACGCCAACAGCGATTAAAATCCTGCCAGGAAGTCCATCCTTATAGTGGTGGAACCATCATGGTATGGGCGGGTATTTGGATCGGCGGAAGAACTGAGTTGATTTGGATCAGAGGCAACCTCAACGCTCAAATTTATGCTGAGACGATTGTATCAGACGTCATCGTTCCTCTACAAGTGCAAATCGGTCCCTTATTTCAGTTAATGCATGATAATGCACGACCGCACACCGCAAGAGTTGTAAGACAGACTCTCGCCGCAGCTAACATCAATGTCCTGCCCTGGCCTGCTCAGTCGCCAGACTTGAACCCGATTGAGCATGCATGGGATATGCTACAGAGAAGAGCTCTGCCGAATATGGAGGGTATCCAGTCGCAAGAAGACCTTTTTTTGTTGTTGCAACGAACATGGGCGGCCATTCCACAGCGTGATTTGGATGAACTCATTTTGAGTATGCCAAACCGATGTTCTTGTGTTGTTAGTGTTCGCGGTAGAAATACGGATTATTAATTGTTTAAGTTACCCAATAAAATTTTAGAGAAAACTGTTATTTCAGTCTTTTTTTCGAACTTTTGTGTTAGTGGTTCAAATGTCAAAAATCCCTTTATTAGGAAAATGGCAAATTTCTTTATTAATGCAAAGGTGACTTGGTTTATCGTTACTGTGACAAACGAAAACACTTTATTTGATGAATCCTTAAAGAAAATTTTAATTAATATCAATCAGGAGAAAAGTTATTGCAAAAATATATATTGATCCCTAGACACTTTTGATGTGTGTAGTACCTATATTCTATTTATAATTCACTTAATATTTAGGTAGTTACTCAAATAGCAGATTCAATTTCTATTCGAAAACTGTATGAAATGAAATGAAAAGTCATTTATTCAGTCTAGGCTGTTACAAGCACTTGTGAAGGTCAAGAAGCTACGCCATCGGTTCGCAAAACTACGGCGGGAGACCTTGTACTGAGAAGAACCGGCAAGAAACTCAGCAAGGGCTGCTTTTTTCTCCCTGTATTGATATATACAGAGTCGTCAAGTTGAAAAATGACTTCAGAGATACTTCTGAAGTCACCTTCCATTACATCATTTCGGATATAGATATATAGTTACAATAAATTTTATGTTTAGTATATAGGAAGCGGCATTAGATAGGTACCATATTACTGTTACAAAAACTGACTAATCCCATCAAATAACAAATTACAAGAAACACTATGTCCATGTATGTATGTATCTATAGGGAACTTCGGGAACTAAATGTAAACCATAAACTTGATAAATATAAAGTTATTCTTCCGTAAACAGATAAAATAATTATTCTGATCACAAAACCTTTCTACTCGGAAATAGGGGCTTGCGGCAGGACTGTTCTATTTAAACTTATGCAATTTTATCAAATTTGCACAACAGCGGATAGTTTTGTATCAATATTCATAAACCACTTCAACTCTTGGCAGAGTGGTATATAGTTATATACACGAGCCTTCCTAAGTATCAGAATAACTGAAATTAATTTCTGGTAACCCAATCCCCATCTTAATATTGGTCATTGCAAAAATTGCTTAACTTTCACGATCGCGTGCTACCTTCCTATTATGATATTGAGCTCCTCAAATCGGTTTTGATTAAATAATAATAATAAATATTTCCAACATTCACACCAATTAGCCTAGCCCCAAAGTAAGCACTGTAAGGCTTGTGTTATGGGATACTAGGGTAACGGATAAGAATACATATACAGTACATATACAGGGGGAAATTGAATGTTTTAATGAAACTTCGTGAGATTGTTGGGTTACGTGCATAGAGTATGCCTTAATTTTTTTCGGATTTTTTTGAATATTATATATATATTTATATAGAAATACATATTTAACATCCATGACTGGAGTACAAATGCTCGTATGCATCACACAAATATCTGCCCCCACCGGGATTCAAACTCGGGACCTCTCGAGTAGGCGACACCATGAAACCCGGCGTACAAACCACTCGGCCACGGAGGTCGTCGAAGGGAAATAAATGTATATTATTAACGAAGTTGGTGCTAAGGTTGTTTTCCTACCTTTTGCTATTTTCATCAAATGTCCAGTCCCTGCAGCATGA